TGTTGATGTCTATTTTTTAATTTCTTTTTTATTTTGAAATACTTTATTAATCCCTGAGGGAAATTCTGGTTTACACTCTGTGCTTTAGAAACATGCTTCTCGCACACATACGCCAAATCACACACATGACGCACAAACAGGAGCGTGGACATGCATTAGTGGGAGAGATGTCAGAGGTCAGAGTGGGGCTGCTACACACTGCTACATAAGGGAGCGCAACAGAGCGGGTGGGGGTTCGGTGCCTTACTCAAGGGGAACCTCGGCAGCACTCGGGAAGTGACCTGGCCCGGGTCATGCCACCAGTAGTTTCTCAAATGAGATCGCAAAAAGATGCACATTTAGGGTTAAATGATACATATCGTAAGGTCATCGAAATCTTCTTTAATTCAATTATTTTTACAATACCACGTTTTAAAGTTATAGGTTTTGCATTATGTAGTATTGAAAAGGAACAAACTTTTTACTATGACTCCATCTAAATGTCAGGAAAATTACTCATGTGGGTGTTTAGTACTTCTATTTCTGTTATCATGTTTTAAAACAGGTATCCATATTTGATTTTTACTAGTGTCATATTATGTTTTCTTTGAAATTATGAAATCATGGCAACTCTAATTTATAGCCAACAAATAAAACTTCAGATAAAATAAAAAGCATGAAGATGACTTGTGGAAGTATTTCTGGGAGATTAATTCTGCCTGCTTCGAGTTTACTTAGTTTACATTTGATCACATTTCTAGTGTAAAAAAACCCTATATTCTAAAAACCTGCTTTGAGCTCATGTGTAGTCTGAATGTATTCTGCTGCATCACCACCCGAGAACAAAGTTATCATGTAAAGAGTGAAAGCTTTAACTTGTTTCAGTTTGGTCGTACAAAGACTTTTTTTTTAAGTCATGGAGTAAATATTGACACAATAGCTGGGCCGACTGTGACAGACACAGTGACCAGCAGAGTGTCAGCAGTGACGCTCAGGAGCAGCTGTCTGCTGTAATATACAGACCAGACAGCAGAACGGGGAAGCCCCATCTGTTACTGTTAGCGTCAGTGTTCTTTCACTTCCTGTCCTGAAGGCTCGTCTCCCTCCTGTTTGTCTTCACTCTGAATGTGTTCTTCCATACATTCGTCTGGTTCATGTACACTTCCATATCAACACAGAAAACCTTTCTTGGTGTTGTTATCATAGTTTTCTGATAAAGACTTCTCTGATGACTCTCGAAGGAAAATATGAAACTGCATGCACAGACGGACAAACCTGAACTTAAACTATCGTGTCAGATATGTGATGGAGATGGATTTCACATGACTTTGTGTCCTGATCAGGATGCTGTGGGATCTCGGTGGATACTGTTTGTAAGAGCGGTAGAATACCATGCTCCTCTTTGAACCACACACTGAGTATGTGTGAGTGTGTGGAGTAGCAGCTCGGAGCCCGTGGGTGATGCCGCTCGAGCCCACGCAGCACTCCCACTTACTGCAGAGGACAGAATACATCAGCAGCAGCAGCCAGGGAAACGCTACAGCCCGCAAGGAAGGCTGACGTAACACATTCACACTGGAACTACAGGACAATGAGTGCTGTAGCAAAGCCTGATGTGCAGCTTTTAAATCCCTAAGCGCTTTTTCTGTGTGTGTCTGTGTGTGTCTGTGTGTGTGTGTGTTAATCTACATACTCTCATTCACTGCTGAGAGATGCCTCTTCAGTTTGTCCCGCTAAGATGTGTGGAAGTTAGTTCTTTAGGAAAACTCCAAAACTTTGTGTTCTCGTTCTTCTTCTACTCGCTTTTCTCTTCTTCAACGGGACGCCGCTGCTTCATTTTAAGCCAAATCAATTTCCCCCCCTTTATTTAATGAACCTGTAAGTGAGTTCATCTCACACGCCTGCAGGATATTTTTCAATGTCTCAAATGTAGGAGATATCGTGGCACAAGCTTGATGTTGTAAAATGAGCTAATAATTATATTATTATGATCAGGTGTACAAAGTATGTGATCTCAAGAGGATTACATTATTATGTGTTTTTAGATCTTTTTAAACTGTATAATGAAAATACAGATCAGATAGAAGTGGAGTTTTATTTAGTTTTATTTTTTTTAAATTATATTTATATTGTTTTTTATAATATCTAAATTAACATGCACCTTACACATCTTCACAAAAATAGCTTATTTTCATATTTGATTTATTTGCTCGTTTCAGTTTATGGTTTCAACACAATAAAACACAACAAGAAATATTTCCTCATAATACTGAAACACTGTTCATGAGCAAACAGGAGCAGGAAGAAGGAAGCTTATAGTACCTGCCCCGCCTTTCCTAATAACACAAGACACTGTTTAACAGAATAAGATGGCTAACCTGTTGTTTTCTCTTTCTTTCTTATGAGGGGTGTTGTTGGTTTTTGGGTGACTTCAGACCTGTGGTGTTTAAAGAATGACTTTCCTTCTATAAGACTCATTTTGCTTTAATAAGAAGTCACACTCACATCTTGGAGTAACCACAGATTTCTTCGGTCGTTATCAAACAGCCGGTCCGGGGTTTTTTGGACTCAGTCCCATCCGGTTTTCAGGCTCCAGGTGTCTGTAGATTTGCATCAAAATGTGAGTTAGTCAGGCTTGATGTTTTCCTCTGTGGAGGATGAGTCACTAATCAAAGTGATTTAGCCGTCTTGGTAAAAATGTCTTGGCTGAGAGAGTGAAAGTACCACCTGCCAAACACCAAATGATGGATACTTGTTTCAGTCTTTAGCAGGAAAAGAAGGTCAGAATATCAAATCTATTATCAGTCAGATAGGGAATAACTCTTTTGATCGTAACATTTTTATCATAAATGTTTATTGCACCTAAATGTTTTTTCTGTTTGGTGTCTAGATTCTGACCTCGTCACTCCTCGTGGAGATATTTTTCATGCAAAAGGACAGGTTTGAGCGCAGCACTATATGAGACAATGCATGTCTCAACCAGCTCGACTGCTTCATCTCTGGCAGTTTACAGTTCTTTGAAATCTTTAATTATGTTTTAAAAGTACATTTTTGTCTTATGGTAGCAGCAAACCAGCCAATGAAAGACAATCCCAGCAGCTTAGTTTTCCTTTTATTAAGTCGTTTTTTAACTGATTTGCAGATAATATTTGTATCTGAGCATGTCATACAGCATGCAGTTCAAAGCATCCCTCATGTCCACTTCATGTCTCACAGAGCATCACGGGTGGCTGCAGACTCCAAGTCTAATATTTTACATTTAAATGTTTTTTTTATTCAACCTCTCATCTTGTAAATTATTGATACATTTTTTCGAACGTTTAGTCTTCTCTTAAAGAAGTGTGATTGCAACATAAAGCATTTTTACATAAAGCAGTATGGCTGTTGTTTTTATTGAATGTACGGCACAGGAGTAGTGATATGTTTATGTTTATATCACTTTTTACCTGCACTAGTGATAGCAGCCATGTTGCTTTATTAATGAATAATGTAAACACTTTTTTTTCTGGAACACTCCTTCTCTCTTTAACACATTTTTCACACACACACACACACACACACACACACTTACAAATAAACACAGAAAAACAAGGTCTGAAAAAAGATGAATTTCAATTGGATGGGGGAAGGACTTCATGCTGGGGGAGGTTCAATGGAAAAAAGGAAGGGAGCAGGTGTACATAAGGAAATGTGGTGTGTGTGTGCGCATTCATCCATTCATGAATGTGTGTGTGTGTGTGTGTGTGTGTGAGGGGGGGCGGGGTATAAAAGGGGGTTCGAGGCTGGGTGAGGTACAAAAGGGGCAGAAATATGAAAAAGAACGGGAGAAGAGGGGAGGGGAGTGTGAGGTAATTTATGAGGCATTTTTATACAACAAGGTTTAATCTCTTCACACAAACACACACACACACACACACACACACACACACACACACACACATCCTTACCCAGTTTGTTTCACAGTGTCTGCACATAATGATACCAACAAACGATTCAGTGAATACTAAAAAACGTGGTGAAGTGTAAAAGGATTTATTCCCCCTTTATATTAATGAATTGTATTTGACTGCATGTGTTACATTTTACACGTATCTCCTGCAGTTCCTTTTCTTGTAATGTAGATAAGATAAGATAAACGTTATTGATCCCCCATTGGGGGAAATTGTGTCGTTACAACAGCTAAAAAACAGGAATATAATTAGCAACAAATAGCAGAAAAGAAAAACATATTTACATCAATTCAATATTTACAGTAGTAGAATTCACATTTCAGATCCAAAAGGTTTAATTTTCTTTTCAATTAAAGCGAGAATAGGTGAAAAACAATCTAAAGCCTAATGTTTTATATTTTCCTATTTGACTTCTGACTTATTCACAGCAGTGATTGTTGCAGCTCAACACTCAGCGTCTTGTTTTTGTGACAAAATGTGTTTTGGTTTTGTAATAGTTGATCAGACAATGTGAAATGTCGACCATTGATTTAGACCAAAACAATAAAATAACAACATCTTAAGAATATCACCTGATAATTTAATAATGAAAGTGTTTGCCAGCTTCACCTCTAAGAATTGTTTAAATATGTAATCCCTATTTTGTATCATTTTGTACTTCAGAGCGGATGATCTGATGAGATTTTGGAGAATATTTTGGCCTGAATTTGCATGACGATGAGGAATAAATAAGTGATTAACATGAAGCTAATATATGCTTAAAGATTATGAGTGTATGTTAACAAATCCCAGGTGTCCTGTAGAGTCAAAGGTTCACTGATTAACGCTGCAGTTATCTGACTAAATGAGCCTATTATCAGAACAGGGTCTGTTTAGCAGCTTCAGTGTGTTTTCAATATTTACATAAAGTTTGATATATTCAGACATGCTGTGGATTATTCCTATGTTCTTCTCTCTGATAATTGTGTGGTCTGCATGTCATTATCACATTAAATGGTCCTTATAGAAACATGGAAGGGTTGATCCCGGTCTGACTGCTCCCTCTGTGTTCTCTCTGATCCCTCCATCCAGGAGGGCCAGCAGCTGATCCAGGAGAAGCCGGAGCTCAGCCCGGTCGTTCGAAGGAAGCTGGAGGAGATCAGGGAGTGCTGGCAGGATCTGGAGAGTACCACCCAGGCGAAAGCCCGTCAGCTCTTTGAGGCTAACAAGGCAGACCTGCTGGTTCAGAGCTATGAAAGCCTTGACCATAGACTCGGCCAGCTGGAGGGTCAACTGGTGTACGTGGACCCGGGACAGGACCTCACCACTGTCAACAAGCAGCTGAAAAAACTACAGGTATGTAGAGTTGAAATACATTCAGTGACATGTGAAGGTATCTGACCAGGAAGCACTCTGGTCCATTCTCAGACTTTATGATGAGTACATGAACATAAAAGGACTTGAAAGTTTACCTTTTTTGCAGCTTACGGCCTAGTCCACACGTAGACGGGTATTTTTTTTAATTTAGGTTTTCCTCGATTCAAAAAATAATCCCGTCCACACGCTAAGTTCTCTAAAACATCTTTGTCCACATGAAAGCGCACTGTTACGTCTGTTATGAGCATGCCAAGTCAGAAACGATTTCCATGACCTGCTAAAATGTTTCAGCCCGTTCCTCTACAATGACCATTTCATTTTACTCTGCTCATCAACATAGTGGGAGAGTAACTGTGTGTGTATATGTGTGTGTCCAGTAAGCAACGCTAACACCAGCACTAGTTTGTTTATCGCACTAACCTCATGTAAACAAAAGTGTCAGCGTCGCACAATGACGTCAAACTGAGCTGAGACATGCAGAGTTTGACCCCGTCGACACAGAAACACCTTAAACAGAGTTTCTGAAAAAGCATAAAACAGAACACCATGTGCATGTGTACTAAAGGTCAAACTGCACAGAACAATCTTTGTGTAAAAAAAGTATCTTCCTACATGTGGACTAGCCTGAGATAATTATTTTAAGTTTTTATTTTAACACTCTGAAGAGAATTTTCATCTTAAAGCTCAACCTGTTTTTTTTCTTCTTCTTTTTTTTTACTGCTATTCAGAAAAAGACAGTTTCTAATGTTATTTATTATGAGGCTTCATCTTTGTCTTGTTTTTTGGGATACGGGTCTCTCAAGTCGTTTTTTCTACCAGTTTGAGAATTCTTCACTACAGCTCCAGTCTACGTGTTGAACTGTTGCAGAATGACTCACTGTTTACGTTATCATTTCCACACAATGACGGCCTCGTCTCATTAATAATGAAACCAAACATCATGTTCGGAAAAGACTTACAGCAGCAGCTTTCACCGTGTGCCTTCACCGCTTTCTCCTCCTCAGCGCTTCATCTCATTCCAGCCGCTCAGACTCACGTTTACCCTGACAACGACTTTTATTCTTTTTAACACCATAAAGCTATCAGCATCCCCGTCGACCCCGTGAGCTGTGGAAGAGTTTCATCATGATATCGTTCTTAAAATATAGATTCATTAAAAGTGTGGATTTTCAAAATAAAAGACTTCATGTAGGATTCTCTGATTTTCAAACTAAATCAGCAGTTTGTTTGTTAAGTTCATGATTCATTGAGTTGAATAGAACATTTGTCTGGAAAGCATTTTATTATCTGAATCTTAGTGCATTCATTTAATGCTAAACTGCAGACTGGTGATTTAACGACTGTTATAAAACTGTTCAAGCTTTTTAACAACATGAAAAAACTGAAGACAAAAAGTACTATTTTTCTGCAGTATTAATCTAGTGAGGAGTATGTGTATACATGGATCAATCAATATAAAAAAAATCAAGTTACTGTTATTTACGACCAGCCAAGGGGAATCCAGCCGTGCATAAAAGTGAATATTGAATTAAAACATTATCTAAAAGCTTCCGACTCTTATATTAAATTGTATTCATATATCATGAAACATGTCTTTATTTGTACGTGTTAGTTTATGTTTTATTTTTGGATTTTAAGAGACAGTTGTGAAACTCCTCACACGCAGATTTCCCAGAATCCCCTCAGACCAGACCTTTATGTCTTTCTGTAATTTTTATCTCTATGTATTTATCTCTTATGTAATTTTACATCTCTTGTCTGTCCGTTTCTTACACATAGAGAATCATGAAAGTCTTTCACTTAGAGGTGGGGGAAAACAATCGATTTATGTAAAAATCCAGATTCTTATCTTCTGAGATTTAAATTGATTCATAACTTCCAGAAATCCCTTTTTTTTGGGGGGGGGGCTAATCAGTCACTCCCTGCTAAGTGCTAAGGCTAGCTCTTTAACTCAGGAGAATGCTAAATGGAGCAGCAAGAAATTCAGCCAGTGACTGGAGTACATCCTGAAAAATAGACTTTGAATGATGAATTGTTTTGAATTGAAAATAGATTCTAAATCTAACTGAATGGTGAGACACCCAAAGATTGCCGCCCTACTTCCACTAGTCAAAAGCAAACAAGAATCACATTTGCTTACAAGTTTTCCAGCATGTCTTATAATAACTGAATAAGTAAACAGACTTTCATGTCAGTCAGTGATGTGTTGTAAAAAAGTCGTCTTCCACCCGTGTGATGTCGGGATGAAACTCTTCACTCCGATTCTTGACTCACAAACATCAGGCAGATGTTTACCGAGTTAACGCTCAGATTCATTCTTCCATTCCTTCATCGTTTCAGAACATGTCTCACTGTCCTCTCCCACAGCATGCAGCTTACAGCTTCCTTTAACAGGCCGCCATTAGCTCTGCTTTACCACATCATCCTCACTCCAAAACCCAACTCCACTACCCAGCATCCATCCTGCCAAGGGGTACAGTAAACTTCACACTTCATGTCTTTTTATTTTGAGTTATTCTTTTAGCTTCACCTTTGTTTTCATGCTGATCTTTTAATACATCTTTGATTTCTAACATTTTTATGTTTTTAAACAATCTTTTTTTTTTTGGAAAGATTTATTGCTAGAGAGATTTCAGCAATCCTTTTTTTTGTTTCATTGATCTGCCATGTTTCACTTTTTCTGCTTACAAATCAGAGAAACCTATGATGCTAACATGCCTTCTGCTGCACTTTATCTTTAATTTTTGGATTAGCCACAGACACTGATAGCCCTGCATACGGGGTTTATCAGTTTATTTGTAGGTACTCTTTTAGCACATTCGTCTTTTCACTTAACACACACAGTAGTTATCTTAAATCTGTGTCAGAATTAAAACTAGACAAACATGAATTTTCCACCACCAAAGAATCTTTACAAAAACAAACTCACAATAGTTTGCACTTCTTTCAAATCCTCTCACTCCTCCTCTTTCTTCCCACTAAATCTTTTCTCTTTTTCTCAACAACCTCAATCCCTCTCTCCCAACCAACACGACTTCTTTTCCTCCGCCTGTTTTAAACTTGTCCTCCTCCCTCTCCTCATCAGACCATGGAGACCCAGATGGAGGAGTGGTATAAGGAGGTGGGTCAGCTCCAGGTGCAGGTGTCCACCATCCCGCAGCACACGCAGGTGAAGGAGAATGTCGGCGGGCGGCAGGCTGCCGTAGAGGCCAGGATGGTGCGTCTGATCGAGCCGCTGAAGGAGAGGCGGCGCATCCTGCTGGCGTCAAAGGAAGTTCACCAAGTTGGACGAGACCTGGAAGACGAGATTGTTAGTTTGATGGTTTACAGCCAACGCACAAACACACAAGCAAACACAAAATTAGGTTTTCAGCAGTTTCTTTGAATTCCTGGAGACCAAAATCTAAACCATAACCTTTACATAACTAAACTTATTCATACCTCATAATTAAAACAAGTCTTTATAATAAAGAGGAATTATTTACATTTTGAAAACCGCTGTTTGATCCCCAAAAATCTTTGTTAACTCATTTTTATTTGCACATGCATGCAAAATGAAAACCAGTTATTGTCAGTTATTGCTCAGCCCTCTTGAAGTTCAAATGATTTTGACTATTTCTGAGATGTCACTCTATCTTTGAGTTCATCATTCATGAGATTTAAAAAAGGTATTTCTCTGAATGTACAGAATCACACATGCAGACACGGTCACATAAAACACATGAGGTGCTCCCACAAACTCTTGGATGTTGTGTGTCTTATTGTTGTGGTTGTAGTTGTGGGTTCAGGAGCGCCTCCCCATGGCCATGTCTCAGGAGCACGGCTCCACTCTGCAGGAGGTCCAGCAGCTCATGAAAAAGAATCAGGTGAGAAAATCAGGCAGTCATTTTTACTGCCATTTTATAGACTGAAACATATAAACAGTTCACACAAAAAGCCTGATTTAAAAAAAGTCATGATCACCAACAGTTAGACATGTCATATATGATGGATTAACATGATGTGCAAAATCTAACTCCTTTTTTCCTCCCTTCTCATTTTTCATGCACGCTGCTTTTTTTTAACTCTGCAACATAACAGTGACTCTCTATCATTCCTTCTTTCAAAACATCACAGGAAAGATTTAAACAGCCATCTCTTCTTTCTGTCATGGTCTTCTTCCTCTCCTGCAGACCCTTCAGAGGGAGCTGCAGGGCCACAGGAGCCGGATCGATGACGTTTTGGAGAGGGCAGGGATCATAGCGTCCATACGCAGCCCTGAGGCCGACTGTGTCAGGGCAGGGCACGACCAGCTGGCCCAGCTGTGGGCTCTGCTCTGGACAGAGACCGAGAGGAGGCAGCTGATTCTTGATGCCATGTACCAGGCCCAGCAGTACTACTTTGACACGGCCGAGGTGGAGACCTGGCTCAGCGAGCAGGAGCTGCACATGATGAACGAGGAGAAGGGGAAGGTGGGTGTGCCTCTATCTGAAAGATGCATTTCAGAGCTGCTCATCATCAGTTGTTAGTCTCATTAGTCATCAGCAATGCTTCATTTTTTGTCTCATTTTGATTTGGAATCTAATCCCAACAAAATTTCCTCTTTACGTTGAATGAAAGTTTACATTCAGATAGATCACTTGTGTTATTTTAAAGTGAAACTTCTCCTTTTGTGCGTCGCTTCCTCCTCCCAACAGGATGAACCGAGCACACTGCAGCTTCTGAAGAAACACTTGATCCTGGAACAGACCATCGAGGACTACGCCGAGACCATCGGCCTGCTGTCACAGCAGTGTCGACAGCTGCTGGAGATGGGGCATCCAGACTGGTGAGCATGTAAACACAGAGATTTGTCAGCAAGGTTTGTCACAACAAATACATTCTGCAAATCCCCTCAAATTTCTGTATTCTGACCCCAGCATGGGGTTATGGTCAGATTAAGTATTTCATTTTAAAAGTCAAAAGGAACTGGTTAAAGTGTTACTTAAAACCAGATTGGTTTAAGCTGACAGGAAGGTGACAGCTCTAATATGTTACAACAATGCCACACAGAAGAAGAAGAAGAGCCATCCTAACACACAAAGAACCCTGATCCTTGAAGTGAATGGGCTGCAGCACAGTAGCAGAGGAACCCAGCGGGTTTCAATCCTGCATCGTTTAGTTCTTATGGCTACAAACAGCAGAGTAACACTTCATGTCCTGTTGCAGAAGTTATCGCAAGAAGAGATTTGAAAATATGTTGACTGTCATGGAGGAACGAGAGATTTATAGCTTTAATTTATAGATGAAACGTCTGCTGCCACTACGGGATGCCAAAATGTAAATATGGAGCAGAATCTCTGAGAGTGTTTTAAGCGCTGTATTTAGGCCATGCTTAAATGAACTCAGGCAGCTTTAAGGGCAAGGGGGGTCCTAAAAGGTCTGAAGTGTTGAAAGAGGCCACTGATGGTACAGTTTTAGTAAGATGTCAAAAGCAAACCCTGACTTCCTTTTTAATCCTGACAATAAATAAAAATAAATGCCACAGTTCTCTCTTGAGTGTTTTTATTCCCGCCCTGACACGCTATCTGTTCTCTGTTCCACAGCGAGTACATCAGCAAGCGTCAGTCTCAGATCGACCGTCTGTACGTGTCTCTGAAGGACCTGGTGGAGGAGAGGAAGAGCCGCCTGGAGCAGCAGTACTGGCTCTACCAGCTCAACAGGGAGGTGGACGAGCTGGAGCAGTGGATCGCTCAGAGGGAGGTGGTTGCCAGCTCGCCTGAACTCGGTCAAGACTTTGAGCATGTTACTGTAAGTGTGTCAGCAGATGGTGCTTGTGGATGAATAACAGATTCAGGAAACATTTGTATAACATAAGTGCCATGATGATTTACCAACTTTAAATATAAGTTTGATTAGTATACTGTAGCTTATTCACCTGCTTCTATACAACTTACCTGAAAGCATATGAAGAATTATACATGATGATTTACTCACAAAATTTAACAAAATATTTCTAAATCTTATCTGTTATTTTTACATTTAGTTTCCATTCTGTCTTCTGCCACTACAAAACCACCAGGTCCTGCAGGAAAAGTTTACAGAGTTTGCGTCAGAGACAGGCAGTGTGGGACAAGAGCGAGTGACCGCTGTGAACCAGATGGTGGACGAGCTCATTGACTACGGCCACTCAGAGGCCGCCACCATTGCTGAATGGAAGGACGGGGTGAATGAGGCCTGGGCAGATTTACTGGAACTGATGGAGACCCGGGCGCAGATGCTTGCTGCCTCACACCAGCTGCACAAGTTTTTCTCTGACTGCCGAGAGGTGAGATACCGGAGGAGATATAATACTATATTGATATATGATTTCCACTTTATTGACTTTCACACGAGATGTAAATAAACAATAACACAATAAGGTTGTCAAAACACCTTCAGTCGTTTTAACCAAAAGAAAGAGAGCGATGTCTAAATTGCACAAAAACATATTTCTGCCATTTAAACTGTGCAGTAATTTGCCTGCATTGTTTGGAAAATAAAAACAAGAAATGTCCCACTATACGGTGTGTAAGGCTTCTATTGTTTTTGCTGTATCAAAAGGTACTGATACGGTTTGATTTTTATTAGAAAAAGTTTTAAAAATCTGGTGTTGTGTCAACTCTTATACATGACACACTTTTTGTCTCCAGATTATTTAAAAAGGAGTGAACTGATGTAGAGTGATTTCACACCTAAAATAAATATATACAGAGTTTTCATTCTTGCCACTGTATGCTACGATCCTTTTTTTAATTTCTATGTTCTTTTTTTTTTTTTTAGGTTTTGACTCAAATTGAGGACAAACATCAGAGGCTGCCGGAGGTTCGGGCTCGTCAGGGCAGCACTGCCAACACCAGCACCCTGCAGAGACTCCTGCACAGCTTTGAACAGGACATACAGCTGCTGGTCACACAAGTAAAGGAACACGCACACATGAGCAGGGAGCATGTTAAATAACCTGTTCATTTATCAACTGGCCTCAATACTCATACTGTGATGATCACTCTGTCCACTTCTAATGCTGATTAACTCACTTTCATCCTCACATGAGGTGGAGGTGAGAAAGACTAAGGTCTACTTGTCTTTGTCTAAAACTCTTAAACTCCTGTAACATGGTATACTTGGTATACTGATCACACACTATCCTATGTATCGTGTTCAGCTTTTAAAAAACAATCTTTAGTTTGATAGTTTAGTTTAGATTGTCATCACTTCAAGTACATTTCTTTTCGTACTGTAAATACAAAAAGGTTCCATGTGAGTTTAAATCTTTATTGCACCTTTGCATTTAAAGTAGCTCTATGAATTCTCTGTGCTGCACCTGGTGAACAGACAGACAGGTGAAGGAAAATACATAATCCCAGCTGCTCTGAGTCCACTACAGTGACAGAAACTGTACTATTTGGCCCTGACCAAACACAGCTGTCAGAGCAGCTGGGTTTTGTGCGTCATTTGGAAAGCAAACTCTCTTTATGTATATATTTCTAATTTCTGCTTCTTCATTTTTTACTCAAGTCTACTTTCTACCTCTACCAGGTGCGTCAGCTGCAAGAGAGTGCAGCCCAGCTGAGGACAGTATACGCTGGCGAGAAGGCCGATGCCATCGCCTGCTGCGAGCATGACGTGATGCAGTACTGGAAAGAGTTGCTTACATCCTGCGAGGAGTGTCGACTACAGATTACCACTGAGACGGACAAGCTGAGGTTCTTTGGCTTGGTTCGAGATCAGATCATTTGGATGGACTCAATCATCTGTCAGATCGGGACGGGAGAGAAACCCAGGTACACTACAGAAACAGGAGCTTTTCATTTCCACCTCAGTGTTAAATCAAGGTGATGTTATAAAGTACTTAAAGCATGCGCAAGAGAATACAAAACTGTGATGAACCAAGGGAGAAGACTTTAGTAAGAAGTCTACCTTGTGTGATCTTAAGAACTTCATCTGGTGTGCTAACTTAGGTTTCTCCATTCATTAAAATATTGTTGCTCTTTCAGGGACGTGTCCTCAGTAGAGGTGCTGATGAATTATCACCAGAGTCTGAAGAGTGAAGTAGACGCTCGCAGTCAGAGCACCCTGGAGTGTATCGAGATGGGTAAAACCCTGCTGGCTGCGAGAAACCCAGCAGCTGAAGAGGTACATTTGAAGGATAGATTTTGTCTTCCTGAAGTTAATACTCAATGTAGCTGTAAACTCAGTTTTTTATACTGCAGGGTCTTATTCACTGGGCTCATGTGGCAGCTGAAAATCATTTCATGTTTTTTATTTTTTTTAAGCAAAATAAAATTGCATCAAAAAGCTTTTGGCAAAGTTTGAATAGTTTTTGTTCTGGTGGCTGGGTTTAGTAAGATAAACAAGACAGAAGGGTCTAACCTCTGTAATGATATGATGCTGACAGTTGGTGTTTTGATTTTCAGATCAAGGAGAAGCTTGAGAAGGTTATTGGTAAGCAGCTTGAGCTGTCTGAGAAGTGGGACAAGCACTGGGAAGTCTTACAGCAATGTGAGTATCTGCACAAACACACACACACTCACAGGCCTATAATCTGTTTTCTATGTTTGGAAAGAGATGTACACATTTTGCATGGAAAGAATTAGGTTTGTTTTTTTTGCTCCCATCAGTGTTGGAGGTTCACCAGTTTGCCCAGGAGGCGGTGGTGGCCGAAGCGTGGCTGACCGCTCAGGAGCCGTTCATCAGCAGCAAGGAGCTGGGAGGGAGTGTTGACGAGGTGGAGCAGCTGATTCGTCGACACGAGGCCTTCCGCAAAGCTGCCGCCACCTGGGAGGAGCGATTCAGCTCGCTGCGACGACTCACCACGGTATGTCAACATCAACACTGTCAAGAGAATTTTCTGCTGTAAAGACTTAGTTTTAAGTTCTGAAATACAATCACGCTTGATTCCCAATATACAGGACGTTGTTTTCATTTAATATACAGTATCAATCAAGTCAAACTGATTTCTTAAAGCTGTTTCTCTTTTCTTTCTGCAGGTAGAAAAATTGAAAGCAGAGCAAAGTAAACTACCCCCAACGCCTCTGCTGGGTCGGAAAGTCTTCCTAGACCCCCAAGATGCCTCACTAACTCCATCCACTCTCCCCCGCCTCCCAATCTCCCCCGTAGCCAGACAGACCATCTATGAACAGAACGAAGCCAGCTCTCCTCCCTCTCCCTCACCTGCTACTCCAACACCTTCTCCTTCATCTGTGGCGCGTCGACTGGGCTCCACAGTCGCTAACTACATCCCCGTGATGAACGGTTCCAGCTACCGCCACACCCTGGAGGCGCGACAGGGTGCTGTGGTTGGAGTGGCTGCAGGAATAGGCAAGCCTTCGCCTTCCTCGATCGCATCGATAGCCACAGCGGCCATGCTAGTATCAGCCAACCAGGCGCGAGAGGGCACCAGTGCAGCGAAAGACCAGGCGGTAAAGGTAATGAGTCATCTCCATCCAGCACAGGCTGCAAGGACACTGGAGACGAAAACGTCCCCATATCTGAGGCAGCCAAAAATCAAACATTTGGATGACGCAGTGACGCCGCTGCTTGTGGCCAGCCGACTGGAGAAAGCGAGGGAGAGAGAAAGAGGGAGAGAGCGGGAGATAATGATGGGAGAGATCGGGACAGAGAAAGCGGAGGTGGCTGTGATGGCCGAGGTGGTGCTACAAGAGCCTGGCAGGGAGCGTCTGCACAGCGAGCCCACCAGAGGGCCCCGAGGGTCAGGACTGACCCTTTAGGCCACGCTGAGCCCCAGGTCCAGACCCACGGCCACCGAGGAGATCACAAGATAGAAAGGCAGCTGTCCAGCGAGCAGCTGATCCAGGCACGCAGGGACGAGTTGCCTCAGGAGGTGTGGAGGGAACATGCAGAGAGGCGGGATAGACGGACGCTGGAGAGACAAACGTCAAGTGAGAAGGAGGGCCATGGAGGCCACGAGGGCCGACGAAGAGAAAGAGATCGACACCGGCTGGAGAGGCAGGAATCCAGCGAGCACGACACGGGGAAGGAGCACTCAGACAGACGCTCGGCAGGAGGGTGAGACTATTAATAGCATTTAAGAGATAAAAATAAAATGTTCATCTTAAATGTTTGGCATTACAGTTGGATCATGACGGATAGTGAGACTAAAAATCCAGATTGACAACAAGGTTAATGTGATTCTCTAACTTGCCTTTTTTTCTTGGCAGAGAAAAGAGATCCACCCTGCTAGAAATTGTAGAGCAGCTTCAAGAAAGAGAAGCAGCACAGGTCTGGAGCTTTATTTGTTTGTTTTTGCATTTCTTCCAAACACACTGTGTTTGCATGTATTTAAGAAACACAGCACACCTCCCACATCACCAGTTTAGACGATCGTTTTCTTTATTTTCTTTATTTGCTGACATCTGTAGTCACATTAAGTTGAATAGTTTTAACTTTAGACCTCTCACATGCTTTCTGACAATTAATGAACAATGTATTATCACAGAAAATTAATAGCAACCAACATGTCCTCACAAAAGTTGTATTTTATATGAAAAACACGGAGAAAACAGAGTTATGTAGAGTAGGAGTCTTTGGTGTCATACTGACAGATCAGCAGGTCTGCTCACTGGTTGAAGTGAACAGGAACACTGGATGTATGACTTGCAGAACTTACACATAGACACAGTGATACCTAACGCCATGAAATTCTTAAATAATATTAACCAATTCTATCTTTAAAACCATGAATGATATGCTCACTGACTTCATCCCCACCCTCAGGCCCGTGGTGAGGTGCCCCGCCTGCCCAACGGAATACCAGAAAAGTCTTCCCGTCCCGAGCGGCCTAGAGCTCGGGACAGACCAAAACCCCGGCGGCGACCACGACCCAAAGAGGCCGGAGAGACAACACGGCGGTCCAGGTCTGCTCCGGCCCAGAGCAGCCCGGCAGTCCCCCAGCCGCCAACACACACCGCACACCATGAGGGCTTCCTTTTCCGCAAGCTGGACATCGAGAGCCTGAAGAAGAGCACTAATAGGTGGGTGTTCAGGGTCATAATGAAGGGCATTACATCTGCATGAGAGAAGTCAGAGAGAAGGAGGGTGGACACTGGTGTCATGAGGACCAGAATCAAGGAATACTGAATACAAGATAATGTTTGGTTAAATAGTAATTGGAGGTAATATTAACAGCTTAATTTGGCAGTCCAGGAAGGTTGTGTCTTCTATTTTGTGGTTTATCAAAAAGAAATATCCACATTTTCTCATAAAAAGATAACTTATTCCTCCAGCACTGAAGTGGGATAAAAAATAACTGCTGAAAAGTGCTTTATAGGAATATTGGACTCATGTCGGCTGCAGCAACAGCCAGTCGTAGGCCTGACGTCTGTTTCTCATGACATCACTTCCTCCTTCATTTATAAGCTACAACAAAGGACAGGGCATGACTTCCGCATGCTGAGCGCAAATCCTCACACACTGCGCTGACACTGCGTCGGACATTTTGAACGGATGCATGACTGACACATGAAGACACAAAAAAAAATAGGGCAATACTTAGCTAAGCCCTGGATTCACTGATTATCTTTAGAAGCATGCATACAATATAGTTTTCACATGTTTGGATTCAAGAGATGCATTTACATTTTTCATTAGTTACAGAAAACATTTTAAGGAAAGGTTCCACGTTCTGCGTAGTGGAAGTTAAGTCCTTATGTCCGTCTTTACCCTCTTCCAAAGACTTTGAACAAAGACAGTTTCTAAGCACATTGCGTCTCCTGTAATTGGCAGAAAAATACAGTTACAGTATTCAGATTGGTTTACATTGTTAATTAGTGAAGTGGTAGTGCATAATTATTTGTTTTGGATTGATTTCAATAGCACTATTTTGATTTCTAAACAGAAACTAAATGTGTTTTTTGCTCCCAAAAAGCAGAAAGTTTTAGAGGCTGATGGTTGATAATTTGTACTAAGCAATAATCCAGGTTTTTTTGTCATATTGCTTCTGTCAGCATAAAGAGGAACTGTTTGTCTGCTAGAAAGTGCCAATTCAGAAAGCTTTAAATCAGTGTACACCATAAAGTGGCACCAGTAGTCACTTTGTTATCTCGTGTTAGGCTGCAGTTTATGAATACTTGATTGCGTGTCATCTCTGATCATCAGGATCAGGATGTGAAGATACACAGCTACATAAATTTAAAAGCATCCTCCTGACATCTTACTGCATGTAAAAACATCACGCATGATGCTTACGGTGCCTCACATTCTAACACGAGCGCACAGAAAGAAAGCACAGAAGAAGACATCAGTTTGCTGGCTGGCGGGCTGATGGATGCCGTGGGATTGGAGGTTGATGAAGCTGTAGATGGCTACACTTGCCTTGTACCCAGAACCTGCCCTGCACACACACACACACACACACACACACACACACACACACACACACACACACACACACACGCACAGAATCACTACCTCGCTTCCACAGATGATCCGCCACCGCTTTCTCCAAAGAGACGCCAACAGCAAAGTCTCTCTCTGCACTGCCCTCTAATGGCTGGGCTGACCACGCACAGCTAAAAGCTCATCCCCCCCCTTCCAGCTGTGGATGAGTCCCACTCACGTTCCCACTTGAGGCAATGGATGAATGTCTCGAATGTACATGCTCTGATTATGTACATGGCAAGGTAAAGCATAATCCTGAATGGCTTAAATCTGGACAAGTGTGAATCTCCAAACACATCCTTGTTCGGCTTATGTCTGCTCTCTTTTTTTTTGTCTTAACGCTCAGATTTAATTGGAGGACAGGATCTGAGGGGGCGGACCCTCAGGATTCTCCTCCAGTTAATACTGAGACAGAGAGGATACAGTAAGCCTTGAGAGGAAAGATTTAGATTCAACCTGTCTCTGTTACATAGCTACATGAAGAGGCCCTGCGTTTGTTTACATGCACATTAATGTTCTGGTATTATTCAGAATAACCAAGTGTTCCTTGTTATTTGATCAGTGCATGTGAGCGGTGTGTACTCAGATAAATACGATACATCTTATTAAACTAATACAACACTTCCTGTATAGTGTAGTATAAAGATCATTTCATTCAATCAGATCAGGAGAAGAGCAGTTCTTATTTAATCTGTTTTTTCATCCGTTCCTCTGATTGGCTGAATCTAGTTTCTGATATTTTATCTTCATTCTAACTTCAATGAAAAGTTATTAAAGTCAGAAATAAATACATCTGGGACGCTAGAAAAAATATGTTTTTGTTTTAGTGTCAAATCAGTTTCCAGTTTCTGATAGTTCCATCCATAGTTCCATTTTTACAGAGATAACTTAAATAAAACATTGTTAGTTCAATCACCAAAGCTCTGTGAACATCATGTAGGGAGACTTTGTTTAATGGGCAACCAGAGACGTTACCTTAAAATCTCTGAAGACCGTCTTCTCATCTCTGATAGGCCAACATTACCTTTTGATAAGAGTAAACGCTCAGTTAAAAAACAGCTTTATATTCATGTCTATGTTAATGTCGCACTATTATAACCAAAGTCTGAAAGGCAGTCGTTTAAAACTTCATTCATGTCGTTCTTAAAAGCCCTGTTGGCTTGTTTGGAACGTTTTTGACGTTGATGTTTCCTAATGAGTGTTTTGAGAAATCATCATCAACCTTTATTTAAGTTCTCGGAGAGATCATTGAGGGCGAGCCTCATTTACAACGATGCGAGAAAACACACATAAATGATAAACAACGAGAAATGAGATAAAGCTACTACAGAAAATAAGATCAATAAAAGAGCAATAAGAACAATAAAATATATACACTGAAATAATTTAAAAGATAAGTCAGTAATTACAATCAAATAAAACAGTTACAGTCAGGTATTGAGCAGTTAAAAATAATATTTCTGAAAGTGTCCATAAGGGATGAAAGTGCTCAAATTCAGGTCCTGTTGTAAAATGTTCCAGGAGTTTGCAGCACTAACACTAAAAGCAGTTTTCCTCAGGTCAGTCCTGGCATGAGGAACCTGGAGAAGCAGCCTCTCTCTCTTTTTCGAGCGGGTTAAAAATGGAGCAGGGTTCAGATGTAAGGAGGGGATATATGATGGAAGCTTTCCAGTGAGGCTTTATAGATAAAAAGATGCCAGTGGCTGTTCACAAACAAGATCTTAATGTTGTTTGAGATTTCATTTAAATCCTCTTCTTTGTCAATGCCCAGGTTTAACTCTGCTTTAAGGAGCTTTATCTTCTTTAAAATCAAAACCATAGCCACGCTAAAATTAGCCGTGTAGACACCTCATCACATGCACCGTTGGTCTTCTCCAGTCTTTTAGTTATTTTAATTCTGTTTCTATTTTTGGTTCGCTCAGTTATTTGGGTTCAGGATATTAAACTGCGCAGAGACAGCTTGCTCTGAATAATACCTTTATCTGGGTGTTGTGTATTAATTGGAATGCTGTGTGCATGTAAACACGCTCACAGGGGGAAGAAGAAGAAGAAGCATGAACGTGTGAGTTTCTGTTTTGTTGCTGCCAAAATGTCATTTAACCAAACTCTTTGTCTTTTCTCCTCTTTTCCCTCGATGCTTCTGGCTGCTCCTCGCGTCTCCTCCAAGGTAAGTCATATGACATACAGACACACATGTGTGTACCCTCCCTCCCAGCCCCTCCACCCCCACCTCCTCTGTTTGTGCGTCTGTGTGTCCATTCGTCTGTGTTTGTTCGGCAGTGTGTTTATTCCTCCCTTCTTGGCGCTGGTCCATCCTGCCTACCCACCTGTGCTCTGGTCAGGTGAGTGAGGTGTTAGCTTAGCGAGAGCGACTCTGCAGCTCCTCCTGACTCCCTCCATCTCCCCCCCCCTCAACCACCACCGCCCCACTTTCCCCTTGCTCCTCCACTCCACCGCCCCCTCCTCCTCCACGCTCCCTCCCTCCTCATACCTCCCACCTTCCCACACCACAGCAGGTCATGGGTCAACCTCTACTGCGTGCTGAACAAAGGGGAGATGGGCTTTTACAAGGACGCCAAGAACACTACCACGTCCTACAACAACGAGCCGCTGCTCAACCTCTCCCACTGCCACTGCGACGTCACCAACGGTTACAAGAAGAAGAAGAATGTCTTCACGCTCAAGTGAGGAGCTCTTTTCATACTTTATGTTTAGATAAAGGCGCACGTGTGTCATTTTCTACAGATCAGGTCAGATCAGCAGATGGATTTGAGAGGAGCTGATGTTCAATCACTTCACTTACACAATAAACACAGAGCATAACAGTCGGCTTTGGAGTGATGACACCCTCCTTTTCAGGCTCTTTTGGTTGGTAACCCCAGGTTCAAACTCACTGCATTTACACCGTCCCAAAAGAACCGAACAAACGGACCAAACAACTCAGGGTTTGTGTAAACAGATTTAGGGCTGCTTTGATATTTGACCACTCGTTTTCATATCTTCTTCTTACGAGTCCTCCAACTTGAGTACACATAGATAAAACTTGTATCCCTTCAGTTACAAATACCATTCGGCCAAGTCCTCTTAAGGTTTTTTCCCCAAGCATGATTTGCATCACACTCTATGTATGTGTAATATATTTTCTTTTTGTTGCAGGACAAAGGATGGCAGCGAGTTTTTGTTTCATGCAAAAGATGAGGTGAGGCATTTCTGACTTAATAATTGTGTCTTAATGTAGCTTAAAGGGATACTTCACCCGTTGAAACATGAATCTGGATGACATTGGGTCATATCTGTAGAAATGTGAAAGACATTTTGAAGTTGGTGCCTTCTTGGCCGAGAAAAGGCAGAAAGTGTCTTTTTGGGTCATGTGAATGAAAGACACCAAATCCCAGAATGCACAGCACCTCAGGCCACCCCCACTAAGGTCAGGTTTACAGACATGTTTACTTGAACACATAAGGCCGTTTCTTCAACTGATTCTGAGATTTCTTCCAGAAGGAATTGTGGGAGTGAGTTCCCACCCACTGATCTGTGATTGGTCTGTAGCTTCAGCGGTCGAAAATATGAGGAACGAGCGTTGTAGTTTCACCCTGCTAACCGCAACAGCTTCCGATGACGCAAAATGACGATTATTGCGTGATCGGAAGCTCCTTTTCAGACTTAGAAATACAAAGATTTCCCGTCTCAGGGGAAAATGAGGGCGAGATGCACGACCATTCAAAAACACTACCAGGTTTGATACAAAGCCTAATGCAAATGGGTGAAGTATCCCTTTCAGTAGCTGTATCAGTGGCTTTATTTTATGGGTTACTTCTCCCCTTGCAGGAGGACCTCAAATCATGGGTCAACAACATCACCGCGAGTATTACAGAGCACGAGGAGATTGCCAAATGGGGTCAGCCCCAACCAACTACCTCATCCACCGACGAGGGCACGCGCCGCGACGGGAGCAAGGCGGACAACAGGTCGGAGCGAGGGGGCGAGCGCTCGGACATGGCCGATCGTATTGAGCGGGCAGACAAAGAAAGCGAAAAAGAGAAGGAGAAGGAGAAGGAGAGGGAGAGAGGCGAGCGGTCAGAAAGGTCAGAACGGGGTGGGAAGTCGGACGCAAAGCGCTCAGAAAAGTCAAGTAAGAAAAAGTGAGCTGGACGACAGATATTGTCGGGATTGAAGCATCTGAACTCCAAATAGGAGGCGGGGTCAAAGACTGGCAGTGAACGCCCCCCCCCCCTCCTCCTCTCTGCCTCCAGCACTGTCAGCGAAGCGGTTGTGTTTGGATGGAAAGTGACACACAGGACAGAAGGATTGACCCAGGCTCACTTACAGGACAGGATATGGAGCAGGAGACATCTTTCTCTCTCTCTCTCTCTCTCTCTCTCTCTCTCTCTCTCTCGTTCGCTCTCGCTCTTCTTCTTGTGTCTTGGTGAGAGCACACACAGTTTACCTATGCCCCCTGGTGGCAGTTTCAGAGAACTGCAGAGGGAGTTTTGTGCTGCTGGACCCTCCCCCCCCCCGGCAGCGTTAATGCAAGAGAGCGGGACGGGAAACACGCGTCACGTTTACTCCAAGGCTGTTACTGATTGCTGGTAGTACGATAAAACGTAGCTCATTCTGTTCCATGTTTGATTTTTTCTATGAGAGGCGCTGTATCTGTATGTATTTCCTGTCTGTCCGTCCTATCTACTGTATCTTATCTGTCTGTCTGTAAGTCAAGACATCCTACACTATGTCTTATTACTCCTCAGAAACTGAAAGAGAATGAAAGAAAGCCAAAATGTTTTACAGACTTCAAAAACTTAGAGAAACATGATGTGTTGTTTTCTCACTCGTCCGTTCTGTCTCGAGCTCTGAACAAACAATAACGCGGGAATGAAACTGGTTTTTCTTTGAATCTCAAAACAGCACTGAACCACAAACATCCACATGCACCACTGATGTATGAACACTACTCGACAGAAAACAGTTTTGTGGGAAGATGCACAGATGATGATGATGATGTAGGACGTGAGAAGAGTAGATGGCCTCAAAGCAATCAGGACAGAAAACAGAGGAATGAATGAATGTTTAATCACTGCCCTGAAACATAACCAAGGGCTTTTAATTTTAACCCAAGTGAAGGATCACAACTGCAAAAATGACTTCAATGTTCTTACAGTTTATGTTGGATTCTGTCCAAGAAGAGCAGCTTTCATTTATTTATTTATTTATAAAGAGCTTATTTAGGATTGAAGGTTTTTTTTTCTGTTGCACTGATGGGAGGCTTTAACCTTTTAATTAAAGACTTCAGACGGTACGGTCACAGCGGCTAACAAGGCTCCAAGGTGTAATTAATAAGAGATAAGACTGCACAGTTTGATGAGTGATCACAACGAGATAAAAACGTAATCTGATGATTGACTCTGGTTTTTCGAGAGGCCTCGTTTGTTAAAATTTTAATTAAGGTTACAAAATAGCAAAAAAGTGAATGCCTTTTTATTTTGGCTTTCTGTAGAGGCTGAGATTGATTGTTTTCTATCTTAGAGGGAATCAGAGAAATTCCCGGTAACCTGACCCTCAGTTTTTCATGAATAACATTTTTGGCTTGGTCATAAGCACAAAATCAGCGCCTGGCATGTTTTTAATGAATGAGGCCCTCAGGCTAAAAAAAAACAAAAAAACAAAAAGAAACAGGCCCTCGTCTACTCTTTTATTCTCTCACTACTTCAAACTACTCTTTTGTTTTTTCTCTTTTGGTTACTCACACAAATCTTTGGCATCCTTTTTTTGAAAACAGATATGAAGTGTGTATGTACACGAGCGTGTGTGTGTGTGTGTGCGTGCGTGTGCATGTTTGTGCTGCTGCTCTCTGCTCCCAGGGTCTCCATAGCTCTCAGGTTATTTATGTTAGTATGTGCTTACAGTGTGCTACATGTGTTTATATGTTCGTCCGCTCATATGACACATCGGTCTTCCAGACACGTCTGATCCAACACACATTTTCACACACTGATTGTCTCATTATTCTTCATCCCATTAGTGAAGAACGAGACGAGGATGAATGACTGGATGAATAAGAGGATGAAGTGACACGCCGCTGAGAGGCAGGATTTCAGACTGACCAAATATTTAGAGAAACATGGGTCACAGTGTCCGTATGTTGTGAGATGATTGCATGTTTTGCTTGGAGAGAAAATCACTCGTCACATACAGCTCGTCTTTGTAGCCCACAGACTCAGCATCCACTCGTGTGTTTATGTTTGAACTCGCCCACAAAGCCATAAATGAAAGGAAGGGAAGGTCAATATAAGGAGGAGAATCGTCATAGTTTATTTAACCTGTAAATGCAGCCGGGCAAACTGAAGGCAGTTTGACGCCCTGGTGGAAGCATCCCACAGGTCAGGTAGCATTTAAGATCCTTTTAAAGAAGTCTGTTCTGGTATCACAGCTACTGTATGAACGGTTTGTTTCTGTTTCTCTTATTGTTGATTATTTGCTCTGTTAATGACGTTGTCTTTAAGAACCAATAAAAAAGCCAGGACAAACCAGCCGCAGTCATCTGGTGGAGATGTTAACCACGTGTACATTTTTTAAACCAAACAGTGAATGATGATCCTTTCAGTCTGCTGTAAAAGCATAAAACACAATTTATTATTCATTCTGATTCACACATGTCCAAGTAAGTTGTCTTTACCTCAGTGTGGTAACGAGCTCAGTAGTGCCCCCTGAGGCGGAGGGCTAAAGGTGTATTTGGTGTTTTTCCTCCCAACAACCACAGGGGGCAACACTGAGCCAAAACACTGAAAATCAGACTTAAACAATAAACTAGTTTAGATTTGTTCTTTGTCTGATGTGATTTTCAAAAGGTTTTTTTGTCAGTTTTACCTCAAGAAACTTAAAGGATGATGATTAACTGACTGGTTGGATAAATTTGTGACGGGTTAACTCGACCACCTCCAGTAAAGAGAAGCTATACCTGAGCTTTTTTTTTTTTTTGGAGGGGGGGGGGGTCTTCCACTTTGGCTGCTATTGTGGACTTTTAAATATCAGTGTTTCAAAAACTCTGACCATCAACTGCTTATACGTAACAGTGACCTTTGACCTCTTGCTGCCGGTGATGGAGCTAAGACTGCCAGCGGCTGTCAATCAAAAGCTGACACTTCCCTTCTGTTTCTGTGACGGGCATTTCTAACATGTCCTCAAGTTTTTTTTTTAAATCTCTTTTAACTATGAAAATATAGTTAACATAAAAAAAAAAAAAAAAAGCTCTGACGTGAATTTTTGATTCTAGCGGATGACAAAATTGACTTTTTAAAAATCCTCCTCCATGTGCTGGTAGTTTCTCCCTCTCAGATTTCTTTTTTATATTCTCAGTCGTCTATTTTTTTTTTTTGCCTGGTTGATAGATTTCTTTGCATCTTTAAAAAGTGTGAAGATCGTACTATGAAAGCAATATTCTATCTCTCTGTACCTGTATGAAGATTTTCACTGAAGGATTTTAAATTCTGTCCTGACCTGTTGGTCCGGTTTTTGTGTTTATCATAAAACACGTCTTAAAAAAGTGTAACTTTTTTCTTTTTTTTTTAATCTTTGTTTTATTTCAACACACTTTATGCATCTTAACTGAGTGTGAATGCCATATCAATGCAATCATTTACATGCATGATGAACACAACGAACAAAGAGATGAATTTTGAATGAGCAAATCTTCCGAGTGTGAAGTGACAGTTCGGTCCTCTGCTGTGGGATCGTGAATCTAAACACTCTTTATTATAGATACACACAGGACAAACATGCAGGGTACAGCCGACTGAAAACATCACAAAGTTGAAAATGATTTGAGCCATTGTGTCGGGTCGAGTCTGTTTTCAGCAGAAACAAACAGAACATGTTTTACACGTATGTGTCTTTGTTTGTGTGCTCGGATGTACGGCGTCCTCAGGTCCTTTGAAAGGCGCTACATGACTTCAAGCTATCATTACTGTTCTTATTCTAGTTACATCACGACAGACTGAAGTGACTCTATATGACTGTTGGATGAGCTCGTACGTACCCTGCGTGTTTGTGTGTCTGTGCTGTTCTGTTCACATCAGCCTCAGTCTGTCGGCAGAGATGAAATGATGAATAAAATACCTTTTGCTTTATCATTCATGTGTTTGTAGTCATTGTTTCCTTTTCCTGTTGACATCAATGTAGAAGTTTGTTGTTGTCTGACGAGGGTCTGATTTTGCTCCTAGTCTAATAACAAATTAAAATCTTTCTATGTGATTTTTCACACTTAAATATAATAAATCAAGTATATCCTCTGAAAATAACTCTGTGAGTCATGACTGTCTACAATGGGTGTAACACCTGAGTCCCACTCTCTGTGATGTTTTCAGAGTCCTATCTTCACTTTGTTTACATCGCCAGGACGGCCGGCTGACTCCTCCCCTCGTGTATAAAAGTTGTTTAATTGAGGGACTAGAGAAAAGAAGAATAACATACTGTACTCACTGCTTAACTGTGTTCCTAGATCACGCTCATTTCAGGTAAATTTACATGCAGTGTGAAGATACGAGCATAAATCGCATATAAAGCCTTTAAGAAACACATGTTTATCATGAGATCATAATAATCCTGAATACCGGACCAGAACGAGTTGGTCACAGCAGTTTGACAGAAGGTGAAATCTTTACTTAATGTTGACTGAAATGCAGTTTTCTCAGTTTTATTTGTAGTCCATCAGTCTCTTCCATTAAATGAGTTTCAGTCTTTGACATGTTTTTATCTTCTGCACCAGAATCTCTCAGCAGTATGCAATAATATCAAATATAATCCATGAGGGTTGTCTGATATAGAAACTATCTATCGCTATGATGATGTCCACAGATGTGATGGACTGAGACTTTATGCAACCTCTCCTTTGCACTGAAGGGACGCTGACCTCTTTGCAGAGTTGAGGCCTGCAGGTCAGTGGTGTTTGGGATCCAGCAGAGAAAACTTCACATCCAGAAAAGTTCAGCATTAGGTCGAAGAGAGTCTCATTTCTTTGTGATTTATTGTTTATTTGTTTACTTTTTTATCATGCTTTAAATGTTGTGTGGGTTATTAAGAGAGCAGAGTCGAGCTCCAGCTAAAAGAGCGTCCATTAATTAAAACCAATCAACAGTCATAATGGATTCTAACAGTCCTTTGTTAAAGCTTCTTATAGGTTCAGATTGACTTTGATTTACAACATTACACTGCAACAGCTGATCAGACAAACTCTATAATGATATGGTTAGGACAATAATCCTGATACAGACCAAATGAGTGCTTGATAAGTTAAAAATAATCACCAGATAAGAACAGCAGCCTTCATTAAATCTGCCTCACAGCGTTTGTTCATATGTCGTTTATTAAAATGCTGTCTTGTGTTTACACACTGACAGGAGATCAGTCTGTCGTCACTTTATTTACCTTCTACCTGTCCCAGCTTCTAGACTGAAGTAGGCCTGCAAACACTAACGCTTTTATATTTTAGAGAAAGACTTTAAACGGGACTCAAGAGACTGTGAATGCAATCAAGTGTTGAAGCATACCTTTATAAATGGAGCACGTTTTGTGGACAATAAGGGCTGATCATTATAGACAAACACACAGTGATGAGTGTGTGTGCAGCTCAGTTAGAAACATTATCTAAGTGAACATGTTGGTGTTCATCTGAGGAGTATATGTGTTATAATGTGTCATAAATGCTCTAGTTTTCTTTCAGAAATAAAACTCTGATTTCATTATAAGTTTCTCTCAAAGCCGGACTTGATAATAATTTCACAGTGTCATGATTTGACTTTGATTACAGGGTGTCAGTACAGTATGCAGACTTTGTGCCACAGCTGACTGGACATGTTAGACTACCTTTGTATATGACTCTTTTCATCGTTCTTTCTATTTAGTTTTATCTTTAATTTACCAACAAAGACCAAGGCGAAATGTTCTCAGCAAGTCAACGTTAGCAGTAAGGAACCATCCCCTCCCCCGCTCCTCCAGATTCAAACAAACAAATGTTTCCTGTCACAGTTTTTACAGCAGCCAGAGATGATCCAGCTCTGATGAGTGAATAGTGAATATTCGCTGACATATAGTTTCTCCTCCCAGGACCCCACAGCACCACAGTCTATCTGCCCTCAGCCTGTCTGTCTCTCTGTTTGTCTGCCTGCACAACCTGAAAATGTACAAATGCATTTCTTTAGAAGTATTTTCTGTCAAAACAAACAAGTCCATCCATGCTGAATATGGAAAACTGCCCTCTCCCCTTTGTCATCCTTTTCTTTTTTTTTTGAGTGTGTGTTGCAGTGAGATTAATATTTACCAAAAGTAAACACACAAACACATCCTGACGAAGAGGTTGCATGAATGAAAAAGTATTTCTTAATGCTGTGCATGTCTTGAAGTCCCGTCCCTCCACTATGCAATCACTGTAACATACCGACACAAAACCACCAACATGGAAACGGTTGAATGAATGAAGAATAATGTATAAAAAGAACCCTGGCTCTGTACCGGCCTTTCTTTGACTTGATAAATACAGATTGTGATATTGAATGATGATGTCTTTATGCGTCTTTTTTTAGGTTCGGGGTTGTTTTCAGGATGAGACACAAAATGAGGAACAGTTGAATTTCTCTGTCATACCACCTCAATATTCAAAAACTTAAAATAAAAGGTCAATTATTAAAGTTAAAGTTTGATGATTCTGGTAATCACCTGAATTATCAGAAGGAACTTCATGGTAACATTTTTATTGATTTAAACACAACTTGATGGTCTGTTGGATGAATGTGTATGAAGCAATTTGGGGTTTAGTTTCTTGATCAAGGACACATCATATGGCTGAGAATCAAACCCTGGACTTTCCAGTTGATGATCGACTCTACCTCTGAGCACAGCCGCCCTGTTGTGAGGTCCAAGATGCAAAAATGTTTCTTAATTGAATCGCTTTGGATGAAAAATATCAGAAATGTGGTCTGCTATTTTTCATAAAGTAGTTGGTGGTGGATCCTGAGGCTCGGTTGAGAATCACATTTTTAAAGGACACAAGGAGTATGAAGAAATATTACTATTAAATCTCAAGTTCAAACAATAACCCAAATTACACCAACAGATTGTACAGTGGATCAGTGCATGTCCCACTTTGGTTCTCCACCTAATGAAATTTCCAAATAAATAATCTTCATTTTGTTTTCATAAAAATAATTATTTTTTTTAGCATTTAAAAGCAAAATGTGAAGAAATGTTTCTGTGTTCATATTTTTTTGAAGAATTAATATTTACAGTCTAGAAACAACAGATTAAATGTACCTGTCACTGTCATAGTACAAATCACAATAAACATATTTTTATTCCGTTTTTCTTTGGGGGAGGCTGTAAAAACTTTAGAAACTAGGTTAAAGCTAATCAAAAAAACGTTTCATTCAGAGGTAAGTTTTTAATTATCCACTCTGTAATCATATTTATTATCGCCTGTTCAGCGCTTTTATTTTGAAATGGGGACGTGACACAGGAAGCGGATGTTCTTCGCGGAATCTATTCGGCGACGCACAGTCCACCATGTTTGACAGTGAACGTTGGGTCGAAACGTTAAGACAAAGTTGTTGTGTTTAAACTAAGAACTGAGTCTGACTGAAGTTGAAGATTTAGTTTAAAATGTTCGCGGAGCTGTCGGACGAACTTCGCTGACTTCGTATCTCGACTGAAGAAAACAATGGAGACGAAGTTCGGCAGCGAAGTGGCGTCGATCGTGGAAGTCGCCATCCAGGCTACCGTGTGTGTTTTCAGGGATGTCTGCGAGAAAGAAGCGCCAAACTCCGAGTGGCAGGAGGCGAAGTTGGGCGAAGTTCAGGAGATAGAGAAGAGTCTGGTGGTCCAGATCCACAGGGTGTTCGCGGAGTTCTCCTCCGAACTGTTCGAGGAGAACGAGGCTCTGCGGGCCAAAGTGGAGCAGCTGGAGGATGTGCTGCAGAGGAAAGCCGGGCAGCTGGAGCAGGAGCTGGAGGCCAGGGTGGGTCAGCTGGGCAAAGACATGGAGGAGCTGGAGCAGGAGCTGAAGAGCATCAGTGAAGGGGGCAGCAAGACACAGGAGGGACCGACCCACATCCTGCTGCAGGACGGATCAGTGATGGGTGAGAGGCAGCACATCAGAACCTCACCAGGCTGTATCTGAGGGAGGGGCGGGGTTTGTGGCTCAGTCAGGAAGTTTACCTTCAAACTATGTCTGCAGATGAGGATGCATTCAGCTCTCACTGAATCTGATGACCTTTTGTCAATGTGACGTCATTTAACAACACGCAAAGTGTCAGTGGAAGAACCCTGAGCTGCAGTGCACCAAACTTCTGATATGTATGACTCCTTCCCCAAGGCAGTTCAAACTCCTCACAGGAGCTTTTGCATTCATTTATTTTTATTTATTTGATATATATATATAACAACAACAAAACAAGCAACCCAAAACAACAAAAGTCACACACACACACACACCCACACACACACACACATCACCAATGACGTAACCATGACTTTTGCAACCACAATAATGTTTCCATACCTCTCCCTTTTCATTATATATTTTTATTAAATTAACATATCACCACATTTTTTCCCCTTGCCAACCTGTATCTAAACATTCTCCATCACGTGTTGCCATGGAAACCATCTGGTCAAGGCTTTTTTGCATTTTGCAGTCTTATTTTGAAAGTTGTCTTTTCCATTATGTAAAATCTTAAGCCAGTTCAATGTTATTGCCTTCTTGGCTGCTACGAGAAGTGTATAACAAGAGAGACGTGTTGGTGCTTCTACTCCCCATCAAGTCAAATTAACTTTACATGTTCATGTGATATTTTAAATTGCTTTATTATTTTTCTCTTCCTGTGGGAGTTCATCATTTCTATCCTCGGTTTATTCTAACTCTTAAGAACACATCATCTGTGGGCCTGTGAACATGAATGAATGGATCAAAGCTGATGTTTGTCTCTCTGTGTCTCTGAAACTGGACAGGCACACAGGTGTCTGTCTCTACTCCTGCAGCTTCTCCGGTTCCCGCGGAGGAGTCCACCCTGACCCTTCCTCTGGCTCCATCAGTGAGCGACGACGATGCTTCCGGCTCGGCGGCCGTGCCCGTCATCGACCTTAACGCTGCGACTGCACCGATGATGTTTGTCGGGGGGGTCGGCTTTGCTCCCACATCGCTGTCGGAGGGCGACAAACAAGTCGTCGATGGGCCGCCCGCTCCATCGACGGCTCCTGATCCTACGGGGACATCCGCCTCGCCAGGATCTACTCCAACCCGAGAAGTCTCCAGTCCAGAATCCAACAACGTCAGTGGTGTCGACTCAGCGCAAGAAAAGGTTTGATATGTCTTCTGATTTAAATTAACTCTGCGGGTTTTGATCAATCTGAAAGGAAACGTCTTCAAAATCTCCTCACTTCTATTCTTCTGTGCGGTTTAGTTTTTTAAATGAGTGATTTCTCACCCTGGTGGAGAAGAAGAGAAAACTTTTTAAGGGAAAAACAGATTGTGTGATTTTCTAGCGCTGACTTAAAAAGAACAAACTGAGCCGGGATGTATTCTTAAATATTTTCTTGTGTGATGTTTCTGTATTAAGAGGAGCTGATTTAATACAACCAACATGTGTTGATAGTGTTTGATAATAAAAAACATTTTCTTCTTCTTCCTAGAAATCTGTGGAAGAGGCAGCTTCAGGGAGAGCGAGGAGAATCAGGAGACCAACGTCTAAAGTCCTAGAAGGTATGACGATACTGAGTAAACACTGGAATGAAATCTTTAAATAATGAACGACTGATTCTAGATTTCTGATGTAATTTCCAGCGTCCATGGTGCAAAGCGCTGAGGAGAATAAAACCAGGTCAGGTGGCGTGCAGGGCAGGAGGCTTTCAAAGAGCGAGCCTCAGACTGTGAAGCGTTTCCCCTGTGAGCTTTGCAGCGCCAGTTTTCATTGGAAAGGTGAACTGAAGAAACACGTGAAGGTCCATAAGCAGCCGTTTCCTTGTGAGCAGTGTGGCAAAAGCTTCCTGGAAAAGAAGTCTCTGGAGAATCATCTCCTGCGTCATGAGACACACAAAGCCCCGCTGCCCTTCCCCTGTCCTCAGTGTAAGAGATCGTACCGCAAAGAGCAGTCGCTGCAGAATCACCTGAAGCGTCACGAGCGGCACAAACCGCCCAAACCGTTCTCCTGTGATCAGTGCGGGAAGACTTTCAGAATAAAAGCATCTCTGGAGAATCACCTGCTGCGCCACGAGAAGTGGAAGCAGATGTTGAAGTGCATGCTCTGCGATAAGACCTTTAGGCTGCCGGTGCAGCTGAAGGGTCACATGGCGGTGCACTCGGAAGAGAGACCGTTCAGCTGTGCCACGTGCGGGAAAGAGTTCAAGAGTAAAGACACGCTGCGCTTCCATCAAATGGTGCACACGAACGCCAGAAAATACAAATGCACAATGTGCGAGGAGGCTTTCAAATACGCGCACTCGCTGACCGTGCACAAGAGGAAACACACGGGCGACACTCCGTTCATATGCTCCGTGTGCGGCCGCTCGTACAGGACCGGCACGGCTCTGAAGAGACACAGCCTGGTCCACACCGGAGAGAAACCGTTCACCTGCCACATATGTGGAGCCCGGTTCAGCCTGAACAACAACCTCAAGAGGCACCTTCGCATTCACACGGGGGAGAAGCCGTTTACCTGCCAGGAGTGCGGCAAGAGCTACTCCGACAACAACAAGCTGAAGTCTCACATGCTCGTCCACGGCGCCAGAAAACCTTTCATGTGCGACCTGTGCGGGAAGACGTTCCTCTTCAACTGTAGGCTGCTCATCCATCAGAAGTACGTGCACGCCGACAGGAACGAGGACACGGACGGCACACAAAGAGTCTTGCAGGCGAGAAAGCGAAACAAGTCGCTGGTTAAACCGTTCAGCTGTAAGATCTGTCTGAAGGGTTTCAGCGCTGCGTGCTCCCTCAAGCTTCATGAACGAGGTCACAGCGAGCACAAGGAGTTCAACTGCGGCATCTGTGGGAAGTCTTTCCATAACAAATACTCTTTTGGATATCATCAGAGAAGCCACTCGGGGAGAAGCCGTTTGTGTGCGATGTGTGCGGGAAGAGGTTTTTCCACGCTGGCAGTCTGAAGCAGCACGAGCGGATTCACACCGGGGAGAAACCGTACAAGTGCGACCAGTGCGGAAAATCCTTCAGAACAGACGGAAACTTCTACAGACACTTGAGGATCCACACGGGGGAGAAACCATTCGAGTGTTTGTACTGTCACAGGAAGTTCCACCAGTCGAATCAGCTCAAGTCGCACATGCAGGTCCACACGGGGCAGAAGCTCTACCCGTGTCAGCAGTGTGGCCGCAGCTTCTCGGATTCAAGGCAGCTCAAAAAACACACCTGTGACGGCTCGTAGCCGAGGTGACGCCGCACTGCAGAGTCCACCACAACGCTCATGCTTCATCCGTTTGTCATTAATGAAACAGTGGTGTGTTGTATCAAGGGAGACTGAATAACTTGAGTTTGATCTTGAAATCTAGCTTAGCTGAAGTAGACAAAATAACTTTAAAAGTTCTGTCTTAAACTGTCAATGAGAGCTGTTTCTATTTGCTCATAAATCACACAGACAGAAGTTTCATCCATTCCAGTTCAAAGAATATTCTTTTTTTACAATTACTTTGTGAAACTACAAAACATTTGCTTTAACAACTTCATAACAGTTAAAATAAAAAAAATAAAAAGAAGTGGCAGTAGCTGAAATAGTTTGCTCCTTTAAGGCCTCTGTTTACTCTCCCTTGTTATTGCTCCTGATGTGCTTGAGTTCAAGAATCAATCCAAATTCATTCATACGGTAAAAAATAGTCACAGCTCAGCTCTTTTTCAGAGTAGAGAAACAAAGTTTTGTTCTGGTCTTTCCAATACCTTCTTTTTCCTCTTTACTTTTCAAATGCCGCTTAATGAATAGAAAACGTTTTCCGACTAAGAGCTATTAAGATGTAATTATTTTTTAAGGAAAACGTTCAAATGGTGAAATGGCTTTCTAATTATAATTATATTATTTCTGTTTGATAAGGCTCTGTTTCTATTTTCTCTGTTTGTTGTTGCAATAAAACAATATGCAAATCGAAGCCACTTTTAAGAGCTTTATTTTGAAATAATACAGTTAAATCTACGCTGCCTCCATTTCCGGTATGTATGCCGCTAACTTCACTGTTGCTGTTGGCAGTTTGAGAGTCGGCCGTTGACTTTAAAGATAAAATGTCGGAACACTTTGTGTTTTGTGGTGAAACAAAAACCATCCTGGAGACAGTTATTAATGTCGCTGTTGATTTAATTAAAAACTCAAAAGAGGAGAACCTGGTGAAGGAGCCAAACCGAAGACGGGAGGTGAGTTAACGGTTCAAATTCTGCGGTAACGCCGTTTTTAACCGTCAGAAACTCTAAATGTGGGAGATTGACCCGACGGAGAGAAATCAAGTGACGTTACGGTGACAAGCGGAACAAAGATGGCGGACTACTCCCTCGCTAGCTAACCTTCACTGGGAAGACAGTTCTGAGAGTCAAAGTAACAATTATGGAAGAAAATGTTTCTGAAAAGTGTTTTAAAAGAACATTTATGTTTCTTTATTGACGGCGTCTGTCAAATAAATGTCTGCTTTAACGTCACAGCAATAAAAACAGTCTGAGGTGACTTTGTTTAATGTGTTTCAAACGTTACTGGAGTGAAATTATCTGAATTATTAATTAAATTAAATTACATGATGGTTTGTTTTTATTTCATTTCAGAGGGATTGCAATTTTTTTAAGCCTTTTTAAGAATTATTTCCAATTAATTAAATTGACAGAAGCTGCCAGTAGAGTTTATTATTTTAAATCAATACATTTAATAAACCAGCTTACTTTAAAGAAGAGGTTTTCTACCTTTTTGATATATTTCCACACATTAGTTAAACCAAAATGCTTCTTATAAATAACTATTTGAGTCACTTTTTCTGTATATAATGTTTTTGATGGGTTCTTTTCGTTTGTTCTCATTAACATCAACTGTTTCTACATCCTGAACTATGTGTGGGCAGAGTTTGGATCAGGATTTGGTGCTAATCAGAGAAACTGTTCTTTCATTTATAGCAATATATTTTTTTTTTATTATAAAAAATAATGTTGACTTCTTGTTTTAATCCTGACAGACAGATTTAGCAAACACTTTGGAAATGTTGGCACGCGAGGCAACAAGAAAGATGAATGGCATTTTCTTCCAACTGTCCTCAAAGCTGCTCAACGAAAACTCGACTCTGAAGGTGGAAGTGAGCCGGCTGGAGAGCGAGCTGAAGACTTTGAGTAGAGACTTTGAAAATGCTCGACTGTGGAGAGAAAACGTCCTGAACGGCTGCCCGGTCCTGTTCGAGCAGAGCGGCTTGATCCACACCTTGAAGCCGATCGGGAAGTTAAAACTGAAGACGGGTGAACTGACTGATGGAGGCGCAGAATCTTCACCTGCTGAGAGATACAGGGCGGACACGATGCTGGTGAGATTTCAGTAAAGCGTTGAAAAACATCTCTGCAGGTGTTTGACAGGTGTGGAGGAGGAGACGGGTAAAACCTTAAGACAATGAGAAAGGCTCCTGTCCAAAAGAACAGCAAGAGTAGTTTATATAAAGAACGTTTCATGTCCACAACATATTTAAATGTCATAACAGAAAAGATAAAAGAATAAAAAAAACAGGAACACCTTCTCAGTTTTAATTTCCAATGAAGTTTAGCAGGTTACACAATTTTCTTAAATTAATAAATCATATATTTTCCAGGCATTAACGCAGGACAACATCTTTCAAGTATCCAACACAGTGCAAACAAATAAAGTCTGTCTTTACTGCAATCCTTTGAAAGAAAGTGTCATTTGTTATAATCTGATAAAAACATGTTTTCTTGTGACATCCTTTGAATTTGCAGAACCAGAACAGGTACTTTTAGTTCTGGAGGATTTCAGAACCGATCAGCATGTTTTATTACGGGGAACATTTCTTTAGTTGACTCTTGTCATGACTCGTGTGTCCTCTTTCTTTTCTTTACCGTGACTCACAGATGTTGGGGAGACAACAGAGGAGGTGAACTCTGAAGCTGTGTCCTCAGAAAGGAGACAAGAAAAGATTTTAAACGGTAAAACCATGTTTGAATATCGTACTGTTCAACACTATGGCTCATTAAGTATTACTTATTTGTATCAACATGTTTCTGTTGGTGTTGTTCTTTTATTCTGGACATGAGTGATGGATTTTTAACTCTTTCTTTTAAACGTTTGTAGACGACGTGGAGGATCGCACCACAGAGGAATGTAAAAACACACAGGAAGCAGGAGTCAGGAGGAAAGGGAAGATCTTTGTGTGCGATGTCTGTAACAAGAGCTTCAACAGGCAGTTTCATCTGATGAAGCACATGAACACTCACAAAGAACAGAGGCCCTTCTCCTGCAGCCAGTGCCCGAGGAAGTTCAGGAACACGGCGACCTACGAGTACCACCTGCTGCGGCACGAGGAGAGGAAGTACGCCGCCTTCAAGTGCCAACTCTGCGAGAAGACGTTCAAGAGCAAAATGAACCTGAAGACTCATCAGCTCGTGCACACCGACACGAGGCCGTTCACCTGCTCCACCTGTGGGAAGGGCTTCAAAGCCAAACACAGCCTGCAGGCTCATCAGACAGTTCACTCCGTGGAGAAACCGCACAAGTGCTCCGAGTGCGGCGAGAGCTTCAGGTACGCCATCACGCTGCAGTGCCACAGAAGCACTCACACTGGGGAGCATCCCTACAAATGCGCTGTGTGCGGCAAAACTTTTGTAAAGAGGAGATCCCTCCGCACGCACCAGTCCGTCCATCGAGGGAAAATCTTCACATGTGAGACGTGTGGAGCGGGCTTCACCCTGCAGCACAACCTGAAGAGACACATCCGCATCCACACGGGCGAGAAACCGTTCAAATGTGAAGTCTGCGGGAAGAGTTTCATTCAGGACAACAAGCTGAAAGTCCACATGCTGCTGCACGGGGCGTCAAAGTCCTTCATGTGCGACCTGTGTGGGAAAACGTTTCTTTACAACTGCCAGCTGCAGAAACACCAGAAGGTTTCTCACGACGACAGACACGGGCAGGTCGTCACGCGGCGAGCTCGAGAGCGAGGCACCCGGAGAGTGATCTACCGACGGGACAGGACCACAGTCGACGTGACGCCGTTCAGCTGCAAGACCTGCCACAAGGGCTTTGACACGGCGCCCGCACTGAAGAGACACGAGCTCATTCACACGGGTCAGATGCAGCACAACTGCGACACATGCGGGAAGTCGTTTTTCTACAAAGCCACGTTCGACTACCATCAGCGGATCCACTCCGGAGAGCGGCCGTTCGGCTGTGACGTGTGCGGGAAGAGGTTCATCATCCTTCAGGCTCTCAAGTCCCACAAACTGCAGCACTCTGGAGAGAGACCGCATAAATGTGAGCAGTGCGGCAAGGCCTTCAGGATCTACACAAACTACCTGAGGCACCTACGGGTCCACACGGGGGAGAAGCCGTACGAGTGCGAGGTCTGTGGAGCGAGGTTCAGGCAGCTCGGACACGTCAAGTTTCACATGCAGGTCCACACGGGAGAGAGACCGTACTCCTGCAGCAGCTGTGGACTCGGCTTTTCAGACTCGAGGCTGCTGAAGAAACACAACTGTAGTGAGAAAATGTTGGGAAACACACTCAGTACATCATGAAACTAAATATGTGGATTTCACTGATTCATCGATGATGACTCTGTATTCTACCCTGAAGAAGATCTCAGATAGTGATTGTCCCGTCAAGGCAAAGCTCTGTTTGTTTGTTAGTTCAAACCTGCATCGTTAGTTAAATGACTGTAAAGAGAGACAGCTCTATACTGCCTGGAGAAAAGTTCATTTAAACTAATAGTCTTGAATGATTCATAGTCATCTTGTTTGAATTAAATACCTTCAGACACTTGAAAGAAGCATCAGGGTGCGTGTGAAAGCATTTCATGTTGACAGTTAAAATTGTCCACAGATACAGAAACAGACAACTGTGATACCTAAAAGAATCTGCTTTAAAATAAAGTTTTTTTATTATTTGATGACCTGATTCATGTTTTCAGTTTTCTATAGTTATTGAATTATATATCTGATTTCTTTGTTTATTCATTTCTTTATTTATTTATTTATTTATATATTACATAGATAGTAAAGGCGATGACATTACGCTTGTTGATGTCATTATTTATTTGAACAAGAATCTGTTTTTTGACCATTATTGTTTTTTTTTCCCATCTTATCGAGCTTGCTAGTAATGCTGTTCCTCACCGTGACCACTGGGGGGTCAGAATACGTGATAAAAGTAAACTCCAGAGACCATCCAGACTTGAATTGAAATCCTTTTGTGAATACGTTTTTAAATAAAACATGTTTTGCTGTTTTATTTATAATAATCTTGTAAATAATCGTAAATATTCATTGATATTCATTCAGAGTGCGCTAGCAAAACCAGAGGTAAGCCGCCTTTTTTATTTAGTGTTGCAGTTTCTTATATTGGCCACTGGAGGGCAGATGAGTAAACAGAATAAAATACCTACAGAAGAAGCGACTAGAGGAAAACGAACTTGATGATTAAAAAAATAGATCGGTACGGTTGATTTAATGTTTTTATCAAGCCGTGTTTCTAATTTTAGAAGCTTTACCGTCAAGCCTTCTACGTTATCTTTTGTAACTTGACGAGTGTTACCCGGATGTAGTTCTGATATTTGACCACTAGAAGGCAGTAAACTCACAAGTGTTAGGTAGTTATTTCAAGAGTTAGCTAATATGATCTCTAGAGCAGCCAAAAGTTAACAATACAAACATGTCTGGCTGATATTGTTGTTGGTTGTGAAATCTTTACAATATTAGTTTTTGAAGCGTATTTTTTATTTTTTTTTATCATTTATTTTATTTTAATCATACTGAAGTTCCTTCATCTGGCCACTAGAGGGCAGTGAGCGCCAACAAACCAACAGTGAACTTAGTTTAACGTCAAGGTAGATACAATGCAGACAACGTTTCCGGTAACAATTTTTAAAGTAAAATAAATTACAAACTTGGATCTAATCTAAATCATTATAGTTCTTACATAAGAAGTTCAATATTACACTTTTAATATCAGCCTTAGATCGATTTTATGAAGGTGGTGTTAAGGTTAGGCCTATTTATTTTGTACTTTATTGTAGTTGGTACAAATTTACAAACTGAGGCAAACATGCACTACATTCATAAACAATTATTTAAGCAGAATAAACACATAACTTAGGGAAATCAAATCACAAGATATGGTATACAATATTAGTAAATCAAAGAAACAGAATAAAAAAACAACATTTTTGGACAGTTTGTTTGTGAGGTAATATTAATTTATTTAAAGTGTTCTTTAGCACATTTGGATTTCATGAATTCATTGTAGTTGGTCCATTTTACAATTTACAAACTGAGGCAAACATACACTACATTCATAAACAATTATTTAAGCAGAATAAACACATAACTTAGGGAAATCAAATCACAAGATACGGTATATAATATTAAAGTAAATAAAAAAGAAACATTGACGCAACAAAACAAACATTTCAGGACAGTTTGTGAAGTAATATTAATTTATTTAAAGTGATCTTTAGCACATTTGAATTTCATGAATTGTGCTGAATGGAGTATTCGTGCTTTTATTTTGAAGTCATTCACTTTGGAAGCGGAAGTCGAGATCCATGTTAGTGCTGAGAGTTTGTAGTTCATCGTAACGATGACATTGTAGCACACGAGTGTTTATGTTTCGTTATAAAATAATAAATAGAATCCAAACACTAAACATTATTCTTCAGGATGTCAGATCCGGAGTCGCGGGTTGGCGCCATTCTGGAAATTATGGTTACGGCGTCTGTTACAGAAATGACGAAAGTTATCAGCGGTTCTGATTCAACTCGTGCAGAAGAGTGTTCACACGGTGCTGCTGAACACACAGACGCGTTTCAGGACGACAAAGTGAGTTTTAAGAGATGTTTGTGTCGGTGCTGTCGGTGTCGGTCTCCCCGGTGATGAGGAACAGCCGGCCGAGCATAGAAATAGAAGAGCTAGCTACCAGCTGTAGTTCCCGTTCAACCACTAACTCCAATAAACAATCACTAGGATGCTTTTTTTTCTCAGTTGTATTTATTTTGAAGTTAAACTAGATGAAAACATTCAGGTTTGTCTCATAAAGGTAAAACAACAAAGGAGAAGAATCCATCTTTGATCGCCATTTTGAGTTGGGCTGCAGGCTCAGGCCTATCTATCTGCTGTATGTCTACAGACGTTTTTCAGCCACAGGTTTCTGGGACGTTTCAGCTGCAGGTTTCAGGTGTTATGACGAGAAATGCATCCCAGACAAGTGATGCATGCACCAACAATCAAAACACAGCATACAACAACAACAACAACAACAACAACAACAACAAAAATGTGTTTCCACAGTTATTAAAAGATAAACACCTCACAAACTAAATGCACAGTTGACCACCTCACAGTGCAATACAAGTGTGCAATATTAACCTTAAAACAAAAAACAGTGCAATTATATAATGTGAAAAATATGTGTGCAATAAGAAAACATATTTATATTTTTATCCCCTTGTTATTTTTTTTGTATTATATCTTTGCTTTAATACAGTGTATACCTTCTGTACAGTTTATTTTAAATCACTTAACTGTTACTACAACTTATTTATTTTTACTTTTACTTTTTTGTACTTTTCTACTCTTTTAATGTTATTCTATTTTATATATAATTTTAACTTTTTTTGTAGAAGCTGACTCAGGGAAAACGCACAAGAATTCCAATGTACCTGTACCGTCCTGTACCTGTGCAAACGGCAATAAACATCTATTCTATTCTACACAGAAATCTAATCAATGAAGTCATACACACTACAAAGCAAACATCACTTACCACAAAAGTGATCATACACACACACATACATCCATAAAGTAACTATTCACATGCTTTGGAGAACAGAGGTTTTGAGTGTTTCTCAGATTTAAAGCAGACGTGTTAAGCTCTGTCTCGTGTTAGTGTCACTCTCTCTGGTTTTTAAATTGATCTCGTCATGGATATGAATTTATCCAGGGTGTATGTGACTTTCACAGTCATCTGTGTTGTTCCCGTCAGGTGATCCAGTTCAGCGTCTTCATGGCATCTCTGGCTCGAGAGGCTGTAGAGAAGATCTGCGAGCTTTTCCACGAATGTTCTTCCCTGCTGCGGCTGGAAGTACGTGACCTCTCTGTGTGTCAGGACGTTTGTTTAGCAGTCATCGAGAATTAAAAGGAATCAGAGATCTCAATCAATCCAAATCTGCATTTGTAATGATTTGTGTTTGCCTCCGCTCCTCAGGTGACGCAGAGTGTTGCAGAGATCGAGGACCTGAAAAGGAGGCTGGAGGAGGCAGAGACGGAGCTGATGCTGGTGCTGGAGGGCAGCAGAGGCCAGGTGGAGGTAGAGGAGGTGATAGTGGGAGGGACGGCTCCAGCCAACGGAGCAGGAAGAGAGATAGTGAAGGGCCGGCGCTCAGGGAGGAAGAGTCGCAGATGTGAGGGTTGTTTACACGTTAAATACATCAACTTTAGAAAGTAAACTGCCTCAAAAAACCCTGAAAACTTTAAAATACTGAAAAAAATGTTGTGGCATTTTCACAGTTGTGGCTGGCGGTGATGCTGGAGTGAAGAGGTCGCCTATAATTCACCTGTGGAAAGGCAGAACTTATGAGGTAAATCCTGTCAGGTCGTGTGCAGATGATATGACATCTTAATGCTGCTCTGTTTCCAACATCTCTTCCTCCTGCTTTATTAAAAAAAAAACTTGTATTTATAACTAATAATAACGTAAATATGGATTCACCTAATTGGAATAAAGAAGCCCGAGCTAACCAAAAAAAAAAAACTTTACTAAAAATCACAGAACATGAGGACAGAGGGTCAAGATGCTGTGCTGTCTTTGCTTTAACCTTTAAATCTGTCCGTTCTCTCTCTCTCTCTCTCTCTCTCTTCTCTCTCTCTCTCTCTCTCCCCCTCCCTCCCCCCCCCCTCAGGACAGTGTCCAGCCCGTGATTATAAAGGAGGAAGGATGGGAAGCGTTGGCTGACCAGGCGTCCTCTGATTCTGGTCAGTACAGAGATGACCAGGCCCAGGACAATAGTGACGACCCAGACTACCAGGTTGACTGAACAAACACCTCGTTCATTTTCTGCTTCTAATATTTTATCACATGAACACAGGGTCCGTGTTTCTAAACTACAGAAGTGGTGATTCAGACCATGTGTCAGTGTGGGTTTAGAGGCCAGTTTGTGTTAAAAACTAAAAATCTATTTAAAAAAAATAAAAAAATGTCAGTGTATTCTTGGATTTTGTTGGTCAATACTAATCTCCATGATTTTTTAAACCGCGTTAGCTGGAGCCAGAAGATCCAGAAGACGGCGATCCAGGATTCACCAGCAGACCCAAACGTGTAGTTAAACCCAGGACCAGTCGAGGTCGAGCAAAGAAGGAGAGGAAGACTCTGAACAAGCTGCCTCTGAGCTGCAAACTATGTAGGAAGACCTTCCCCAAGCTGCAGCAGCTCAAAGCCCACCTGGCCGTCCACGAGGCAAACACAGAGAAACCTTTCCACTGCTCTCAGTGTGGAAGAGGTTTCTCATTCCAGCGAAGTCTCAATGCACACATGCTGCTTCACACAGGTGAACGTTTTATTGTTTGTCAGTCTTATCAACGATTAAATAGTTACAGGGACGTAAGAGCTCCACAAGAAACTCTGAGAAAGTTGGTGGTGCAACTTAATCAAATATGATGCCTATTTCAATAACATTTATATTCACTCACAGACGATCTTCAGCTTTTTTTAATGACGTAGTTGCTCATTTGTCTTTATTCAGTTATCAAAGAGAGAATCATTTAGACTAAACTACACAGTAAAGTTCCTTAAATACAACACAAAGAGTTTAAAGGAGCTGAAAAACTCAGCAGGGCGGCAGAAAAAATAAAATCTGAAAAAATCTTAAATGTATTTCTTTACATTCAGAAATGTTTAGTAAGATCTTTTATGTATTCATGTAACATATTCTGTTATTCTTACAATACTCGTTGCTGTCATACTCAGGTGAGAGACCACACACCTGTGATGTTTGTGGAAAAGGTTTCACCCTGAAGCAGCTCCTCAGAAACCACCAGCGTCTCCACACCGATGTTCGGCCGTTTCGCTGCGATCAGTGCGGAAAAAGCTTCTACCGAGCTCACGGCCTGAAAATGCATCAGATGGTCCACACGGGGGAGCGGGCTTACAACTGCCAGCACTGCAGCAAGAGCTTCACAATACCAGGAAACCTGCAGCGACACCTGCGCATACACACGGGGGAGAAGCCGTACAAGTGTGAGACTTGTGGTAAAAGCTTCAACCAGGCAGACACTCTGAAAGGCCATCAGCGGATTCACACCGGCGAGCGCCCCTTCAGCTGCGAGACCTGCGGCAAAAGTTTCATCCAGAAGAGCGCGTTGAAGATGCACCAGAAGACCTCGCACGCAGGTGAGAACACGCTGGCCTGTGTAGCGTGCGGCACCGTGGTCGCCTGTGTGGACTCGCTTCGGAAACACCTTCAGACGCACGCAGCGACCATCCCATGTACGTGCGTGCTCTGCAGCCAGCGGCTCAGCTCCATCACCGACCTGCGCTCGCACCAGCAGCACCACACGGTGGTCCGGCCTCACAGCTGCGGCCTCTGCTGGAAAAGCTTCAAGTCGTCCAGTTACCTGAGGATTCACATGATGACGCACAGCGGCGAGCGGCCCTTCACCTGCGACGTGTGCGGCCGCATGTTTACACAGCACAGCAGTCTTAAATCTCATCAGGTAGGTTTTCTGTTTTGTTTCTGTGACTGAAAAGTTTAACAAAAAGTGAAGAGATGCCCCGACAATCACATTCACTGTGTTTGAAAGACAGGTTGCATTTTTTTTGCACTTCTGACTAATTTTGCATTTCTGACTAATTTTCTAATTAGATGAAACTTGGCTATTTTTTATTTATTTTTGGGCTTTTTGTGTGTTTAATGGAGATATGACAGTGGATAGAATCTGAAATCAGGGAGAGAGAGAGTGGGGAATGACATGCGGGAAGGGAGCCACAGGTGGGATTCGATCCTGTGCTGCCTGCTTGGACGACTATAGCCTCCATACATGGGGCGTGCACACTAACCACTGGACCACCAGCGCCCCGAACTTGGCTATTTAATGTGTACTGAGGACACTTCCTGTTGACATCTAGTGAATCTGGATGTATAAATTAGGGATTCAATTACTCTAAAATCAACTGTTTTGTTAAGTCTAGTATTTGTTAAAAGGATCAGTGTTCATATCTTTGAAGGTGACAGAGTAACTTCATACTTCCTCAGGAAATTATGTAGGAACGGTTAGGATATAAATACCCAGATGTTCTTGTAAAAGGAACACTGTGGTGTTGTATTTTTTTAAAAGACTGTACTGCACCTGAAAATGATTTTTCTCTTCCCCTTCCTCTCTTAAAGGTGGTCCACACAGGAGAGAAACCGTTCAGCTGCGATACATGTGGGAAGTGTTTCAGCAACACGGGCAACCTGAACAGACACCAGCGTATCCACACCGGGGAGAAGCCGTTCAGCTGCGACACGTGTGGACGCAGCTTCAACCAGGGAAACAGCCTGAAAGCCCACCAGCAGATACACACGGGGGAGAAACAGTACATGTGCGACAAGTGTGGGAAGAGTTTCTCCTACCTGAGGAACCTGAAGGACCACAAGTGTTTCTACGTCTGACACTAAACTGAGATCAGTCGTCTATTGAGTTTTCTCGTGCCTGTTCAGGAAGAAACGAGTGGATTGACCATAAACTATGAATGTGCAGTTATAGGAGTTTTGTTAACTATGAAGGTAGAAATGTGTGTCTTCATTTTTCAGCTAACTACAAAGAAAGTGGTGGGAATAGATGGAGGAGTTCAAATGCTTTCATTAAAAACTATTTAAAGCTGGAGACAGTTACTGTGTACATCAATGTGGTTTCAGGTTCAAAATGTTTAAAGGGTTAACTTTTTATAGGATTGTTAAGTTATTACCTGACACTGATCAAATAAGGTATGACAGATTGAGTTAGGAAAGCAAAATAGAAAAGAAACCAACTGAGATGAAGTCACAAAATAATCCTAAACACTATACATGAAAGAGCTTTTGGATGAAAAGGAAAGACAAAATGTCACATTTCTAAGTGGAAATAATTCACATTTTGAATTTCTATATGCTCTTTGTTTCACTCGAGGAACCTTCATTCACAGAGAGTCTTTTACGTTATTTTTAAAGTCTTTTAAAAGCAGAGATTAGAGGTGTTAGAAATTTACTGTCAGCTTTTAAACTTTTCTTCAAAATTATTTACAGTAAAAAAACAAATATGACATGATTTGCAGATTTGTACTTTTAGTTAAAGAGTGAGACTTAATGAATTCATCACTGATTTCAGTAGAGTTTGAGATTCATGATGTGAATTTTATACTTTTGGAAGACTGACCAACGCAATGCTTCATTTGTTTTAATGAAATTAATCCTTCTGAGGATTTAATCTTCCTGGGCTCATAGATTTGAAGAGTTTTCAAACCTTTAACATCCCTCTCAGTCACTGTTTAAAAGTTGCATCAACAATCTTACGATTCAAAATCAAACATCAGACCGATGATAAACTGTTTACATGAAAGAAACTTTATAACCTAAAACTCTAAACTGGTTTTGTGGTATGCTGCTTTTTTTTTTAGGATTTTCAAATAACTGGTACATTTAGCGGTTAAACAAACTTCATCAGTTCTTCACTGATGATGCTCTCCTAAAGAGGAATGAATCAGAAATGTGAGTTTCTGTTAAACCTCAGCTTTGTTCCTCTGACTCAAACTGATAAAGGTTAAACATTGTATGCTGTGTTTTTGTTGTTGTTGAATATGATGATTTGAAGAAGTTTAAGAAGCGTGATTTTAAAGTTTTACTGATATCCTGTACAAATCAAATGCACACATATACACACTCTACTACTCGTTAACTGATTTCCTGTTTTCAAAACTCTTATTACAGTACATGTTAACATGTGCTTAACACTTACATCCTGAAAGCAACACTATTTATTTTAAAAATCACCTTGATACAAGGCCAGGCTCCAATGAGTCTGTCTACAGTCTGTGAGGTTTTTACTTAGAAGCTGAACTTCTTTTTATGTCACATACAATCATTCATAGTTTGGTTATATTTCCAGTTTGCAAAAATCAACTTAGTGCTTGAGTCTTACTTGCACTCTTGTAGGATCATGTCATTCCACTGGATTAATGTCATTTGCAAAAAAATATTTTATTGAATAGACGTTGCACTTTAAACACACGAGACTCTGGTGCAACAAATCACAAATTAAGAGCAGACAAAAAAAAACAAAGACAGGAAATAAAAAAAAGTTAGAGAGCACAAAACCACAACAAAGGATGTCACAATGTGCTGATGGCTAAGAGAAAAGTTATGAGCAGATTCAGCATGTCTAAAGGAAATGAGCCACTTGCAGCACTTGTAGGGCAATCGTCCTGAAACAAGAGGGGAGACAGAGCGGCGTCAGAGAGTGGTGTCTCCTCAGGAAAGAGAGAAGAAGAAGAGGAGTTTGGCAGAGAAGAGAAGAAGCAGGTGGGCTGGTCTGCGAGCTTGTCAGCGTGCGTGTTGACCCAGCTGCTGATGTAGAGAGTTTGTGCACAGGTGCAGTTCCACAAGTTACCTGACAGATACGCAGCTTTCAGGTTTCTTAACGGCTCCAAAGTCCCTTTCTCCACCGCTCTCAGCTGGTTGAACCTCAAACTCAACTTCTGGAGGTTTGTGAGTCCTTTAAAAACATCTGACCCCAGGTGATCTAACCTGTTCCCGTCCAAGTTGAGTTCTGTCAGATTTGAAAGCCCGACAAAGGGCTGAGCGGGTAAACGACTCAGGCTGTTGTTCTTTAACAGAAGCCTGCGGAGGTTTTGGAGGCGAGAAAAGCCGTGGAAAGAGATGCAATGGATTTGATTGTAGCTGAGTGTGAGCTCTTTAAGGCGAGTCAACCCCGAGAAGTCATCAGGAGACAGCTCGGAGATTCGGTTGTTGTCCAGGTCGAGGGTCGCTAGATTAGTCAGATTGAGAAACAGGCTCGCGGGAAGGTTACGTATTTGGTTTTCATTTAGTTTGAGCTCTTTCAGGCTGACCAGGTCTCTGAACTGGTCCCGGTGCAATGAGGAGAGAGAGTTACCAGAGAGACTGAGTGAATATACTCTCACCAAACCGCGAAACACTGATGGATGAAGAGAGCTGATGTGGTTGTAATCCAGGTGTATCTCCTTCAGATTTCTCATCTTGTGTAACAGACCTTTGGGAAGATGCCTCAGAGAGTTATTCTCTATGTACAGGAGCTTTAGAGACTTCAGCTTGCTGAGCAGAGCGTGGTCAAGTTTGAGGATTTGGTTGTTTGAAAGCTGTAGCTCGTTGAGTTTGGAAAGTGAATCAAATACCCCGACAGGCATGGCATCAATCTGATTGGCTTCGAGCTGCAGCTCCTGCAGGTTCTTTAAGTTCCTAAAAACGCCCAGAGGAAGAGATTTCAGTCTGTTTTTGTACAAATCAAGTGACTCAAGGCTGAACAGGTCGATGAAGAGCTGAGGGGGAAGGGAGTCAATGAGGTTGACACTGAGGTCCAGCTCACGCAGACCGCTCAGACCTCTCAGCGATCCCTCAGACAGAGTGTTCATCCTGTTGTAGCTCAAGTCTAGATGAAGCAACGAGCTCAGTGAGGAGAAGCAATCCTCTGGAAGGCCGGTGAGGTCGTTCTTCTGAAGATTCAACCACCTGAGCTCACTCACGTCCCTCAGTGCCTCAGCAGGAACAGTGACCAGCCTGTTATCACTCAGGTCAAGGTGATGGAGCCCCGTGGCTCCTCTGAAGCTTCCCACGCCCACATTTGTGATTCTGTTTCTAGACAGACTCAACTTCTCCAGGAGTGCAGAGTCCTTGAACACACCGTCGTCTATCCTTGTTATATTATTATGACTAAGGTAGATTTCAGTAAGGTTGAGGGCTCCTTCCAAATCCCCAGCCTGTAACATTTGAATCCGGTTAAAGTTCATATTTAGTGTCCTCAGACTTTCTAATCCATGTAGGAAGCCAGCTGTTAGATGTTCAATGAGGTTCTCACTCAGGTCCAGTATGCTGAGAGCAGAGCAGTTCATGAACTGATCACGGAGTAGAGCGTTGATGTTATTGTTTCGCAGGAGGAGCTTGGAGAGCTTCTTCATAGGGGGCCAAACTTGGTAGAGGGACAGAGACCCATTCAGCTGGTTCTCAGTCAAGTCCAGGACCTAAAGAACATCCAGGACAAAGAGTGGGTGAAAATAATTATTTAACAGAGAAAATAAATAATGTTAGGAGTTAGATAATACATCAGGCCCGACTGCTTCGAAGTCATTTGATTTGGTTTTAAGAAACAACTTTCAACAACTAATCAGGGTAACCTGTTGTAGCCTAGTTTTTATTTTTCTGCCCTGTTTTTGTTCAACAATAAACGTCGTAATAAACAAGATGTGTTACAATTGACTTTCAATTCACTTAGGCAGACGCTTTTATCCAAAGCGACGTTCATCAGAGAGTAAGTACAACACTAATCCATTCATACATCGCCACGAAGCAGCAGGAGCAATGTGGGGTTAAGTGTCTTGCCTAAGGACACATCGGACATGTTGCTCAGCTGGGGATCAAACCCTTCTGGTTGAGAGGCGACGACTCTACCAACTGAGCCACAGCCGCCCATGTGTGTTAATTTTTCAGCTTTGGATGCGCTTGTAGGAAGATTTTGTTTCTTTTTCAAAGCCAGACCCTTTTTTTCTGTGCGTCTCCGTAAGCATTTGTTTAGAACGGTGTTTGTGTCAGCAGCAAGATAACTTAAAGCCTCTGTGAGGTACTTTTGTGTTTGTTTTGATTTTGGCGCCCCCTGTGGACAAAGCAGTACCTCTCATTTGTTTGCAAATTTTTGTTTTTTGCATTTTGTCCTGTACTTGCATAGGGAGGTTTTTTTTCTAAAGAAATGTATCAATCACTTTGAATCTTTGCGATCGAAAAGGAAAAAAAAAAAAAAAAGCTGCATCTTCATCGTGCTGCAGATTGTCTCGCCTGACGCCTACCCTGCTTTAGCAGTTTAATAACTGTAATGGAATAATAAGTCTTGTAGCTGATGGCCTTGTTTGCTTTTGTCGTTGAAATAGAGGTTTCATAACCAGTTACTACCTCCCCATGGAAAAAAATATTTACAACCTCTAGCCAAAATGACAAACCATGTGAAACCACCAGCACGGTTCTAAAAGGTTTGACTCATCACTTTCTGAAGGATATCGCCAGTAAACACTTAACAATATGGACATTTTGAGTTATAGGACTTTCCTCTAATATGCTAAAGTTCTGTATCAGGTTGCCGCATACTTTCCATTACCTGTAGATTCTGCAGCCTATGCCAGGGTATTTCCTCTATCCCATTGTATGCAACAAAAAGCTGCTCTGTGTCATCTGGGAGATCAGGGATCTGGTTCAGTCCACTTGCATGACCACATTCGACAGTGGTCAGATTGTGGAGACATTGGCAGACAGGGGGGCAGAGGTTGGAGGCCAACGCCAGGACAGTCAGCGATGACAGAGTCAGGGTCGCCAGCATGTTCAGCTACGGCAGAAAAAAAACATGCAGCACAGGAGTTAACAAATGCTACTCTGTTTTAAACTACAGAAAGTCTAACATCTTAGGTGACTGTATCCAATCACAAGTTCACTTTACACTTTCTGTATTTCCACAGGGATCATCAATTCTTTTTTTTTTTTTAATAAATGTAATGAATACTGTGATTATTTTGTCTTTCCATGTCATATTTCTTGAACTGTCATAATTAGTGAAGTGGTTATAAAGGCCTTGATCTAGTTATGTAAATAAAAAGAGAAATTGAGGGGCTCAGTAGAGCAGATGTCTAGTTTACGGAGAGGCTACTGGTCACAGGTCCGACTTCAAACCTGGCACTGTCCACTCTTTCTCCCCACATTTCCTGTCCCTCTTAAGCTTTCCCATCTGCAATGTGCAAATTGCAACACCTTTCAAGAAACTTATTTATAAGAAATTGTTAAAACTATAACTCAAATCCCTTCTGCATTTATATTTTTTATTTGCTCAAAAGTCTAAAAGCGTCCATTCAGTTAATAATTTCTCTTAGTTTGCCAGACAATTCTATTAAGTTCTGAAGTGATCTTACCTCTGATGAAAAGTCAAAGCTTTATGTGGTGTGTTGTTGTCCCTGCTGAGATTGCAGATCGTCTTTGTACTTTGCTGTAGAAGTTGCTCAGCGAGATGCATTTATTTGTTGCAGAGGAAGAAGTGGTTATGAAGTAGTTTTTCTGAGAAAGCCGACAGAAACAGAGTTTGATGGCACCAATGTGGTTACAGGTCCGACAAAACCATCCTCCAGAAAACCACAACTGCACGGGTTTAAATCAAGCATGAAGACACTAAATCTCTCACCTTGCAAATCACATCAGTAAATTTAAATTTAAATTAAGACTCAACAAAGAATGATCTGAGACGACAAACATATCAATACATTTCAGCCAAACTGAAATTGAATGACTATAGATATACATGTGGAGACAGTGGTTTGTAAACTTCAGTTAAAAAAGGGGGTTTCTGATAAGAGAATATAGCACTCACCAAACCAGATCAAAGGAGTGCAAACAGCAAACCAGTCAACAACTGAAGTTCTCCTGACTCGTCTAACCAGAGAGGATGTAAAGACATGAAGCAGATGTCAAAGCAGACTTGTTGCACTCTTCTTTTTGGTTAAGACTTGAGATGCTCACACCTCCACATGAAACCTTTTTGCTGACTTGTTGGCTAAAGTCTGACTGGAGAGATTGTTAATTTAAGCAAACTCCACCGCTGCAGTATGTGTGTTCCCTGAAACCAGTAAATAAACACAATAATTTAAAGACTGTGTTTTTTATTCACAACAATAAAGACTGACCTGAATGCACCATTTTTTATGCATCAGGAAACTTTCCATTTGTTGGTTGAAGATAATAATACAGTCTGACAAATTTGTTTTCAGGGGCAAATTTTAAGCAGAAACACCACAGATAGAAACAGTTTGTATAAAACAAAACATGATAGTGGAAATCACTTATTGGATGTTTTCAAAAACATAGAGGGGAGGAACACACAGTCGTCTTTGAGTCAGATATTAAATATATATATTGAACAGTCTGGCCAGGAGCTCGAGGCACGACTGGCCGATTTCACCTTTTCATTAATCCTGTCCAGAACTAAACTGCAGAGAGACAACGTTTAACTCATAGTGGTTTTAAATTAGGAGACAATTCATCAGATTTTGTCGGGCTCTCTCTGGAGATAAAGAAGACTTTATAGATAAAAACCCTTTTTTTTCAGGGAGGTGTGAAATTGGCGCAAGTCTCCAAAAACACTCACTGGCCCTTACAGTGGGCGGGAATGGGGGTTGTTGTCTCACTCAGTCCCGTAGGAGGTGCAGAATGGGCAGGAGTCAGATTTGGGTTCACAGATGGAAACTTTAAATATTGTATGGATTGTTCAAGCAGATTAATCACAAGTACTGAGACATTTTAAAGAGTGAGGAGAAAGTGGTGCCTCACAGAGTTTGATAAAATTAGCTCCAATTCCAGAGTGGGTTACCTGCAGCATGTCTTAGATAGGGTTAGCATTGGCGTTATGACTCATTTAATGTATCACTCTAATTGTGATGACATTCAATGACTCGGTAGTGATTAATCTGGGATTAATGAAGTCGCCTGAATCTTAAATTGAAATTAAAGATGATTTCTCATGGCAGGCTGTGTATGAAGAAGGTGTTACGCTTCAAGGAAAGGGAAGTTTATTTATGGAGCACCTTTCAAAACAAGGCAATAAAAAGTGCTTTAAAGACGACATGAGAATCATTAAGACAATATACAAATATAACACGATATTATTAATAAAATGTAAGATGCTTTGGCAACACTTTTCTTTTTCGACTTCTATGCCATAAATACCTTTTCAAGGGAGTAAAATACAACAAAAAGAAGGAAATGAAAAGAAGGAAATATAAAAAGGCAGTATAAAAGGACATAAAAGATAAGACTTGAGATTCGACCAGAGGAAAAAAGGACTCCCATACTTAAAAAGTGTAAACAATGTTTATATCCTCGATGGGAATGATTTGCAGTATCTCTCTCAGACATGAAGGATTTCAGATACTCCCTAAAAAGGACTGTAAATCGATATGTAGACACACATTTCATAGCATCGAGCTTATTAGTTTTGCTGTGTTTATATTTTTATCAGATCCTATGATCTCTTTGTGGCATGCCTCTATTTAACAGACGTAGTCTTTGAGAATATTTACTCAAACTAATCTTTAGTGGTAAACTCTTGATTTGGTAAACTTCAATACAATAGTGGGAGTGAACCCCTGACAGCACGGTTTTACTGCTCTGTCTCAGATGGTGGTGAGCAGTGAGCTGGTCACTATGGCAACAGTGATGGTTCCGGGCAGGTCGCTGTCACTGCGATCGCCCCTTCCCTTCAGGTGGAGCGTCTGCTGGAAACTACCTTGCTCAGCCGGCATGGTCACCTGACCGAGGAAGGAGTCAATCAGCAGGTTGTGGTTGTAGAGCTGAAAAAAAAAATCACAATTTGAATAGAAGAGAAGACTTGACATCTGTATACTAGTTTATAATGAGCCACCACACACACACACACACACACACTTGATGCTGATTGGCTGCTTGACCTTCTTCCTGTAGAAGAGCCCCTTGGTGTCAAAGGCGGGGCTCCGTGTGTCCTTATTGACCGGAGAGCGCACCTTCTGTCCTTCACAACTAATTATCACGTAGGGGTCCGACGCTAAAGAAACACATAAACACATAAACACACAACAACTGAGAAAACATGATCCTGTTTGGGACGTCCAACTTTAGTGCAAGTGCAAGTTTCAAGCAAACCTGATATTCATTCTGACTCAGCTGTTGCATTGTTTTATGAAAAACCATTTTTGTATATCAGAGTCTACATGCTTAGACGACAACTTAACAATGTCATATTGCAAAAAGTGTAACTACTCATGAGAGCAGATGTGGCTCTTATAACTCAAAAGAAAATAGTATTTCTTTAAGAAATGTTATCCATGTATAGGTTAAAAAAAACTGGTGAGATGGAAAGAAAAAAGGTTCAGAGATGAGAGATTTTTTTAAGCCTTACTAGTTTTTAACAACTGCAAAAACATGAATATAAACCTTGTAGCTGTCTTACAAGCCGGGTGTGGCATATCGACATGAAAGATGTGCAGCACCAGCTACTGACATTACAAAGCTGCTGCTGCGCCCTACTGGCAAAAACTGGTATTGCACTGGAGCTGCTTCAGCTGAAAGCAGGTCAGAGTTTGTAGTTCAAGTGAAGAAAAGTGATCAAATTAGAAATAAAAAATAAAAAAATAATCATGCAAATCCACAAAAATTCAGAGAAATATAATATAACAGACAAAACAAAGAAGACCTCAAATATACCTCCATCAGAGTCTTGTCCTGCGAGTCCAGCAGCCCTCAGTATGTGGACCTGAGTGACCAGAGAGGGATAACCACACAAACCGCTCCAGCATGTCTTTGGAGGCTTGTCTAGAGTTAGCTCTCTGAAGCACAGGGGGAGAGAATGAGACAGGGAAAGGGATGTCTTGTTTTCACGTTTTTCTGACTGTACATGAGCTGTAGTATCAACCCTATTCTGTCCTATAAAATCTCTACATCAAGAGTGAGGTAAGAGTCGAGCTTTACCTCAAACCTGCTGCAGATCTGGATCACAAAAATATCTGAAGGCTAAAAAGAAGCTACTCAGTGGACAAAAAACTGAAATTGAAATAACATGCATGACACTCCTCTCTTAAAACCGCCCTGAATTCTGGGTTTAAGACTAATTCACAATGCTTAACCTTAACACAGGGAGAAGTAAGAGGCAGTCTAGATGCTTCCTGAGTCACTGAGATTTGTGCACAGCCTCTAATGCATACTGGGTTATCAGAGCTTTATGTAGAATTTAAACTTGTCTGATCTTAAATGGCACTTCCCATTTTCAACTTGAATATTTCAGTATATCCAATGACTCTGGTGAACATAAACTCCGGAAACAGACACAACTGCGCTAAAACTTCCCAGGGTTTTCTTACTTGCAGTTGGACGGCACGTCGGTGAAGATGCGGAGCAGGAATTCTCCCTCCAGACCGGGGTCAAAGGTTGTGGGTATGATGACGTATCTCCCCTCTTTCAGCTCGAGCCGAACAGACACAGACCTCGAGTTGATGTAGGTGCTCCCACCAACCTTCTCCTGGGTAGCATGCATACGGTAAGTCCTGTTTAACTCCACCTGAAACCAAAAGAGACAGCAGCTGTGTTTCACTGTCCTCAGGGCATTACATCTCCCTCTGCGACCTCCAAGCTCTGACTTCTACAAATACTTATAAAACAGCCTTCTACATAAAGATTGTAAGATTCTGTTTACATGTGGACCTGAAGGATTCTGTGAGAACATCAATGACTGTCTTTGAAACACACTGAACTGACCCTGTGTATATCAAAGCCAATAGCCAGGTTTTCTCCTCGTCCTTCTCTCAGGGACGCCCTGCGGTCCTTCTGCTGCAGACAGATCAATATCTCATCCTCGGGCTTCTTCACGTCAAACACGTACTACAAAACAGGGAAACAAATATATAATGATGGAGTTTGTTCCTTCTTTCAGAAGAACACCAAATCCCATTATTCCTGATAACTGAGAGAAAACAACACCTGTGGGTTCTGGAGGAAAGATTGCTTGTTGTTGGTGCAGCCACCAGTTCGGTTGAGGAGCGTGTCGCCGTTGCGTATCCAGGAGCCTCGTATCACAGTCTCCTCCCAGGTCTTATGGAAACTCAGGTAGGATGTGTTGATGAGACGACACAGGATGAGGTCTGTGAAGTTGGCGATAAAGTCATCAAATGTCATCCTGGATGGAGGGAGAGAGAGGAAGAGGAGAATAAGTACGGTAAGATCAGAAGTATTTATGATGAAAGAGGAGGAATGAGGACTTCCACAAAGAGAGAGACGTTTAAATCTGGAGGATGTGATTAGAAGATTAAGCCGATTAATGAAAAAAGGTAACCCTTGAGGGGGGACGCCTACATAAACTGATGATACAACTTCAGGTGCAAAGTCACCAAGCTCCACACGCAGGCACAGAGTGTCTGCCAACAGGGGGCAGTGTTGTTTAAAAACTCACCAGAATTCTCCATCGTCCTGCACAGTGACCCCGATCTTCTCTCTCTCACTGCTACTGACCTTCTTCCACTCCTCAGAGCTGCAAACAAGAAACGGCGAGTAATAATGTTTGAGAAACAAATAAAGAAAGGCAGATGTCAAACAGAATGCCGTCAAAAGTAACACCACATTTACAAATTATTTAAAAAAATAGATATTATATTTCCACATCACTACTGTCAGAATCAGTTCTTGTACTCGACTACATTTGTGTTGTTGCTATGGTTACGAGTAACTTCAGAGATTGTAATTTGACTCATTTGACTTAAAGGACAGGACAAATCTAAGGATTTATGTGATGTCAAACCTCATTCAAATTTCAAAATCATTTTATAGTCTGTTCCCAAAAATGATCCCCGAGGACAAGAACAACTCTCCCTTTTTACGCTTTTCTTTCCTGTTTAAATCTCCAGCCCGTCCGCCACACTTCCTCACCTGTCGCTCCAGGGCCCGTTCCACTCTCTCTGTCCCCAGGGGTTTCTCATGCGGATCATGGTGAGTTTGTCCGATCTGAAGTAAGCCAGCAGGCCGTGGCCCAGCCTCACCCTGCGGACATCCGTCACTGCGTACGCATGACCCTTCACCAGCCCGCAGGCCAGCCTCGCCTCCATGTCTGCTGCGGTTGTCGCCTGTAATGACGCAGCGAGTGGAAACCCACTTTCAGTCAGGCAGACTTCAAATCCTAAATCCATTAATTTATTGATTAAGCCAGCGTGTTGTTGCTGTTGTTTTTGTGTCCTTCCTCACCCGGATGGAGCAGCTGATGAGGCCCTCTCTGTTGTGGACTTTCAGGACTCGCTCAAACAGCTCGTCTCGTTTCTCTTTATCATCTTTGAATCCTGTCTCCACCAGGTCCAGGGGCTCTGATACACCCCCGGTGAAATCCACAAGAGCGTCCGCAGTGTTGCCCCCATCGAGCGCCTCGTAGCATCCGCACATCCTAGAACCACACAAAATATTGATTTCTGCTTACATTCAAAAGATCTTAAATAATACATATCATTTCCTTCATATGTCAGAAAGTTCTTCTGCAGATAAAAGTAATGACATGAGCACATTTGAGAAATAGTCTGTTCATTAATAGGTCATAACATAAATCTATATTTGTTGGGGTAAACTCCATCTATGACTTGTATTTTGCATATAAAAATGTGTAAGTAATGACTTTGAATTAACTTTGAACCATTATGAAATGAATGTCTAATAAAGGCAATGTAATGATGTATGTTCTTGTTGGTTTGCCTCGTGGGACTTTTAGTCTTTATGCAAAGTGTGTATCACCCCAAAGTAGCATGACATGACCGCCTGTTTGAATCCCATAAAGAGGTGGAAGGAGTGAGGAACCAGTATGGATTAGAAAAACAGCTGCTGTTTGCTGCGATGACCCTGAAATGTTTACACACCTCCGGGGTGTTAACTGTCTGCTGTTTGAACTACATTTAGCAATCATCCACTCAGACTAACACAGATTCAAAACCTATACAATAAAACAAAAGATTCTTAGATACACCAGTTTATAGAGAGGCCCATTTTCTATTTAACAAAGCAATTAGCTCAATATGTTTCAACATTTAAATAAGGTCAAAATATTTAGACTTTCAGTCCCTAATATGTTCCATGTGATCATATATTTGATCCTACATGTTGGGCTGCTGTGGCTCAGATGTGAAGTGGGTCCTCTTATCATATGTTGGGCGGTTCAGTCCCTGGCTGCTTGAGTATGTGGGGTCCTCAGGAGAGATACTAAACCTAAACTTGCTCCTGAAGGTACCGCATTTTGTGTGAGATTGTGTAGAGTGTCACACCTGTCACTGTGAAATAACCCTGGAACAAAACTGTCACTGTGAATGTACATATTTAATTTAACTTAAATTGTCACAATTTTTAATATAAATACTGTAAAAACGACCTCATGCTTACTTCAGCATTGTTTGCACTACTCACTGCACTATTATCTTATTTAGTCTTGTAAATATTAGTCTTTGCTTATTTGTTTATTTTTGTGTTTATTGTTGATATTTAATGTTATACCTTTGTACAAAGAGAGCACAGTTTACCGAAGTATAATTCTTTGTGTGTTTAAGTATACCTGGCCAATAAAGCTGATTCTGATCCTGATTCTAAATGTGGCATGAAGTGAAAAGCTGTTTGAGTAAGACTAGAAGGTTCTGCATGGAGCCAGTTTACTCTAAACATTTTGTTTGAATCTGCATTTCATATCCCTTCTCCATCTCTCTCTTATAGAGTGCTGGCTTCATGTCCTTGGCAATTGCAAAAAAAAAGGCTCATTGGTTTAAAAGCAAAATTTAAAATAAGATAAACAAAAGAAAAAATATACAAACTTATCCCCAGTTCATTTGCCCCATAAAATAAATAACAATCCCAGTGTATTTACAATCCTAATATCCACCCAGTGTTACAAAATAGAAAGGAATACCCCTAAAATAACTTTCCCTCTTCCATATACCCGTCTAAAATGTATTTTTTGTATAGTTTTTTTAATTTTATAATATTTGTGGTCTGTTTCAGCTCTTCACCCAACCCGTTCCCCGTACCCCGACTAAATGACAAGATCACACACACAAGAACACACACTTATGTAGGAACGTATTATGTGCTTACTTGGCGTATGCCTTCTCAACAAGTGCGCTCCAGAACTCGTTGCTGTCATTTGAGTGGCAGTACACGAGCTCTCCATTCGCTGTGGGCAGCCGGTCATCAATCACCACATCCACCCACTCACCGAACCGCCAAAACCGGAAGTGGAAAATCCCGGCATAGGACTCAGGTTTGTCTTCGTCCCACTCCTGGTCCTTCCAGTCAGGAATAACCTGGGGGGGGGGGGGGCACAGAATACATGAGGCTGGTCATCATCTTGTCATTTAGTTGAATCCAGAATAAAGAGTAAAAACAAAGAAGGCAGACTTTGAGTTATCTGTGGAAAAGGCAAATTAAAGCGATCCCTTTGTGATTTTTACTTCCTGGAAATTTTTTTTTTTTTTAAAAAGGGAACACACACCTGTTTGTAGCTTCAAGTTGAAAAACATCACCTTGTGATATCAACTTGTTTTCCCTTAATTAACCTTCCTCGTCTATAATTAACACGAGACATTGAGGATTTCAAAAGTTTTTAACAAGGGAATGCCATCCACCCATATCCTGAGCTAAGATCCCAGCAGACAACACCTTAACACCGTCATCCACACCCACACACACGCACACACGCACACGCACACACACGCACACGCACACACACACACACAATCCTCACAGAAGTACATGATATAAATAAATAACTGATCCATTGAGCCAAAACCAGTTGAGCTCCCAGAAGCCCTCAGGAACCTCCCAGAGTTCCCTCTCGTACGTCATCAGTGCCTCCTGTTGCCTAGCACCCTCACACATCACCCACCTCCTTAACACCTTAAAAGAAAAAGCTTAGAGTATTTTCATTTCATATTCAGACATTTCAAACCTGAATTCAGAGATGAGATGTGACAAGTTTTTGTTTTTTATGTTTCCGACTGGATAATATCAAGAATATACAGTTCAAAGTACGGGTAATGTTTACATCTCCTCCTTCCTGAATTGCATATTCTAAACACTTTGGTGCAGATTCAACACGTGTCAGGCTTTACAGGATGGAAAAGAGTACAGCAGAAGATAAACAACTGCTCTGACTGATGTTGTTTTCACATTGATTTCATCTACCAATGCTTTCCACCACCCTCTCTTACTTTTGGTGTGCAATCAATGCACCCTGACAGATCTACCCTGTGGGCAGGATGGGGGATGGGGAGGTTGGGGACAAAGTGAAAAGCTGCTTCACTGTGATGGAAATAGTTGGAAAGGGGAGGAGAGACAGGATGTGAACCTATGAGGAAAGATAGAGAGAGAGAGAGAGAGAGAGAGAGAGAGAGAGAGAGGGTATATGAGAAACTCTATCAGAGCTCCATCCATCACAGCATCCATCCACACACAGGCAGGCCTGCCCTCTCCTTCACCCAGGATTATCTCCTCAAAGTCAGACATGGACAATGCCAAGTCTCCCGCCAACGCAATTGTGCTGGAATTTACAGAAGACCCCGCGCTGACCGAGGTGAGGCTCTCACTTTGAAATGATAACACCTCAGCTACGAGATAGAACCTAAAATTTCTGCTATTGCAAAAAAAATTTCTTGAGAAATAACATTTTGATATCAAATATTATACCCTTTTTTCTGAAATCAGAAGTCAAAAAACTTGAAAAAAAAAGGTGCAATGGAGCACTTTAATACACATTAAAATTAGCAAGGATCAATGTTGCAATTTTTGATTTCTCATGATGAGAGACAAACTGAAGGAAACTTTTATTCAATGTTATAAAGCAGCATTTTAAAACCTGTTCCTTCTAAAAAAAGAAAAATTACATTTAACGGCAACTTTTCAGCAACCTCAGAAGTCTGCAGGACCTTCCCATATATACACTTTTAATCGCCTTGTAATGGACCGCCTTGTAAAGTTTTGAATGGTGTGCCGGGTGCTTTTAATGTCCCTGGTGCAATGATCAATATCTCTACTCATCAGAGGAGTTATAACACGGGGTAAAAGCCTGGCACTCTGCCTAAAAACGCTTTTCTTTCCATCTGATGTAACCGTCTGTCTGGCAGCGTCGGTGGAGGTCATCAGCTTTTGTGTCATCACATGTTTATATGTAAATGAACTCTACAGAAAGAAGTGTGTTTCAGTGCAACAAGTCGATGATTAACACGTGAATAAAAGCAGAACTTATTAGAAAAAATAAAAATGATTAATTATTTTACAAGTTTTATTGACAGCAAATTACCAAACATCAGCCTGAACCAGTCTCTGAAGCATGTTCTTATTCTACTATTCTGAGTTTCATTAAGTTATTTATTAAGAATCTGTAGGTTTTTAAATGTTGGACTGATACATCAAGAGGTCAAAAAAGCTCCAGCAACACGTGCAGTATGAAGATCAAGTGTTTATTTACTTTATTTATTATTGGTCTAATAAAGTTTATCTTCACATGTTGCTGGAGCTTGTTGACCCCTTTCAATCTCCATGCTGTGACGGAAAATCCTACTGTTCTGATACAACGAGACATGTTACCACATTGTCTTTGCTATTATTTGATTATTTGGTGGAAAGAAAATAATTACATTACAAATTACAAATTGTTTCTGACTGTTGAAAGCACCAGAAAAGATGCTCAGGCTCTGGGGAGTTGTGAAGGCCTTTATAAAGTTTTCTGACATTATATAAACAAAATAATTATTTGTTGACTCCAGATAATAATCATCAGATTAACGGATAATGAACGTACATTGCTGGTTGTTTCCATACTTCCATTCTCAAACAGTTCATGTCTCCCTTTAAAAATGGACAATAATGAGTTTGTGTGACACCAAAAGGTTTTCAGATCATATTCTAGAAAATGTTTAAATGATTAAAAATCAAACATACCGGGGCGCGATAGCCTAGTGGTTATTACGCACGCCCCATGTACAGAGGCAATATTCTCAGCACAGCGGCCGTGGGTTCAAATCCCACCTCGGCCCTTTGCTGCATGAAAAATTCAAGTCCTTGAACTGAACATAATTTGAAAACTGTTGGCAGAGGGGCTCTCTTCTCCTCTGTCGCCCCCCGGTGGTGGAATGAACTTCCAAACTCCATGTGATCTGCAGAGTCCCTCTGCACCTTTAAGAAAAAGCTAAAGACCCAGCTCTTTCATGAATACCTACTAACTTAATGATGATGGTCTCCATATTATTGATGATGATGATGGTAATGACGATGGTTTTTGTTTGATAACGATGACTTATAAGATGGTTTCTATACTGATTAGAGCTCTCAAGAACTGCCCTCAATGTTGTGCTTTGCCTCTGGTCACTTCCTGTCAGCACCTGTGTGTCCAATCAGACTCAAAGCTGATCGTTTGCTCTTACTGACATTGTTCCCTTTTTTCTAGATCCTTGCTTGTGTTGTTCTTACTCTCTGATGTACGTCGCTTTGGATAAAAGCGTCTGCTAAGTGAATTGTAGAATTGTAGAATTGTAGGGGCTTCAAGTTGAGTCTCTTTTGTCTTTAAATTGTATCTTCTTCTTTAAAATGTTTTTTTGGCTTCATCTTCTGTCATCTGTTCTTCTTCAATCCTTCTCTTTTTCCATCTCATTGATTGTGTCGTTTTATCTCCTCTGTAGATGATGCGTCTCCGCGTGTCGTCTTTGCAGAAAACGGGTCAGAAGCGTCAGGACGGAGAGCGTCTTCTTCTCCCTCATGAGTTCGTGTATCGGCTGGATTTCAACAATCAGGAGCTGAACTTCTCACGCTGGTACTTCTCCTTAACCGGCCACGGTCGTGTCACCATCACAGGCATTTGCCAACTCTGGACCCCCGACCTCACCAACCTGATGACCCGCCAGCTACTGGAGCCCATCGGAACGTTCTGGCGGAACGCTAACGACCCCGAGGATTCCCCGCTCAAATGGCTGGAGGCGGATATGCTGGAGTTCGGCGAAAGGATTGCTGAGCTGGCAAAGGTCAGGAAGGTTATGTACTTCCTGTTGGCTTTCAAGGATGGGGCGGAGGCAGCCAATCTTAGCTGCTCCCTGGAGTTCACACCAGAGAAATGACTTTTTTACTTCTTGTCAGTAGAATCCATGTAGAGTGCAATATTTTGTTCAATCTTTGACCTTTAAAAGCCTCAAACTAGAGCTGAGTGAGTCAAAAAAAAATCCAAATTCACTCAGATATCAAAGTCATAGTCACAAATCTGCAAACTTTATACAAATTTCATGATTGTTGGCTTTAAAAGTTTAGCACAAATAGTATGTTTTTAATTTCCCCTTTATGAGCTCAGTCAAAGTTTTTGAAGCACTTATGGCACTAGAGCTTTGAAGAAAGTATTTCTCACAAAACAGGGCACACTTTTTAAGTTAAAACTACACAATCCTGAGATAGAACAAATATGAACACGCTTCATTTAGTCTTCCTTTAAAACTAAAAAAAAAGTAAAAGTAAAGTTTTGGTTCCTGGTGCTCCTCAGAAGATCAAAATATTGTTAATAATGTTAAGGATTGTATAAAAAGGTTTCCACTGACAAGAGTTTTCTTCACATGATATAAAACAAATGAGTAAGTTTTTTATAACTCATCATAAATTAAAATGTTGAATAAGAGCATCACTTTTTGAATACAAAAACTTTGAACTACAATCCAAATATTCCTCTTGTAAATAAATCATCCCTTCACCGCTCAGCTGGATATTGTGATGAAACGTGTGTTTAAAGAGTGACTTGTTCTTAGAGTTGTTGTTACCGTCGATGTTTTGTTTAGGAATTCTTTTAATCCCTCTTCAAGTATCAGATAGATGCAGAACAAGTGGCTGTGAGTGGAATATCAAATATTCACGTTGCATGACTGTCGACCTGACACAAAACAGAGATCAGTGGAGTGACATCTATTAAATATCGACTGAAAGCTGTCTGTGTGTTCTCATTGGTTCTCATTTTAATCGGTGGATAAAGGCAGAGGAAAGGGGGGGCAGTGGGGGGGACTACGGGCAGAGGTCTTTAAATATTACCCTATCAACCTCACAATTATTCTCTCATTTAAATAATGTATACAAGAACGAAGCATCTTAGGTTTCTTTTGTGGTTAATGTGATTGATTTAAATTCATCTTTGTATCTTTTTCTTCCTTTGTGTCTCTGAGCTGAACTACTTTTCTAATTCAATGAACATTTGATTTTCTCAGGTCTTTCTTACATAGATCTTCATCCCAAAAGGACAGCCTGATGATACAAAAAACTAAAAATCTTATTGAAAACCTGAAAAAAGTTTGACTTTGTGACATTACAGAAGACAAAAAACGATATTGATATTCTTAACCCCCAATGTTCAACAAATATAAGATCTAAATATTCCTTTATTTACTTCTCTGAACGATGAAACGTACAGTAACTCATAATAAAATTAGTTTGGAGATTAGCAAAGGTGCTTTGAAATAGTTTCATGGATCAACTTCCCTACAGAAAATATTTTAAGATGTATTTACAAGTGGAAAACTTGTGAATCAGCTGTTTGTAATATTCTGTGACCTGACAGAGAGAATCTCATTTTCCAGTAGCAGAGACGTTTTTGCTTCTCCACTGAGGAGAGTCAGAAAGACAGAGCTGCATCACCACGGCAACAAACAGGTTTTTACATCGATTTACAATTAATACAAATAAAAAACATATACTATAATTCATGAATGAAAGCCTCAGATAAGCTACTAAGTGGTCGCTTTGGTTTTGTCAAAATCTTTATCTGCATGATGAATGTTGATTCAAAAGGATAAATGATGGAGCTCTGGTTATGCTCGGTTGGTTTAGCATGCGCCCAGTTTACAAAGGTTACAGTCCTCTGTGCAACCTCGGCCCTTTGATGGATTTGAGAGATTTCTACTCTCGCCTCTCCACATTTCCCGTGTCTCTTAAGTTGACCAATAAAGACTAAAGCCCCAAAAAATAACATTTAAAAGATGAGTAACTAAATATTAACAGCTGAATTATGACCCTTGTGTAATAAATGGCAACACAATTAAAACAATTAATGCAAATTGCAAAATCAGCACAAGATAGAAAACAGACACATCAGGTCTGTATCAGTGCTGAATACAAATCATTAAGAATAATGATTACTAACAATGAAAATGTGAGGACTACATCTTAAAGAAGCAACTTTATAAACTCAAAATGAAGTGTGCATTTTAAGATGGAGTTTAAATCTGATCTGAATGAGAGTAAGTCATGTTTAAAGAGACGGTCCTAAAGGATTGTGACTACAAGTCGTCTCAGGTTGGTCCAAAATAATGAGGTCATAACTGTCTTCAAATGAAGTGTCTGGTTTTCCTTCATCACACCAGAGGCTTAAGTGTTTAAGGACCAGTGTTTGTTTGTTTTTGGACCATCGACGGGTCTCACGACAACTGAATGCTCCACTGAGGCAACAACACCTAAAACGAGATGAAGTTTCCCTTCAGCAGATGGAAAACTGAGCGCTGCAGACGTCCTCAGAGAGCACAGCGGAGAAGTGAGTAAACCGACAAGCGGAAAGAAGCAGCGAGGAAGCACACGATGAACACCCACAGCCAGGACTCTTACAACGCTGTCATGTTTTTTTTAAATGTCTGAAGGAGCTTTAAGTCTCACAGGTTTCATCTGACAAACACAGAAAAAAAAAAATGTTCTGCAGACGTGCTTCAGGGTAAGGAAGTGAATCCACTTCTGTTCACACACTTTGTGAGGAAAACAAGCCAAATAAAAGATGTATGCTCTCCAGCTACTTATGGACTTTATCTTGTAAAAGAGGTACCAATCAGAAGTTTGATGTCAGGCTATTAAAACAGATAAAACTCTCAAAGACAAGTCTTCAACTTTATAACATGATTGATAGAAAAAAGTGAAACTGATTAATAGAAGGTTGAATATTTATCATTAACTGTCTGAAATGTACAGAGGTAGCTGTCTCCTCTCTGAAAAACTGGGCTGTTAATGAAGCTAACTGATGCCACCTAATGGATGAAATTATTTTTTATAGCAGAGTCATCCAACTCAAGTCCTGAGACATTTTTCTATGAATTTATAAAATTTAAAATAATAATATTACATTGGACTTATGCATGACTTGGACTTAAACTCATTCAGAATTAAATTAAGATATTTAAAAAGTTGACTTTGAAGTTTTCTTGTCATGACATGTCATGACAAGTCACTATATTAACATGATAATATTATTTGTTTAGGATGTAAAGTCCTACTCTGAGCTGCGTCAGAACACAAAATGTTAAATGTTTGGTACTTTAATTATTGTAAATGTTTTCTGTTGTGAAAATTGTCCATGTTTTATAAAAGGTAACAACGCACTATATTTAGTGTCTGTGACCTCGTACAGCAGCAGTCTATAAAACATCAATAACACGAGGACCTGATGGCCTGACACTGAAACTAATCAGCTGACAGGTTTCTTTCTTATTGTTTCAAGTCGCTTTTCAGATGTTGCTGGTAGTGTAAGAGTAATCTAAAATAAACACACACCCAGTCGCACAAATCTGACAAATACACACCTATACACACAACCTCTTCAGCCCGATCAAAGCACACACTCTAGACTAGAGGCTGTGCCTTTGACCTTTTCTATTGAAGTCTTTAACTGATGTTGTGCTCTTTATTGTTTCACTAGATTCTGGATTGTTGAGTTTTTGTTTTGTTATTGTGAGGTCTGTTTTTGATGTTGTCTGATGTTTTGTTCGTTTTTCAGGTCTTCTAACAGATTCCTTTGGGAATATTAATATTGTCTTTTTTTAAGTCAAGAGAACAAAACCATCCAAACAATAAAAGAGGTTTAAATTACAGATTTGTCTGCGTGTCTTTGTCTCACCTTCCGCCATAGAGCTTCTCTGGAGGCCAGGCTGGAGCAAGCGGCGACAAACCAGCAGTTTCCCAGCTGGCCTTGGTGCAGGTCGTGTGCACTGATGCCATCTACAAATAAATGGGGGTTGCTGCATAACTCCTGCAAGGAAGAAGAACATTTTAATTTGTAGTTAATCAGCATTTACTTTTTCTTACAATCTCAAATACAATATATTATTTTTTCCTCCAATTATTTAAAAAAGAGGATTAGAGTGAAAATCCTTTGAAACTTTTGATAATCATCACATTCATGGAATAGTTTAAAACACAGATAACCAATTCTTTCATTCAAAAGGTTTCAAACCCGGGTAAACATCTCAGCTGTATATGAAAACATCAGGGGGGAAAATCTATCAAACTATTGACCCATAAAAGAAGGACGAGCTTTGATTTTCTCCCATTTTCAAAGTTAATTTATGAGCTGAGTTTTACAATTCTTCTGCCTCTTATAAACAGTTCTTTTCTAATGCATACAATATCTGTGTTGTTTTTTTCCCTGGCATATCTGCTGCTGCATAGAAGCTGTTCGATGATCAGCAAGCACAAGAGGTGGTCAATACTCGCCAGCTGCCAGGCGTGGATGATTGTGAAGTAGGGCGTGAGCGAGAGAACTCACTCAGCCATCCTTAAGTAAATACAAATCTGATGTTGAGTTAAAAAAATCTCTTTTGAATGTTCAAAACAAACCACACAGAGGTCGACTGACAGGACGGCAGCCAAATGATAGGACCGCGATAAACCAGAGACACACCCCAGAACACCACTAACTGTGTAAAGACCGACCTATAAAAGGCTTATTGTACCCCACACTTATTAACATGTTACATCTCAAAAAGGACATATGACATGCTAATCAGCTTCACTTTCATTATTTCACAAATTGTCAGAAGATGTTTTCAGAAGTCACTGCAAAGAAAGGTTGTTTCTTCAGTACAGTGACAAACGGACTGATGTATGTTATTATTAACCAGCCAGAAAGGATCCTAAATGCCCCTCGCCGTGCGGCCATTTAACTAAATTAGAGGTCACTATTTAAAGTTCACATACTGTAGCCACTTAAACATACAGTACTATGAATGTAGTCTTCTTTTCAACTACAAAAAGACACACACACACACACACACACACACACACACACACACACACACACACACACACACACACACACACACACACACACACACACACACACACACACACACACACACACACACACACACACACACACACACACACACACACACACACACACACACACACACACACACACACACACACACACACACAGTTATTGAATCTGTAGAATATAATCTACAGCGTGTGTTTCACATGTCTGGTGTAAAATGGTGTCACTGAAAAAAAGAAAAAGAAAAGTGTCTCTTTACTCTTTCTGTTAAAAATGTGAATATGATTTATTAAAGAAACAACTCATCATGTTTGTATTCGTTTACTTTCACCCTCTCAGTGTAACCTCTTGTATGTATAGAAGTCGTATGAATACACCAGGTTTAAAGAGAAAACATTAGTTTGACCTGCTGCTTACATACATTTGTACATGATTTTTGCAGAACATTACAATATGTTTCACTTTGACTTTCTGTCCTTTGATTTCACATCATTTCTTGGACTTTTAGAAACTTAAATTTGAAAACAAGTCGCTTTTTAGGTTTCACTTTGAGACTGATTGATTAGTTTAGGGGGAAACAATCAGAAGTTTCCTCTTTCTACACTCCCTGGACGGATCAATAACATCGATCAATGTGAAAGCTTTCAGTTTCCTGTTTAATTATTCAGCATCTGGGACCATCGCTGATTGACAACAAGAACACGTTATGGTTTAGATTTACGCTGTGTGTGCTTTTACACTGTATATATACTGAGGGAAGACAAACGTCTGCATGTCATGTTTGAACCAGACTTTCAGTAAAAATGACTTTGAATGGGAAAAAAAAAGAACTGTAATTCTCAAATTAAAAAGTCTTGTCCTCATGTTAAACTAAAGCCCAACCATCCCATATCTCCTTTTAACACAGACAGAAACAACACAACATTTTTCAGAATCACTGAACATAAGAGGTTTAATAGATGACATTTTCTGTTTAAAATCTATAAACTGGCCTGAACTGAGAAACATCATCAAAGTTCAATAGAAATTTGAGGATTTCAGGAAGGAAAACTTGAACAGAAATACATTTTTACTGGTCGCTGGTAGCCTCGTGGTTATGTTTGCACGACCCATGTGAAGAGGCTGAAGTCCTCGTCCCTTTTGTTTAAGGAAAAACAAAAATGTCTGATTGTTCTGCTCAAGTAGAAACATGTGAATATAAATCAAAACCATTATCTTGTGTGGCTTAATTGCGCCCACTGTGCAACCAGCCTGTTACAGTCGCTCCTGTGCTTGTAGCTTATTTCTTATTTGCAAACCCCAAACTTTTTAAATTAGTTAGCTTCTATTTAAATTTCTATTTTATTCTATATTCTATATTTCCTACTTTATATTGTGTTTGAGAGCTTCTGTCACGACCACATTTCCCCTCGGAATTAATAAAAGTATTTCAGATTCTGATGAATCATGGCGTTCATACAGCGTGAACATCTGCAGATAGAAGCTGAAAAGCTTTTAGACAATAACTCCATTATGAGCATCATATTTCCCATCATCCATCTCAAATCATCAAACTGCTGCAGTGGAAACTGCTGCAATGAACAACACCATTCACAAAAAAACTGTTCAGCAACATGCAGTGGTTTTCAAAATGTTCTTCCAGTTTCATCAAATACCTCTGTGACATCCAACAAGGTAAATGTTTATTCTAGACTGAGGCTATTTGTTAAGATGTTTCAGTTAATCATTAATCTATCGTCACACTGTGATGTCTACTCGCTGAAAAATGATCAAAAGAATAAATAAAGTGAAAGAAAAACCTACAGTGGTGTTGTAATTATCACGATAAGACTTTAAAATACAAATGTTTTATGTTTCATGCTGTGGTGAGGGAGGCACTGTGACTTTAGTGTTTGTTTATCTTTTCAGGAAGTTGCAGTTTTGTTTGCATGTTAACTACGAGCCTCTAAATATTTGTTTGGTGTTTGAATGTTGTGTCAAATGTTTCTATCTTTTTTTAAAATATTTTTGGGCTATTTTAGTCTTTATTGGATAGGACGGATGAAGAGAGACATGAAATTATGGGAGGAGAGAGTGGGAGATGACATGCAGAGCAAAGGGCCGAAGTCGGACTTGAACCCACGGCCACTGCAACAAGGACTATAGCCTCTGTACATGGGGCGCTTGACATAACCGCTCCAAATGTTTGTATCTTTTTATCTTGTCTTTAATTGTTATGTTGCAAATGGAGCTGCTGTGATGCAAGACAAATATCAGACTTTGTTAAAAGTTCTATCAATCAGTCAAAACTAAGTCGATTTACTATCACTCAGTAACCGCTGGAAACACCTAAACATGTTGTTTGGCTGCTTCAAATACAGACAGACAGAAACATCTTCATGTGCGACAGAACTGGATTTTCAGTCGGGTTCATTCCATAAATTCTTCTTCGTCAGTGTTACCTCTCCCCCTCTCTGTATTTGCATACTCTCCTTTGTACTTGTCTCACGACCACAATCCCACTTTTCTTTCTAACGACCTTTTTTTCATCCATACTGAATATCCACAGTGAATCAACTCAATGTGGTGCAGCAATAGCCGAACATTTCTGATCTGAAAATGCTGACTTTTTTTTAAGACTCATCAATTTGTAATCTTAGTCTCACTTTGTTGTTGTTTATCTAATGTGAGTTGACTCTTTATCTTTGATTGAAGCCAACAGCTAAGGAAATAACTTTAATACACTTGTGTGAAGAGGACCATGTGGAGGATTTACAAAATGAACAATGGAGACACTTTAGGAAATTCCCTGAAATAGTTTAGAGTCTCGCAAACTTATTGAAGAAAACTTGCTTTTCTCTCACCTTCGGTCTTTTCCAGGTGACACTCCCGATGCGGTTGCTCTGGTAAAACAGCGACTGGTCAGTTGTTGGGAACAGAGGGTCTTCAAACAGGACTCCTTTCTGCTGGCACTGTTTCCTCAGTGCAGAGAAAGACTGGCCAACATAGGAAACCACCATCCCCCTGCACACACAGACATACACACAGTAAGACCTGATCTTCTTTATTTCACTTCTCAGGATTTTTTTATATATTTGTATAACACAAAGGATGACACTGTGTTTCCTTTTCCTCCATGTCCTCCTGAAGCTGTTTATATTGTAGTTAGTTAAGGCTTAGAAAGAATGATATCCTTCCTCAACTCACACACACACACGCACACGCACACGATAGTCAAATACACACTTGATAAGCTATCCCACCCGTCTTTTTAACAGGATGACAAGCACAAACTCGGACAGTCATGTTTGACTAAAGCTTACCAGCAAAGCAAATACATGACGCAAGTTGAATGCCTCCGTTTGCGTGTGTGTGTGTGTGTGTGTGTGTGTGTGTGTGTGCAGACCCATTAGGTGCCTGATCTGGTGACTTAAAAGAAGCTTCCTCTCTTTTAAATAACATCAAATGAGAGAGGAAGTCTGATTAGTAGCACAGTTTAGCTGAGCGGCTACAGCAAAGTGTGTGTGATCAACTGTAACCCTCAGCTCTCTGTCACTCGTCATTCCCCACTTTCCTACTCTATCCACTGACATATCCTCTGAATAAAGGCAAAAAAACTGTTACCTTTTTATATCTTTTGGATCATGCACACCTGATGCATCAAAGAGGCTGTGTGAGTGATATTCTCTGAAATTATCTAAGCTGAATTTTGTTTCTTTTTTTAAATATAAGTACAGATTTGTCCAAAAATGTGGTTTGCTAAATCTCTGTTACATTAATTGTTTATTTGAGCTGAAAGGGATTGAGGCTGTGGAGAGTGTAGGGTCTTTGTCTGTTGTCATAGAAGGAGATTTTCTCCACCTGTGAGTAAAGAGATGGATTTCTACCGCAGGTGAATTTGCTGCTTTGAATGGCTGCAGTGAGAACTTCTGCGACTGCTCTGAGTAATGTCAAAAAGCCGGGGCAGCTGCTGAGGAGATGTTAGAGGTCAACTGTCCAAGGAAACAGCACGGGGGCAGGGAGGTTTTTCAATCATCTGTCATGTGTGACAGTTTGTCAAGCTTGGTGAGATGTTGAACACTGCATTTTGTGTCAGGGAATGCTAAATACAAGAAAATGACAAGGTGAGCAAAGAGTCAAGACATACCACTTTGTCCACAGCGGTTGCTAAAATCGTATTCACTGTTCTTCCTCTGGCTGTTGCGGGGAAACAGGCTGGTTAGAAGAAACTGAGCTGACCAGATAACCAGCATGCCTGGGACATGACTCATGGTCAGATGGTAGAAGGGGGGGGGGGGGAGTGCTTCTTTCTTATATGTTAATCAAAACGAGATCAACTTGTGTTGTCCATATATTCTCAACATGTGCAGCAGAAACTGGATCTTTTGATTTTAAATTAACAGCAGGCCTCGTTCACAGCGGATGTTACAGAACAAAACATGGAGATGTTACTAAAAACATGAACAATAGCTCTGTTATAGTCAAGGGGGACATTTAGGTCTAAGCACAACAGTGAACAATTAACAATCACTCTGGTTATATTCTGAATGTATTGTTGTTAAGGTAAGAGCAAAATAACCGTTGAGAAGTCTCTGACTCAAAGTTCTCCCGATCCTGAGTAATAAAATAAATCTAATAATTTTGGTGAGAAACACTGAGAGGTGACATCCTGTAGCTTTACATTCTCTGCTGGCAACACTCTGCTCATAGTAATTAACACCAAGGGTATAATGGTTTGGGATTTGTCATTCATGTATTTACATTTTTTTGACTATTTGTTTTCAATTTCAGTTCAGTTTTCATACATTTTTAATGCTGTTAGTTTAGTTTCTAAAGTTTAGTTTGAGGGTCCCCCTTCGATCCTCAGCTCCTGCAGGCAAATGCCGATGCGTCCTTAGGGAAGACACTTGACCCCAGGTTGCTCCCGCTGCTTTGGCGGTGGCATATGAATAAGTATGAATGGGATTAGTTAATACTGATGGGACACTTTACACAGCAGCCTCGGCCTTCAGTGTGTGAATGGATGTGAATGAGTAGGTGTGACCTTTATAGGATACAAGCTCAAGTCCATTCATCAGTTCTAATTTGTGAAAATGCTGAGTTTGAGTTAAGATTTTGTCTCTGTATATTTAACCCTTACCCTATAAATTATTGTATAAACAACAGAACAAATGTTCCAATTTCTGCTGTCAGAGAGCTCATCTGAGATTGAAACTGACTTAACTGAGACAGATCGTAAAGATAGGCTGTGTGTCCCTCGCTATGTTTCTGTCAAAGACAAAAACTAAATATATTTACACTATTATTTTATATTAGTTAGTTTTGTAAACACACAACACCGTTTCAGTTAGTTCTCTGTTTTTGGTAAAGCCTCGGTTTTTATTTTAGTTTCATTATAAAGAAAATGAATTTTGCATTTTAGTTTTTGTTCTTTTGTAACTCTTCTTTAATGATAATAAACTTGATTGATACCACAATTTCAGGTAGTTTCACAACTTCCCTGTGTGCATGAAAAGACATTTTTAAAACAGGATGAAAGTCTGACAGACTCAAAACCTCCACAGACATGAACGTTAATGAGAGTCAACAGCTTGTGTGCTCGACAACATGGAAAATAGCTTCAAGCACATTTGTCAAATGTAGTCGGGGTAAAGAGTTTAAGTTTTGACAGTCTTTGAGGTTCAGGTTTGTCAGGTCCGATGGAAGACAGAAACAAAACTATTGAAAAGATGTAGAAATAAGAAAATGAGATATGGGCTATAAAGCACCGCCAGCTGACAACTGAAAACTCACAGAAGGTTTCTCCAATCAACAAAACATGTTTGACACAACAAGTTCTTCAACAACTGTGACATCCGGCTGCACAAAGTGGAACAAAAAAACATATCTCTGCACTTTTATTAACAACCAGCTGCACAATGTCGACATGTTCAAACCCATTTGTGAAATAAAAAATAAATAGTATTAAATAAAATGCTCCTTAAATAAAACAAAATAAAAAAAGGGCGCCTTTCCTGCATGACAAAAAACAAACAGAGAGAGGCGGAGCAGGATGAAGACGGACTGACAGTCAGAGAAACAGACGATCTGGCAGCTGTGCTGAAGAAACACATAACATTATACATTTATTTATTATTATTATTATTTATATTTACTTTTTATTTTTATTAATATTATAGTTTTTGTTTGTTTGATCCTTTAACCACTTGTTTCTATTTCTTTTTCTGCTCTTACCTTCTTATTGCTGTTATCTTTTTATTTGTTTTTATCTCTTTTAGTTTCTTACATCTTTTTAAATCTTTGCTCCTCTTGGTCTCAGCTCGTGTTGTTGGGTTCTTGTGATGGTTCTTGTGATGGTTCTTATGATGGTTCTTGTGTTGCCTGACGGTTCTTATAATGGTTCTTGTGATGGTTCTTATGATGGTTCTTATGATGGTTCTTATGATTGTTCTTATGATGGTTCTTGTGATGGTTCTTATGATGGTTCTTATGATTGTTCTTATGATGGTTCTTGTGATGGTTCTTATGATTGTTCTTATGATGGTTCTTATGATTGTTCTTATGATGGTTCTTATAATGGTTCTTATGATGGTTCTTATGATTGTTCTTATGATGGTTCTTGTGATGGTTCTTATGATGGTTCTTGTGATGGTTCTTGTGATGGTTCTTGTGATGGTTCTTATGATGGTTCTTGTGATTGTTCTTGTGATGGTTCTTGTGATGGTTCTTGTGATGGTTCTTATGATGGTTCTTATGATTGTTCTTATGATGGTTCTTATGATGGTTCTTGTGATGGTTCTTGTGATGGTTCTTATGATTGTTCTTATGATGGTTCTTGTGATGGTTCTTGTGATGGTTCTTGTGATGGTTCTTGTGATGGTTCTTGTGTTGGTTCTTGTGATGGTTCTTACGATGGTTCTTATGATGGTTCTTGTGATGGTCTGGTTCTATATGTCTGTTGGGTATCGTGCACTTTGGGTTCTTTTCTGTTGAATTGTATTTAATTATTTTTAGTATTTTGTATTTGTTCTGTTCTTGTTGTTGTTTATGTTCTTCTGTGTTTGGTTTAGTTTGTTCTTGTTTTTGCTGTTTGTCAAAGCACTTTGTAAACCTGTGTTTTTAAAAGGTGCTATATAAATAAAGTTATTATTATTATTACTATTATTATTATATTAATTTATCGCAACATAAACTATGTTGATATAAACAATTTTGTCTTGCCCTGTTTAAAAAATATATCCATACATCTTAAAAGCTCATTATGTCACCCAGCTGTAGCGTGACACACACTGTTGAACACTGAGCAGGAAGTCTGATGGTGTCGGGCTCTTTCGCTATGAGTCAGCAGCTTCCACAGAGTGACTGACACCCACAAACCAAGACGGATGCCAAAGCATTTTCAGCACCATTAACCTCTAGATGTATGCATTTTTTATTATATCTGTCGCCAGTAAAGCACTAACAAAACCATCCACAATAAGATTGAGTTGAATCTTTCACATAACTGGTTTAGCACCTTTTAAATCCCTAAATTACTCACCACTACTTATGTTGTACTGATTGAAGAAAAAAAGCAAAAGAAATAAACTTTATTACGTTTATGAGCCAAACACACACAAGCTGTTTATACAGTATGAGCACAATGCTTACAAGACAGGAAGCAATTTAAGTCACCTGTTCAAATCGGTCTGCTGTCAACATTTGCATTTAAGTCCTATTTCTCATTTTCTGCAGTGGTTTGTTTTTTAAAGTGTGCTCTGTTTATTATTGTCCCACACAGCTCACTTTACACTGACCTTATATGTGATCACATGAAAACATCTGACAAGTTGAATCTTCATAGACCACAAGTTTTATCTTCAGACACAGATGTTTGATTATGGCGCAAGCCCAGAAGTAATACCAGCCAAACATGGGTGTGGTCTCACATGGGCACCACCAGTAGACATGCCACAGCAGGCGACAAGTGAGCAACAGCCCATGCAGTGTGCAGATGTTGAAATATTACATTTGAGCCTTTAGGATGATGTGTGACATGTTCAGCACACACACACATATTTATGCAACTTTAAAACATATTAGCAGCTGTGAATGCAGCTTTTCTAAACGGACTGCTTCGCTGAATTAACTTCAAGACAGAATAAGCAGAAGAGTGTGAAGCTAAACACATTACGTCAACATGGACAGGAAGTGGTAAAGTCCTCCTTCCAAATAAAATGCACGATGCAGCCCATTGATTAAAAATGTAAGCTACATATTCATCTTACCCCCAACATCCGTGTCTTATCTTATCTTAGAGTTAAGTTGTCAGTTTTGTTTTTCATTCATGACATTTTACTTTGTAATTTGTGGTCGCCTATTATTGCTATATCTCATAGATAAACAACAATCATAAAGTTTGCTAATATTATTTTGAAAGTGTTCCTCTAGGCATAAGCTGGTTAAAAAGATGGTAACTTTTTTTTTTTTTTTTTTAACCAAGATTTTTCATCTTTCAAGTAAAGGAAATGGATACGAGACAATGACCAAATGATGTCCTGTAAAACCGTAGATCTTATTTAATCTAATTTTAATCAACTTTATGTCAAACATTATAAAAGTTTCAAACAGATCCTTCCACTTGCATCCCGTCAAAGTTGTGTTTTAAAGTGTTTGAGCTTCAGTTTGAACTCCACACCCGTTTATCGCAGCTCGAAGTGACATTTCCTGGGAATCTTAGTGATGTTAGATCATCACAGTGCACAGAAAGCGTAATTAACACTAATTAGTCTTTACCTGCAGATGTGTTTGGTTATGTGTCAGCTCCCTGGGTGGAACACGCGGCTGCTCTTCCTCTCGTATCTTCCTGGGAGGATGGTGTGTGTGTGTGTGTGTTTTATTCCCTCTCTCGTTGTCAGGTCGCTGATGTGAGAAGCTTTCCAGTTGGAGTTTAGTTTACAACATCGAAAGGAAAACCACACACACACGCACACGCACACACAGGAGGAGCTCCAGTCCAGCCCCTCGGAACCCCCCCTCCCTCCCCCCCCATCTGAAGAGCGAAACTCTGATGCCTTCAATGCAGCACGGAAATATTGGAATCTTCGATGTAAGCGAAACTCGACCATTAAATAAACAATTCGATAGGCTATAATTTATTCACAAGGAAATACACCGATTTATGTTTTTTTTTTTTTTGCAAGTATGTTTATTCAATATATCATTCAGTGACATTATAGTGGAATGACCAGGAATGTCATCACAAAAGATTTTTAAAAAATCGTCTAATCATCTTGTTGACTTTTTATCGGTTATTTAATTTATTTCATTATATGGCTTTGATTAATTACGATGGAGGATTAGGATTATTTACGAGATTAAAGTCGTAAATTTACGAGTTTATTCGTTTAAATTATTATTATTTTTTTAATTATTATATTTATTATTATCATTATTATTATTAACGTGGCCCTAATCCTACGTCGTAATTAATAGACCTGTCTGTTGTTTCTTTCTTATTGTTTTTTATTTACATTTATTTTTTGTGATTGTAATGTAATTATAGCTGTATATCTGTATTATTGTATTATAGTATGTTCATATTATGTACATATTCTTTATATTATCTGTAAACTAGTATAGCATGCTCACTGCACCTTAATCTGTATATTATAATCCTAAAAACACACTTATTTTGTAGCATTACTTATTTATAGCATTTATTTATATTTATAGCATCCCATTAATCCAGCCATCCATATATACCTAATAATTCACTTTTTTAGTCTACATCTGTAAATTTTGTAATTACTGTACATAGCACAGACTCTTGCACTTTCTGCTTATTTGCACTTCTGGTGAGATGCCAAACCTCATTTCGTTACTCTATACTTGTATATGTGTAATGACAATAAAGTTGAATCTCATCTCATCTCAATTATCTGTTATTCAAAAAAGATGTTATATAAAGACATTTATTATTATTATTATTATTATTATTATTATTATTATTAATAAAGAAATCAGAGTAAAAACTGTGAAAACAACAATATGAAATAGCTAATCACAATGACTGCTGACCTCCAAAGAAACACGTAAATTAAGGGGTCGTTTTCTGCTGCATTTTGAAGGCCAAGAGTTCAATTCAGTTTCAAGTCGGACCATGGTGTCATGGTCAATTCGACATACTTTTAAATCTGTATGCCTTGTAGTTGTTATTTATTAAAATAGGCTATTTGCATTTCAGTTATGCCTTTGTCTTTAAATATATGATGGATATATTTATATTATATATTTATATATTATAACAGATGAGATTCAGACTTTTTGTGGCTAATGAGGTTGAGCGTCAGATTCTTTCAGTTCTTTATTCTCTGACTTCCTCAAACTTCAGCAAGAATAGAGTCAACTGCTGAAGAAGGTTTTCAGCTTTTATGAGTCACACCTGAGAGTTTTAACAAGTAATTCCACTGACCAGATAAACTACCATCAGGCGAATGGAAAGAACATCTGAACAAGTAAGCAACATTTAGGAAAATTCAGCAAAGACAGATTTACCTCTAAGCTAGAAATAAAAAAAAGAACAGCCCTACTATTTTGTGACATTAGGAAAGAATTTATGAAGGAAAGCTGGACAGGTTCCCCAAAAGCTTTTGTTATACATCACTGACCTCTAGTGGATGTTATTTTAATTACTGGAGTTAACGATTCACTGTGCAAGGTGTGTGAATGTCCAAGAACACTTTTTAATACTAGACAGCCTCAATGCTTTTCACCCCATGGCAAATTATACGGTGGCCCTGAAGGTCCATTGTATAAATAGTTCATGATTGCAAAAAACATTTCATTAAATGTGAAAAACAGTCCTGAAACGCAAAAACATTTGGAAAAATAAATGAAAAATATTTCAAGAAACATCAAAACCATTTTATACATTTCATTTCATTTGCAAAAAAAAAAAACATTCACCAGCCAAATATATTTCACCTTCTGCAAAAAAGTAATTGACGTTACATCAGTCCAGTCACCAACAAATAGTGTAGTCCTACCCTTTCTCCGACACTTTGTCTGAAATACTTTTCGCAGGTGAAATATTTGCGCAGAAGGTGAAATATTAGTCCGTTCACGGTATTTCACAAATACACTCTGCAATCTTTTAAAAAACGTGTTTGAGTTGGTTCAATAATTAAAAACCTATTGCTATAATAAAATCCCAGTATGTTTAATTTATTTAGTTCCTTTAAAAATACTTCATGCTCTTAAAAATATATATCCAAATTGTATTATATAATATATATCATATATTTATCCATTAAAGAGTAATATTTAGATTGTATCACAAAGCATAAAAACCCCTAAAAATTTTACTTCTGAACCTTACTTGAGTAAATGTACTTGGTTACGTTGCACCGCTGGAACTTCAGATATTTCAGAAATGTTAACTAACTTTGAACGAGCTCAACTGCTGAATGGGACACAGGAGGTGTTGCATTATTTTTACATTAGCAAAGCATAGGAGCTTCTTCTTCAGAATGTGCTGTAAAGAAATGTGCAGGAATTACTTATATAGAAATGAGAACGATGTTGTTGTTGTTCCTACTTGTTGCCAGAAGAGCACAAAAAATATAGATGACTTAATAGTGTTTTTACAGAGGAGGGCAACAGCATGTCTATGTGATCAAGCGGATTCACTGTTCAAAAAGTGTTGTGTACAGAAGTCAGTTTGCTTAACAAAATAACAAACTGTCTGAGTAATGCTATTAATCTTTAACATCATCGGAGGAGAAGACATCCACAGTGTCATGTGAGAAACTGCACTTTACACTTAACCAGAGAAGAAACACCAACACATCCATCACGCCATGTGAGCTCACACGGAGGAAAAAGGAAAACCTGGCTACATTGAGAAGAAATAAGAAAACCTGTCCAAGGTAAATATCTGCAACTCATACACGGAGTTTAAGAGAATCTCAGCAGCTTTCTTTTTATGACTCTCTGTTATTTCACCACTGGTCATGCATTCAATTGTAAAACTGTGCTCTTACATTTCTTTTGTTCTGAGCTGAACCAAGAAATAATCAACAGACTGAATTTTAAAAAGATCAAATGAAAGGTTTACAACAAAACAGACACATGCAGTATTTACTGAAGACATGATGTGTTCTGTATTTATTTGTATACATTTTCTATAAAATTACAAACTCGATTCCACCCGTCAGAACCTTCCAGATTCTTATACAGCATTTTTGTTGCCTGTTGATTGGAAGATGGACAAGACAATCTTTAAAAAACATCCACTTAGACATCCAGCAGGTACAGCTTTCTAAGCAACTAGCCTTTCATTTTGTCTGTTGTTGTTGCAAAGTGTTTTGAAGTTTTCTAAATGTGTTTTTCCTGGAATCAGCTCTCCGGTAGAAGTGAGGATGATATGAGTAAAGTTTGAATGCTCTGACACAAACTTCTGACAGTTTCTATAGCCCAAATGTTAATCCACCACTTCCAGATTCCTGTCTTTGTTTTTATACTCAAACCATAAAAACACACGTGACTCTTTATTTCCTGCACAGGTTTAAAATGTTAACCAGGTGGATGGCACTCACAGCGTTCCTGTCTGCCTCAGCTGATCTTGTGAGTGCAGCTTTTGGCGACGGCTCTTTAACTGTTGCACCAACCTGCAGGCTCAAAGGTCATCCAGAGGTAGAGCTGACTCTGAGCTGCGGAGACGAGAGAAAAGCAGGTCAGTAAAGAGGATCAACAAGAACAGAGAAGTGGGGACGGAGAAATTCATCTGCACCTGAAGGATTACATTTAATACACTTTGTATCACCTGAATGATCCACTCAGTAACCACACTGCTTCATGAGGAGTCTGTGGAAATCAGTGCCCTGCTCCAATGTGTGTTCAGATAAAGAGGTTTCTAATGATAAATACCAACATCCGTTTAAAAATATACACTGTGTAAGTAATAATAATCTCAAAAAGCAATGTGTTCTGAACAGTGGCAAAAGCCGTTTTTTGTAAAAAAAAAAAAAAAAAGAATGAATAGAAATAGAAATCCCTTCAGATTTTTGAGGGATTGTTGTTTTTACTTCATAATCATTAATATTCGTACTGAAGTGTCTACAAACAAAAGTCATTAAGCAACAACATATCCATCAATTTCTTGTATGTTTTAACGTACTTGTCAACAAACTCGATTCTGATCAAGGAAAACAAAAATTAGTAGAAAGAGGTTTTTTTACAACACTTAGAGGTCTTAGTGATTACACATCATCATACATGTAAAAGATGTGGACTCATTCTAAAACATGTTGAAGGCATCATATTCAGGATAAGGACACTAAAATAAAACAGCAAACATTACATTCAGTCAAGTGACTGCGGAGTGATTTCAGACACTCAACCCGGGTCTTTGTGGTCCTAAAGAGATCATTTTTTTAAACTATAGGCCTCACAATGTTCAAAACATCAGCGTATAGCTGCACCTCCTCACCTGTAACTCATCGTCCTCTCATGTGTAGGTATTGTCCAGTACTGGCACACCCCCTTTGGAGACCTCGAGACCCCTGGTACCCTGAGTAAACTGGACCCTGTCTTTATGCATCATGATGGGAGCCTGGTAGTCCCGAACACCAGCCATCTCCACAGCGGCTTGTACTACTGCCTCCTGCAGCACAAAGAGGGAACTACACTGTGGTCGTACGAGCTCAATGTTGGTCATAATAATCAAACAGATGATGAAGACAATGCATATGAGGAACATCGCTGTGGTGCGTTCAGGATCAGGAGGGATGTTGGTTCTGCAGAGGAGAAGCAGGGCGGTGTTTCAGATGAGCAGTTTGCAGGAGTTGTGGCTGCATCAGTTCTTCTGACATTTGTGCTGGGCTTCAGCGCTGGAGCTCTGACCAGGACTCAGGTTCTCAGGTGCGTTCAGGTACCCTGAAATCCCAGCTTTTATTCATACTGGGATCAGATTACCAAAATCTGACATTTCTTCTGTTTGTTGTATTTGCTGATTGATTTTGATACTTTGTTGAAACAAGCTGAGGCCAACGAATGCCTGCAACAAAAACAAAAACATGTATTAAAACATCATGTTGGCAAAGTTATTTCTGTGTTTCTGCAGGTAAAACAACTTCATGTAAGTCATACTTAACATAATGATACACACCTGTGGGGATTATGGTATTCAACTTAAATAGGTAACTTTGTGGATAGCTTCAGAACGAGTGAGCCATTTTTAAAATAGATTAAATGGACAGGTTTCTTGTCTTCTTGTCTGTAAAGTTTTTCAGCAAAAGAAGAAAAAGAAATAGAGCTCATCAAAGAGATATAAATACCTCTGATGTAAAATAGTAAGATTTCAAATGGTTTGAATATCCATCTATCTACCAAACAGCCATACATGTTGAAAACTGAGTGGGCTTTGTTTTCTGTATTAAGGTTTCAACACATACTTGACAAGTTTTTTAATTACTGTCATGTTCAAGTTTTTCAAACGACAAAATTTTCCATTAAGAGTTTTTTGATGAAACAGAAACAGAAATTAATAGTCTCGTCTCTTTATGACCTACAAAAGCAAACGAGACCATCCGTTTTAATAACTACTATTATTACATTGTATTTATTTATTACTGTAATACCAAGACGAACAAAGTAAAGACGTATCCCTTTGTCCACATGGGGTGTCAAAATCAACACAAACTGTTCCTCACAGGAGCTTAAAACTCGACCATATGACAAAAAAAGATATAAAAAACAAATGTAAAGCAGCTACCTTTAATGTTTTCAGTTTGTGTCTAACTTGTGTTTCAATTTTTTCAATCCACTGCACTCTTTAGGTGTCTGGGGGCAGTCACTATGAGGCTGAGATCACCATGGCAACGCCAAAGCGACACACTGGACCACGGCTCTGAAGTCAACATGACAACCCTGCCCCCCATGTACGAAAACCAGGCCTTTGCAATGGAACGGGTGGAGTTGGACGAAGGTTCGGAGACTTGTGGGACCGCAGACTCAACGATTTCATCGACAGCCTCATCGCCCCCCCCTGCCAAACCTCAGAGAAGCTTCCGGCAGAAACGAGAGGAGGAGCAGGAAACCACAGCCTATCTGGAAGGATGTGACTACATCAAGGTGAAGGAGGAGGAGGAGGAGGAGAGAAAAGGTCTGAAGGAAAACAGTGAAGGAAATAACGGGGAGGAAAGAGGGATCAGTGGTTCCTTCTATTTATCAGACAAAGATGGAGGGAGTAAAACAGAAACAGATGAGGACGAGTGCAGTGAGGATCCAAGAGAGAGCAGGGAGGAAGAGAGGCAAAGGAAACAAGAGGAAGAGCTTGAGGAGCCAAGTAGTAGTAGTACAGGTGATGAAGAGGATGGTAGAGTAAGTGAGGATAAAGTGGGAGATAACAAGGAGAAAGGGGGAGAGGAAAAGAGAGAGGAAGGATTGAGAGAAGAAAAAGAGGCAGATGAAGTGGAAAACAAGGCAGAGGAAGATGAAGACGTAGATATTTGCAGGAAAGATGATCCACATGGTGAAAACAAAGAGGACACAATGAAAAGTGACACCACAGAAGGGGAAGAAGAACCTCCAACTTCCCCGTCCTCAGAGGGCCGTCGCAGCCGTGTCATCCGCCTGTACCAGTATGACGACGACGGTCAGCGGTACGGCCACCTTCCAGACCCCACCCCTGATGAGCCTGGCCCCGCCCCCAGACTCAAACAGCGCTCCCTCTCTCTGACGCGTCTCAATGCCATTATGGCTGCCGCCTCAGCTGGGCCGTTGGACACTAGAGAGACGGGGACGGAGGGGAAAGAGGAGAGGCCACACTTCCAGATGGAGATTTAAGAGACATAATCCAGAGGAGACAAAATAATGACATGTTGGAGGACTTTTCAGAGGATTTGAATAACACACTTCTGCTTTAAATTGATCACTAACTATCACTTTTACTGTAGCTGTGATATAATAAAACAATTTTGGTGTTTAAAATGATACTAGAAACAATCAGATATCTACTGTTTTCATGTGATTAGGCACAACTTGGGATTGGTCGTATAAAGGCGTTGATGACATCGGTCTTGTCCCCCTTGATTTTCTTCCTCGTGTAAAAATAAGCTCTCTTTATTTTACACCAAGTAGAAACACATTTCCAAAAGATCTGGGACATTGTGTGAAATATAAATCTAGAAAAGGATGTAATCATTTTCAAAACATAGAAAGCACAAAGACACTAGGCCTGATGTTGAAACTAAGAAATTGCATTTTGGGGGAAAAAAATGAAATGCCCAATTTGCATTTGATGCCAACATGGTTCAGGAAAAAAGTTGGAGCAGTGGCGACACTGGAGCAACATATGCTGCCAAATACTCGACTTCTTCTTTTTAAAGTGAAGACCTTTGTTGCTTCGTCAAGATAAAATCAAACAACATTCTGGCCGATCTACAACAGCATGGCTCCGTAGTGGAACAAATGGAATCCTACATTAACCAAGAATGGTACCAGTTCCCCAATGCTCACAAAGTTTTTTATTTAAAAGAAAAATGGTGGTAAACATGCCCCGTCACAAATTGTAAAAGATGTTGTTGGTATCAAATTCATATAATTGGGCATATCATTTTCCAAAAACAAAAAATTCTCAGTTTCAACATTAGACTGTATAAAACATGGACGTACTCTCAGTGACAAAAACGTGGAGTTAAAGCTGATTGAGGAACGTCGTAGTGAATTCAGTATACAGAGTACTACTTGTACTTCATATTTTCAATATCCTTTTTATTTCTGTGAAAACATCTACAAATAAGTCACAAAATGGGAAAAAAAATAATTATCAAGAAAACACAAATTCAAGAGCTAATTTCTTTGTATCCTTATTTGGAGATCTTTCCCCCACATCTTCTCGTCTCCACATGGACTCTATGAAAAGTCTACTCAGTTAGAGGAGGGCCTTTTGGCCACAGTTGGATGATGATGCACAGAGACAATCTCTGCTTGGTTGAAGTTTTACTCAGAGTCTACAGGGATGATTCTGTAGTCCATATTTGTGCGTGTGAATTGTTTAAGTCTGTCGGTATTTGAAACAGCAGTTTTTGCTTTCTGAAAGGATTACAAGCTTCCTCCCATGAGTGGGCATTCATTCTCTCTCCCGTTTTCTCCTTTTTGGTGATGTCCTCCGCTACGATGTGGGCCAAGCTTTCTGCCATTCCACAAACTCATCTAGCAGCACGGGCCCTGAAGACACAAGAAAGCCACATTAAGAAACACAAGACCCTCCACTTGTTCAATCTGAGAAATAATGAAGCACAGCACAATAAGAAAAACAATCAAAATGAAGTTACTCTCATTCAGAATTCAAATAAATCTTCATCAGTGGTACATTAAAACTATGTTAAAATTGAAAGGCATGTCTGAAATGTACAATCACTCAGTGACTTAATTCATTGGCAATGACATCAGTTTGAAATAGTCTTTAAATATAAAAGTGTTTTCATAGCTTCAGATCTTTTTAGAACATTTTGAAAAAACATATGATTTGTGGTTTTTCTTTAGGGGTGAAAATTGGTGTGGATTGATTGATTTTGTCTACATCTGATTCTCATTTGACTCTGTAAGGACATAAACTGTGGTTGCAGTGCTGACCTTTGAGGGGATGGAGAGAACCAGAGTCTAAATGAAGGAGGCTATCATATTAGTTACGTTGCATCATCCAGTGTCACATAACCCTTGCTCTGCAGAGTAAAAGGCAGAGCCGGTAGAGATTTCCTCTCTGTCCATTAGTGAGGATAGCCACAGCAAACGATAGCAACTCAACAACCAATAAGGATTTGTTTGAATTTGAAATATACACGATGCCAAGCAGCAAGAGTAGTATGTTTAGGTTTATAGGTCAATTGACACGTTTCACCAGCTGATGGCACAATCACAACACTGAACCCTCTAAACTAACTGTGAACATTTTAAAAAGGACACAGATTCCTTTGAGGACGCTTCTGAGTACAGTGTAACACCTTAATGCTGAAGTAGAAATCCAGCTTGAACTCCAAACTTCTAGTACTACCTATTTTGCAACAAGATGTGAATTAATTTTGTGGACTGAAGCCTCACAGTTCAATCGATCAAATGTATTTATAAAGCCCTTTTAAAAACATCAACAGCTGACTGAAGTGCTATTCTACAGTGAAATTACAGAAAGAGACAAAAACAACACACAGGAAACTCATACACACACACGTGCACACACACAAAAAGAAAATAAGAAAAAAGCTAACAAAATTGTTGGCAAGTTTTTTGTATACTCACAAGCTCCATCTTCATCGTAGTTACTGAGGTCTGTGTTGATGGTTCTGCTGAACTCCAGAACATTATACCACTGGTCCTTGTTCATGCCCTTGTACTTGGATTGCTGTTTGAGATATAAATTGGTGGGCAGTCAGAGAGTAACACAAAAAGGCAGAGAGTGCTAAGAAAAATACTTGCAGGCAGGCCAGCCAACACCTGTTTTGCTGTTAAAACAACATGACCTTTAGACGGGATGTAAACAAAGAAGACCAAAGCGATTTACCTCAAGGAACTGATGGAAGACTGGAAAGAGAGGCCAGGTTCTACCTAGCAGCAAGGCCAGCATTGCTTTAGCTGTGTCCATGTCCAAACTCCTTTGGTCCTTATCCTGAGGTAAAGAGTGTTTAATGAGCTTATTTTATCTACAGGAGATCAGCAAGAAGTCTGAATGCAAGAGGATGTTCAATTATTCAGCAAAACAAACAAAGCGCACACTTACCCTGGCAAAATCAAAGGCATATCTATAAATGTTTTTGAAGCTAACAGAGTCATTGAGTTCATTGCGCAAGTAATCCAATTTGCTCTGTAACCTCTCTGTGCAGTCACACCTGCAAGTAGGCAAAGGATCACATGTAAAACAAACACACAGTTACAGTTAAACAGGTTTTATGATAACAAAAGAAAGTATGTTATATGAAGGCTGGTTGTCAGCAGAAAAAAAAAAGGTATTAGAGAAAGTCTTATCTTGAACAAAAGAACGTAAATGTGAAAGGTTCTTACTGTAATATCGTCATTCCCCTGAGCCACTCGTCTTTTGTGAAGAACCCCATACTTGCTGCTTCTAGATGCCAGGCTAAAACTAACATGATAATCTGTAAACCAGAGAGACAATAAGATAAGATTGCATCTCTGATTTGAGTCCTAGTCCAGATAAGCAGTTGTGTGATTCCTGCCAGATGCTTGATAGATACAGATCCAGGTTTAGGTGGAATACAAGAGGCAGGCACAGTACACTCACATTCTCTGGTTCCACACCAATGTCTTCACAGAACTTCTCCATGGCCTCTGGGCCGACCTCCTTGTCAGCGCCAGCGTACTTGTGGAACCAGGTCAGACACTTCTTACCCGAGAACAGCTTGTCAGCTATCGGCCTGGCACCACGGATTTGAGGTCGAGTGAAACTAACACAAAACAATAAAAGGGTTCACATTACAGAATGTTTATCTGAAATAATTAAAAAGATTTGAGATCAATTTAAGAAACTAATGAAACATGAGACTTCTTTGTTGTCAGAATGTAACAATAACACCCACACTTATCTACGTGCATGCTCTCAACAAACAGAAAACACACCCTAGAGGAAAAAGAAAATGGGCTCAACTCTGTCAGGAAACAGATAATGGTCATGTGTCAAATATATGTATGCATATATGTATTACACACGCAAGTCAAAGACACATTTCTGTCTTTTGCATGCAAAAGTAGACTAAGTATTTTCTATTCTATTCCATTCCATGAGGGAAGGTACAACCATACAGAGTTGTAGTGTAAGTGAATGCTTGAGTCTGTTTACCTGGTAATTTTACATTTAGGCTCATTGTCATCTGCATCAGGGAACTTCCGTTTCTTTTTCACAGGCATCACTGAGCCTTTGATTGGTTTCACTAGCTGGGCTACACAAAGGAAAAGACTTATTAAATCAATCTTAACAGGGACTGGTGAGATAACACATCGTCATCCTCCTACACACAAACCTCTAGATGCCAACACAAGCCAATAATCAGTCATGTATTTCAAGATGTAAAAGAGCCATACCTGTGTACCTCTGGCTGCCTTGTCCATTCCGATTCTAAAATGAAAAAAATGAAAAATCTCAGGTAAAAACGTCACTGCAAACCACTTTGCAAACTTTAATCTAGTCAGAAGAAAGAGATTAAGACTTTTTATAATGTACTGCAAAGTTCAGCTGCATCATCACGGTGTAAAGTACTCACAAACTTGTCCAGTGTTTCGGTTGTTGTGAAGATGTCTTTGCAACTTGTTTCTAGAAGCAGACACAGTCAAAACAAGAATGTCAAACATGCATGGCTTTTCACTTTCTTTCCCATATTATTTAAAACTACAATTATTTTTGTGATGACCTCTCATTTGGCTATTAATTCACACGTTGTGAATTACCTGAATATGTAAACATCCAATGTCAATGGGTTTTAATAGAAAAAGACTAAGTTCTAGTGAGAAAAATGTACAAACCATTCAGAATTTTGAATCTCAAACGGTAACTTTGTAATATCGTAGCCAAATCGACGTCTGCTGCCATTATATAGAAAAATCAATGTTTTCATCCTGTGAAACTCACAACACAATGTGGCCTAAGTATGTGGAAACTGAAGCTTAGGCCATAGGAATATCAACATGTTATCAGAGGGTTTTCAGACAGAAAACACCTCAGTCCAAGGGAAATAAATAGTTTAATAATATTGTTTTAAACACAAGGTGTTGCATTGGCAGGGACATACTACCCAGAGACTAATGGATGGGTCGAGGAACACATCCATGAGTTTAAATGTATTAAGGTTTATAATAAGATGACAAAAACATCCTAGTTTAGGAAATATGTCACAGAAACATTTTTTTATCCTTCATCATATCGCTTGAAATGTTAAAATTTGACTGTTCAAGAAATTTACAAGGAATTATTATTTTGCCGATTTGTTTTTTTTTAAGGCAAATTATTGCTGTACAAGGTTGCATTTGTTGACATATCTCCAACATTTTGGTTTGATGATCCCCTCTGGGCCAAAGCAGAGGATTTACTGAAATGAAGGAGGGCAGAGGTTGTTTTTTTTAACAAAGCTCATCTTGCTGTGACAACAACACAATACTGGTGTTTGTCAATTAGGCCTGAGTCAGCATTCCAGATCATCCCAAAAGGTGTTGGATGGAGTTCCGCTCAGGGGTTTCAGTTATTCTACAACAAAACTAGGAACATCATTTCTTAATGAACTATTCTTATGGCACAAAGGCAATCTGCTAACTTATGTGTAAAACATTTGAATAAAAAGCCAATATTTTTTATTTACTTATTATCCCATGAAGAAATTAAAATATTTATCTGGGATTATTATCCAGACTAGAGCTGTATAAAGCGGGTCAACTAGCAACAGAGGACCCTTTCCATTACAGATTGGACCGAGATCGCGTGCTGTCCTTTCAAGAGGAAATGTACTAGCAGCTGTCAGGAGTGACACACACAATTTAACAAATGTCAGTCATTTCATAATCTGAGTAATGCTGACAAACAATAAAACGTTTTTTTTTAAACTTATGTAATAAAGAAGGCCTTTTATTGGTTCAAATTGTGGCCTATGACAGGGCTTCCAGAGTAAGCTTAGAGCTGGTTTACATCTGCACTCTCTCAGCAGGTCAAAACGAAATCATCACATAGTAATAAAACATCCACATGAATAGACTTCAGCACCGAGTGCACAAACAAAACCTTTAGAAAAGACACCGGCGTTTTCATCTTTAGGTGTAAAGAACAGCTGACACCTACATTGTAGCTGTCATGTGCACACTAGGGCTGGGCGATACGGACCAAAACTCATATCTTGATATCGATTAGCTGAATGGCGATACTCAATATGTTTTTTATTAACAGTGAAAACACATGGAAAAATAAACTACCTGTTTGTGAATTTAAAAAGTAATATTATAAAATAAAAATGTTCCTTAAATACAATAAAAGAGAGAGAGAGAGAGAGGAGCAGGGTTAAGAGGGACAGTCAGTCATCATCAGTGAGATAAGAAAAAGGTGACCGTTATTTTAATGCAACATAAACTATATCGATATTAACGATATTGTCTGACCCTATATCTTGTTTGAAAATACATCGATATATATCTTAAAAACTCAATATATTTCCCAGCCCTAGTGCACACTTATATTTAGAGGGTTTTTTTTACACTACTTTCATTTCAGCATAAATCTCACTTCATGCCTGTGGTTAAATTGAAAATGGATCACACTGACCATTTACGACTCTGTTCTTGCACATTTACATTTAATATTCCATATTTAATCTTCCTATTTAAGACTAGTAATGCTTAGTTAAATCCTGGTTGTATATATATTCACATTCTTAGTTTTTACATTTTTAGTACTTATTTACTTTGTATTTAATATTATCTTGTGTTCAGATTTGCTAATATTCTGTTTTTTGCTCATATTGTGTGTTGGATAACATGCTATATTGTGCAATATTTATCTTATTTTATATTTCTGCAATATTTTACATTTCATACTGTGCAATATTTATTTTATATATCTGCAGTATTTTACATTTCATACTGTGCAATATTTATTTTTATTTTATATATCTGCAGTATTTTACATTTCATACTGTGCAATATTTATTTTATTCTATATTTCTGCAATATTTTATATTCATACTGTGCAATATTTATTTTTATTTTATATATCTGCAGTATTTTACATTTCATACTGTGCAATATTTATTTTTATTTTATATATCTGCAGTATTTTATATTTCATACTGTGCAATATTTATTTTATTCTATATTTCTGCAATATTTTATATTCATACTGTGCAATATTTATTCTATATTTCTGCAATATTTTATATTCTGTTATGCTACCACCTGTAAATAACTCCTACCATACATTGCCCATCTTACCTGAATGAGAGTTCCTTTTTTATTTCTTCTTTTGTTGTCTTTAGCTGTGGATGCTTGTATGTGTGTGCACTTTTAAGGTGAAGCCAAATTGTACAATTGTATAATGACAATAAAGACATGACCTTCTCTTCTATGCTGCTGTAACGCCACAAGTTCCCAGTTTGGGATCAATAAAGTAATTATATTCTATTGTCAACATTTTCACTTTAATGGGTAAAACTGTTCAAATCATTTTAGATTTGTTTTTTTGTTTGTTTGTTGTTGTTTTTTTTTTTTGGGGGGGGGGGGGCATATGGTGACTCCCCAAGGGGGTCCCGACCCACACTTTGGGAACCATCAGTCCCACAAGTGATGACGGAATCGGTCTGCGTCACCAGATTACGCATCACCTGGAAGAGATGGCCTATTTAAATGTCTTGTTACGTATTAAAACTGTACAGGTCAGTTGGTTGTACCTCGCTTTAGATGGGAGTGGGCAGAGGCGCCCGGGACATCCGGGTGTCCTGGAGGTTCTGCTGTCCCGCACAGAGGCAGCGGACACTTTAATAAACACTTTAAACCCGCTGCCGTGGTGATGCTAACTGGCTAACTACGTCAGGGTAACTCACATCAAAACAATGGCCGTGGACAGCTCTCGCAACTGGTTGTCAATTAAATATAACAGGGACTCTAATGAAAGCGTAAGCAGTGAAATGTAAAGTTGTGTTTTAGATGCTGTGTGACTCTCCTTTTGTTTGTTAGGTAGCGAAGCCACAATGCTAACGTTAGCCTGTTTGTCAACATACGCGTCACAGGATGAACCCAATCGACTTCAACTTAATAAAATCACAGTGTGGGAGGAATTTAGTTTAGTTTGTTTTTATAATCAAATCTAAATAAAGTCATTTAAATACTTACTTTGTAGTAAGCTACTCTCCGCCTGATGAATCAGTCCCACTCGCTGCTCTCACACCGGGAGTTTGGCTGTCGCTACAGTTTCCGGGGAGTGGACGATACCACATCTTTATGGCGGGGGTGTAATGACACATACACGTTTTAATATCGAGAAATATTCTCAACAAAAACACATGTTTATACAAAGAAAATGCTTAAAACACGTTTAGAATCTAAATTAGGTAAAATTAAAGTATTCCAACAAAAAGTACACGTCAAAAAGAAAATGGTATAACACCGTGTTCACCCTGCGTGACGCAAAAAGGTAAAACGTGCGTCTTTTAAAGCAACAATCCTTTATTTTTGGCTCTCACATGGGTCGTCCTCACGTTGTTCAGTGAATTCAACCCCCCTGACCCCCCTGAAAGGGACAAGCCGATTTACAACACTTCATCACTGTGTTAAGTGTCTACCATGTGTTTGTCAATGCTGAATTGCTAGATTAAATGGTCGTAATGTATTGTGTCTGGTTACAGTCGTTGGAGACTGAATGAAAGTGTTTTTTTTTCTGTTTGTTTGAGGAGCAGCACATATATTTAAAAAACAACAATTGTCGGGTTAAAGCAATAAGTGAGGTATTTTACCTGCTTTTTGTAACATAACAATGAGTAAGGTATTTTACCTGCTTTTTGTAACATAACAATGAGTAAGGTCTTTTACCTGCTTTTTGTAAAGTGTCTTGAGATAACACTTGTTATGAGTTGAAGCTATACAAATAAAAATTGATTGATTGATTGAATTGTATGTATCCCTAAACCCCCTCTGTAATATATCTAACCTCAGCAAACCTCATTATTTGTTTGATACAGGCTAAGTGCCTCTCATTCTTTTACTATTCTAACATTAATATCACATTTCTCTTTAGTAATGTACATTATGTTTATTGTTTTCACAGTGACTGGAAGTGAAGAAAGGTCAAATAAAAGAAGTCTCTGTCATAACAGTTGTCTTTATTTTGCAGGGAAATAAACAAGTCAACTTTTTAAAACATTTGAAACAAGAAAAACAATGCAGCACATGAAAGTGGTCAAACCACCATCCTTCCACTCCAACAACACAAAGTTTGATGTTTTTTTTCTTGTTGTTGCAAACATTCAGCTAGTTTAGACTGTCACTGATGGTGTTAACTTCAAGTTTTGTATTTATGCAAGGCTACAGGTAGGTCTGCCCCCCCACCCCGTGTAGGCCAGGCTGATGGGCAGGGAATTGGGGTTAAAATGAGAAAAACAAAGCAATGGCAAGTCGTACACTACCATCCACAGGTCAGAAAATACTCACAAATCAGTTTCACAAGCTCATTCTGATTATTGATCAAAAAAAACACACAGTCAACGCTTGAATGATTGAATTAAAACAAAAATTATAAAAGGAATTAACATATTGTTTATATTTAAAAAATGTTATTAAGGAAGTAACCTATGTAATGTATGTTGTGAGTATTAGAAATTGTTAACATAATTTTCTGTTTTTCTGTGGATACAGCTCTGGCTGAAAGCTGTAGTGTTGACTCAGACCCAAATAAAAAGAGTTTTACTGAAGAAAAAAGTCAAAATCTTAACTCGAGCATAAAGAATTTAACTGCATAATATGACGGACATGAGGAGTTTGTTTCATTTTTTTTATAACAAGGCAGACTTTTTTTTTTTTTTTTTAAATGTCCCTGCATTCAGAAAAGAGTTGATGCGTTCAATGTAAATCAGATTATTGCCAATCCATGTCTTACAGTATACTCACAGAAAGTGAAAATCTTTTGAACCACTCTGACAAACTGCAGGTTTGTCTAGAATCTTTCTTCTTTTTTTTCTGACAACTAAAACAGAGGAGAGTTGCATTAAATAAATACTGTCAGCTCTATCAGTGTACACGAGGAAAACATTTAGCCAAATCGAAAAAATATGAAAAAAGAAACATTTAAACTGACAAAGTAAAATTCTTCATAAATATAGAATAAATATGGAAAATCAATCAATCCCACACATTCACTGTTCTGTCCTCACTGATCACTGGATTTCATGGTCAGTTCAACATGATATCTAAAGTAAGGGATGAACAAGTCGTCTCACATTTAATATAACAGCAGTGCCTTTTGGTCTAAAAGGGAAATAAATCAATAATAAGGGGAAGGAGGTGCACTCGTTTTTTACCATACAGTGTTTTTGTTGTGCCCTCTTTAAGAGCATCTGATAATGTTTTTTATTCATTAAAAGTAGAACAGCCAAACACTCTGAATTCTCACTCAGGCCAATACTGATATGACTTTAGGCCTTAACTCAGCCCACTGGAGGACTCACTCCAACACCACTTGTCAACTTCCTTATAACTGCATTTAAAAAAAACACGTACTTGGCCACACTGGAGAATTTAGAGTCGACCGATAATAAGGATCAGAAGAATTAAAGCTGTGGGAAACATATAGAAACAAAAAAGGCAGCGTCATCATTTTCTACAGTTTTGCACACCCTGTCAAGAAGTGATTTGTCCCATAGTGAGTTTTCAGGATGTTTTCCATGGTTCCACCTTTCAGACATTTTTTAAGACATTTTGAAATAACACTAATGGTATATTTGGGGGTTTTATTTGATCATCTTAAAAGTATGTAACAAGCTTCCTCAGTCCCAGTAGTCGATCCTCTTCTCCACATTGGACTACAAAATCAACAGTCCTCAATCCAACCTTTACCATCAGTTAACACCCCTCTTCAGCCGTATGAGTAAGCCATCTCAGCGTTATTTTACCCCCGAATGATTTAGAGAAGAGTACTAAACTGATTATTTCACAATTGAAAAAGTGATCTTTTTGTGCTCTCTGTTGGAATTGGAACAGGTTTTTATTTTTGTGAATTACTTCCAAATTCATCTTTGGTATTTCTGTGCTGCAATCTTTTTACTTGTTCATTGACACATATACTGATTTGTGCATAATAAGTTAACACTCTCTCTTTCCCACATGATACTAAGCAACAGTTTCTCCCACACAGGAAGCAATCAAAGATCAACTTGTGCAAAATATCTGAAGTCTGAAAAAAAAGATCTGTAATCAGAAGCAGCTACTGATCCATGTGACCCTGATCAGCTGGACTGTTATCTGCAGAGTTAATCCTCGTGTTCTTTTGTCAAAGTGTCTTTGAACAGGACACGGAGCCCCAGTTTTCACCTGATGGCCAAGACCCTACACCCAAGATCCAGCTAGTCAACGGTTATCAGACTACAGCAGGATCACAGCAGCTTCAGCTTAATGTTGGAGTTTCAGATATTTAGCTCCACAAAACTCTTCATCCTGTCTCCGACCCTATCCACTGTCCTCCTTTACAATAAAAATAAAATAATAATAAAAAAATAAAAAAAATCGTTTTTACTACGACTGATAATAACAACCAAAGAGGACATTCAAATAGCTATCATCATCAAAACAATAAAACCTCCACCAATATGTCACCAAGCACCTCCCACCTCATGCCTTGCTTTGCGTCAACACAGTCACTCTGAGAAAGATTTCTGTTGAAGAGTGCGGTGTCTGTTGGATATGCGAGTTTAGGCAGAACGGTTGAGATGAGGGCACGAGGGCTCCATCATCTCTACAAAAGCTCTGAAAGCGTTATCCTCTGGGAGAAAGTCAGAGAAAAACAGCAGCTCGTTCCGTTTAAATGTCAATGAAAATGATATCTGTAGTTTAGGTTTCATAGAAGAATTGTCTTGGTGGGTTATTGAGGTGAAAATTCAGTGATGTTTGTTTTTTTCCTTTTCTGGCATACCTGTAGGTCACAACTCTAGATGTTTCCCCCTTTAAAGGATTCAACAGGTTTTTAATTATAGCACTGGTCTTTACACACAAAATAAATAGTTCACAGAATGATGATGATTACCCCCACACACACGCACACGCACACGACCTGTTGACAAACTGAAACCTTCCACAGGGGATTAAAGAAAAAACATTAAATAACAGGATTTAAATGACGGCTGGTCTGAATCTCCCATCATTCATAGACAACAACAACAAAGTGTGACAGATCATCCAATGAACAAAAAACAAACAAAAATCATGAAGCAGCATGCTTTTGTGCACACATACACACACACACACATACACACACACACACACACACATCTAAAAGACTAGATGCACATCATGCATCCACACACACTCACACCTTTAATCACACATATACAAACACACAATTTGGCAAAATACTCCTCGGTAGTATTCTCTCCGTCCATGTCCTCGCCTCCTGAATGGCAACTCTCGCTTGCAGATTTTTTTGCATTCCCAGTTCATAAACAAGACCGATGTAAAGTAGAAGGGTTGCAAAATGGCTGCTGTTAAGATGGCAGATGTGGCATTTAGTGAAAGCAAAGGTTTGATATCTACTTGTAACATTTGTCCTCCTTTTCCATCCTCAATACTCCTTCTCCTCTTTTGCAGTCTGTTGCTGATGAAAGTAAGGCAGGAAGTATTTAATTGAATTACGTCACTATGATTTTTCTCTTCTGAGCGGCACACTCTGCAGTCCCTTTCCTCTGATTGACACGAGACAGCAGCAGAGACAAACAGACACTCCGATGACTCAAAATCTACGCTTTGAAAAGACACTCTGATAACTAAAGGTGTGTCTCACAAACACTCAAAACACTATCCAAACCTCTGCTGGAGAAGCTCCTTCTCACTCCCTTTTGTATCATCACCATCGTTTGCCTCAAACACATCCTCTTGTTCGTCCTCCCTGTCCCTTTAGAGGTTTTTTAATTAAAGCGCTGGTCTCGGGGCCAGGAGTAAAAAAACAGAGCAAGAAAGCGCTCCCTCCCTCCCTGCTTGCCTAGGCCATGTAGATGAAGGTGTTGATGTCAGTCTCGTCCCTCTTTATGTACTTATGTTCGATAAGCCACTCGATCTGCTCCTTGATCATCTTCTTCTGAGGCAGAAACATGTTCTTCAGGATCTCCACCAGCTCTGTCTGCAGCTGTGCATTACTAATCCTCTTCCTCATCTTCATGATTTGAATGATAGCCTCCTGAACAAGAAAAAACAACAACATTGAGATGCTTTTCAATGGACTACAGGGAGACTTATCTACGGTGCTCTTAAAGGGACAAAATAGCATGTGATGATTTGCAACTTTAAAAAATGCATTCATGTCAGACCTTTTTTTTTTATTGTGAATAACTAGTTACTGCTGACAGCCCTACTTTTAATGTTAATGGTTTTATTTCTTCTTTTGTTTCACATGACAGTTATTTCTCACTGAGTCATGATGGAGGGATTATTGTAACACAATCAAAAAATATAGTAAGAGAAAATCAGTGTGAAAAGATTCTTACTTCAGCTGATCTTTAGCATAGTTTTCTTAAAACAAGGACCCTGGATTTGATCCCTCAAAAACATGACTACAGAGGTGTCTCCTTTATTTTACAATGTCTATGTTTCAGACTTTATCTGACATAAAACCTTTTTCATTCAAAGTTTAGCAGATCTTTCAAACCAACGCGAGAGTCATATTTTGTTGTACCTGAGTTCTGAGTATTCTAAGCTGAACGATTCCTTCGTTCTCCTCCTCTCTCATCCGCTCTGTGGTCAGTTGCAGTCGACCAATCAGATTGATCTTTCCTCGCTTCTGGACCTTGGAGTTTTTTCTGAGAAAAGGATGGACACAGAAACACGGATGGATCAATATGCAAAATACTTCAGGCTTCACAGTCCTTCATGGCGTGGCTTCAGTTCACTGTGGACCTGTTTGGGCGTGAGACTAATCAATTTCAGTGCACAGTTATAATAATATGTTGTGATTAAATGTACTATCAGACTCTGCTCATTATGACACATATTGTTAAAATACATCACTGAATAAACTTTGGATCAATTGGACTCAAATACTCCTGTATAGGCAGTTTTAGGCGACCCCCCCACACGCCGTTTTGGACGCCCCTCGGTTTGTCAGATATGAGAGCAGTTATCAGGTCAACAGGTGTTGCAGTGATGGAAGAGGTCAAGAGAAGTGGTTCAGATAGAAGTGATTGTACCCGACCTAAAAAGCCTCTGCATGTTTCTAATAAGCTCCGAGCAGAAACGTGCTCAAACTAGGATCAATATTGGAGATGCTTTTGAAAAATGGAGAGAGGTTAGAACACAGAAAGGTTTACAGACCCATGCAGAGCTGGATAAACACTGAAGCTTCAGAGTCCACCACATGGTGACCTGAGTGAGCATGGACTCTAGAGGAGGGGGGAGACAGCTCTCTCTGATGTTTTGTATTTGGACTGCAGTACCCATTTTGAACACTAGGTGTCAGAGTTACATGTTCCTCCTCTAACACAAGTTTTTAGTTTAGAAATGATTTAATCCTCTTTACCTTCGCTGCGGGTTTCATAAAAATCAATGACACACAGACAGTATCTAACATTTTTCTATTTTCTATAAACACATAAATATATAAAACTATAACTTACATGAGTGAGAACTCCTGGTTGACATAGAAGAGCGTGCTGTCTGTGAAGTCTTTGGGGGAGCTAACTGAAGGGTCATAAGACAACACCTGTCTCTTCAGCTTGGGAAGGCAACCAGAGACTGCACAAAGAGGAGAGAAGGAGAAGAAGAAATCATAATTATTGTTCACTTTTCAATGTTTCCTAACAATGCATTCTACCAACCAAGTATCCAGTCACCTCACATTATAATACTTTCTATATTATCCCATAGTGAGTACTTTCATTGATGGTTTTAAATAATTATTAGAGATATTTCCTTGGTCTGACCCAAAGTGTTCGGCGTAGCTCTGCGTCTGGCAGCTCTGTGGCTAGTTTCAGGTTCTCAAAGGTTATTCTCTCTCTGGGTCGCTGGTTCCAGGCGAACAACACCGCCAGCTGGAACGTCGTCACCTCCAGGTCGTACTGTCCAACCTCGTTTTTAAAGGTGATCTGAGCAGAGAGGAGGAGAAACAGAGGATGAAACAAAGATGAGCGTCCTCTCACAGTTAAGATGCAACAATCTGCTTCTCTATCATTTTGGTCTGTCAGCCTCACAGCTGCTTTAAATAATATATAAGAGGAGGTTCATTACTGCTCACTCACTCCCACATCCTTCTTTGATTCATAATGATAAATTTCACTATCATGCTCTCAGAAGAGATATTTGTCAGACGGTCAAACAGCTTTCAAAAGCCACAAAGATCATAAGAGAACAAAGAAGGGAGAAAGAATCTGAGGAAGATAAAGTCCAAGAAACTTTAAGTTTATTATCACATCAGAGAAGTTTGTTTTTCAGCCAGGTTAAAAAAAAGAAACATAAAGAAAACAAAGTCACATAGACTCAGACATTAAAAACAACATAAATCCTTATATAGAGTATTATAGGGGATAGAGACATAGGGGATAGGATTTTCATATTCCAGGAGTAACAAAAACTGCATTATGACCCATTAAGTTCTTGTTTGTTGTTGCTCTTTCTGGCAGAAGGAACCCTAGATTGTTTATACTCACAATGCCATTGGACATGAGGTGATGCCAGTGGAGTTTGCGACCGCTGTGATTTCTCTTGTAGAAGTCTTCCACCTCAGGGATCAGATCCTCCAGCTCGGTGGGGAGAGAGACAAAAACTTTCTCACTGCTTCTTGACCAAGCACCGGCATTCAGGATCTTAATGTTCACACTGTCCGCTAGAGAGCCGAGGGAGAGAGAGTATTTTAGAAAACACAGAAAAAAAACACTTTCCTTTATAACTGAGATACAATGCAGATCTGATTATGTGTTTATGTGTTTGTGTGTAGTACCTGGCAGGGCCAGCCTGTTGTGTTTGTGGACCTCCTTAAAGACCTGATTGAGGTCCTCTGAGACCTTGATGTCCTGAAACATCCTGGCCAGCTTGTTCACATAATCTGCAGGCATTCCTACTTCCTAAACATGAACAGACCCACAAAATACATCATGAAACAACAAAGGAAGGAAGAGAAGACAACGAAGAAAAGGAGATTTACCTAATGCTTTGTGCCACATTCCTGAATAACAAACTAACGTTTCATGGAAACCATCAAACACAACCAGGATTTAATTCTCAGACAGATGTTTGGTGTTGTTTGAAATTGTCTTACATTTAAAAAAACAGATCTGAGCAGAAATCTGAATGGTGCATTAATGCAGCCTTATTCAGGATACGATGTCAGGGCCTGCTGCCCCCTGCTCCTCGTTTTCCAGCACACACATTGTGTTGCTTTTCCTTCTTCTAACTTTCTGTTCTGTTATATTTAAATCTCTTTCATGGACCTTAAAGTGTCAAAAACATGTAGATAATAAGTCATCTGGACATCAGTATTCAAGAACTGTTAGAGCCAACTTCTTGAGCCACGTGTCTTATCTAATAAAATGATGGTTTTGTTTATATATATTTTTAAAAGGAGTGTATTATTTAATAAGTAGGATTTACTACCAACTGTGTACTGGAGCTATTGTATTGGTGTCATTGATCCGTAGCACAGCTCTTTCATGGTGGATTTATTTTTTGAGTGTCTGAGTTTCTCACCCTCAGCCACTCCACCATGTTCTCTTCAATCTCGCTGTCTGCAGATATGTCCAGAATCAGACGTCTGGTCAGGTGAGCTTTGTGGTAACGCATGAACACATCTTTATTCTGGACGTACTTCAACACCAAGAGCTGCAAAAAGAGAACAATATACAAGGGAGATAACAGAGGTCAAAGGGAAAATAACTGGGATGAACATTGATCGCTATAAAGCGACTCAGCGCCGAGTTGAACAAACCGGACAGATACTCACCACTTCTTTGAGTTTTAGCTCGATTTCTTCGGAGGTGAGTTTCTTGCTTAGAGGAGTTTTTCTCAGCAGCATATCACAGTAGTTTGCTAGCAGCTCAGGACACTTTGACTCAGGCTGGGTTTTCATACCCACACTGGTTGGATGGATACAAACACACATTCACATTTACAAAAAGTGCAAACAAAGACATTTCAGTTTGGAACAACAATACTGCATCATATCACACTGACAGGAATAAATCACTCCACTCACCCTTTCTGTTTCAAAGGTAGCTCCAGTTTAAAGATTGTGGCGTCGTTGACAACAGTTTTATAGGCCTGAGGGAAACAGAAAACATGCAAAAGCAAAAATATTAATTTTAAGATTATATTCTTTAGCTAAGCAGTGATTTGTAAGTGAGATGAACAGACCTTATCTCTTGCTGTGAGGAAGCGAGGGTCGTCCTGAAAGGCCTCCTTTACAAGCTTACTGAAGCGGTTAAACAAAGTTAACAACTGCTCCACGTACTTCTCGGAGTCCTGGACACACACACACAAAGTTACCCTGCATTATTTACTTCATACTTCATGTCCTCACTCTTGACTTTTCAACCAAAACATCATGGCCTGTCATGTCGTCACTAATTGTTAATTTCCTGCAGTAACATCCACATGTCCATTCTTTTTTTTGTTATATTTTCGGGGTACTTATTTTCCTTTAATGAACAGAACAGCTGAAAAGAAACAGGACATGTTGGGAGGAGAGAGTGAGGGATGACATGCAAAAAAAGGGCCAAAGTCAGAATCGAACCCACAGCTGCTGCCACAAGAACTATAGCCTCCGTACATAACCGCTAGGCAAATCACATTTAAGGAAATATGTGCTTCCTTTGAAAGTGTGGAAATGACGGGTCGACTATTAGACATTTTCATTATTGTACCATTTTGAGTGTCAATAACAATGAAGACATAATCTGGCCCTTTACAAGGTGAATAAAAGGCATTTCTCTTAAATCATGACCACATCTATGAAGAGGAGGCTGAGGAGGTATGTTGAAGAGTTGTGTTTGTGTACGTACAGTAGTGATAGTCTCAGCAGCAGCCACCATGTCTGCTAGTCCAGCATTGAGAATATGTTCTTCCAGGTCTTTCAGCATCGGCTCGATCCCGCTGGGAACTTTGTCCATTAAAGAAAACATGAGGTGCAGCCCTGCTCCAGAGGAAAGAAAATCAATGTCACACATGGAACAAGAAGCATATTCGTTTAAATCCAACACTCGAGGACTTCACAGGAGGATTATTCCTGCCCATGTGAAGAGGCAGTTGACTAGGACTCAATTCTTAAGACATTACAACTAGAACTACCACAGCTACTCAAAAATTGCTGTGCATGTTCAACACTGTGAAGCTGATATACATCAACAAAGCAAAACCAGCAATTTCCCCCCCAGCAAGACAAATGCTCATCAACTACAACTGTAGTTCCTATGTTGTACAGCTTCACTCCTGTTGGCAGGAAAACAATCAGCACCGGGTGAAGCTGTTTCTAATAGATAATTGTAAGACAGGCTGATGCAAAGTATAATTCATAGTATATCTAAATCGAATGCTATTGATTAGACAACAGTGCAGCAGTACTCACTGTCTGTTTCATTTCGTTTGATCATCCCGGGACATTCAGCGAGGATCGTCTCTTTGAAAGAGGTTACCAGAGCATTTACACAACACTCCATAAGCTGCAAAACATCAACAGAAAGCAAAGACTCAGAACGAGGGGAACTTTGAAATAAGGAAAACTAAACAGTAAAGTAAGAAGTAAAACCACTGCTAAGCACATTTCAGAGCACACACAATACATTTATGTGGCCGATATTATCAACCAATTTCATTTATTGCAGACTGGAAAATTCAGAAAATTAAATTGAAGATGACGTGGGGAAATAATAATTTGCCAAAACATGACGTATAAAATAATCAACTGTAGCAAAACCACCTACTGCTTGAACAGAGTTACATTCACGACGTGTCTCTAAATATCTAAGTGCTCTCTTCTCCTCTTCTCTCAGCTTTGTGTCTGCCTGCAGGGAAACACACATTAACATAAGGTTATACAAACACACACACCAGCGATCACAGTTCTCCTCACATCTGCTCACAAATATGGGAATACTGAAAAAATAAGTAAAAATCTAAAACTACAAAACAGGCAATTAAGAAAATTTGATTAAATATTTTGCTCTACAGAAACACAAGACATGCCAGTCTTCATGGTTTCATGTTTTCAATTAATCTAATCTGCCTTGATTTTTCTTTTTTTTTATTAAAATATTATCAAGTTGAAGCTCCAGCCATCTGTTAATTAGGCAAAGGACCAGCCGTCCTCTCTTCACCAGAGCATTACTGAGTTGTAATCTTTCCCATATTTTAAATAAATCCTTCTGCTTCACACATCAGTATCACAGAGGCTTACATATTTCATGTAGTTCTGGACGCCGTTCTGCTGCAGGTAGGACGGTGCTTGTGTTCTGTAAAACCTCTCCGTGGAGTCGAGGTATGCTTTCTCAAAGTTATCTCTGTAGATCTGCAACTTGTCCTCTGGGTTGGAACACAGGTTCACTGACAGGACAGAAGAACGGAGAACGTGGACGTTAACTAAAAGAGGTTAGCTCAGTGTTCACTTTGTTTATGTTTACAGTAGAATATTTACAGGTGTGTAAAAACTTTTGCATGTTCTTATATTTTCTTCTTTATGATCTTTATGTTTTGTTTCTGTTGTGTTTTTTTATCTTGTGTAATATGGGTAATGTACAATATATGTTGTTGTTATAGGTTTGCATTGTTGTGTGCTTCTTTTTTTTAACTTTGTGTTTTTGTTGATTGATTTTACTGTATGTGTGTAGCGCTTTGAGTCCAAGACTAATTTCCCATGGAGGCAATAAAGTGTAGCGTTATCGTTATCAAACATGTTACTGGTAACATATCCTTCAGTGTGTTTCTTCGCCCTGTTATGTTTCTCATTGTATCTCTTACCATAAGACTCTCGTACACCTATGACGAGCTGGGAATCGAAAGCCTCCCCCTGCCGCTCTGCATGCACCAGCTTCATGGCGCTGTCCTGAAGGCGACTCTTAATGTTGGAAAAGATCGACTCGTTCCACGTGTCAAGCATCAGCTGGAAATGATAAGGAGGGGGCAAAACTGAACGCACATCAAAGGCACCACAACTACCTTGAATAAAAAAAAATGTACTATCTGTTTTCTGACATCCAAGACGAGCCAAGCCCAATTTATACTTTCTAACTAAACGTCTTCAATCTGTTCACTGGACTCCCTTTACCACAGCCTCCTTCAGTACAGTTTTACACACACGTCATGTTTGTCTCCATCATTATCTGGCTCTTCTTCCTCGTATCTCTCATGTAATCTCATCAGCTCTCCTCACTCACTTTCTCTTTTTGATTTTTTAAAATGTTTTTAGATTTTTTGGGGGGCTTTTTGTGTCTTTAATGGAGAGACAGGACAGTGGATAGAGTTGGAAATCAGGGAGAAAGAGAGAAAGAGTGAAGAATGACATGCGGAAAAGAAGCCACAGGTGGGATTCAAACCTGGGCCGCCCGCTTGGAGCACCATCGCCTCCATACATGGGGGGTGTCTACTAACCAACGGCCACCAGCGCCCCCTTTATGATTTTTCTACTCGTTTTCTACCTCTCACCTTGCGAACGATGCTGTCCTCCATGTTTGTTTTCTTGTTGCTGCCCTGTTTGCCCATCAGCGTGATCTCCAGCTGACAGAAGGGTTTCGGCAGGATGTCGCACTGGGTGAAGAACTTCCTCCACTCTACAATGTAGGCCTTGAGCAGCGCTGTGTCGTCCTGGTGGCTCAGCACACGCTGCCATGCCAACAGAGGAAAGCACAAGTTAGATGTTGTGGAGGTTTACTGATAAACACATTCAGCTAGTTGACGACTTTAGGTTCTCTGGGGCACGAAGAAAGAGTTTGTAGATCATGAAAACATGTATATTTATCTTATGTAAAGAATTTAGCTTTATCTCAACTGATCCAACAGATGGCAGTACTGAACAATGGAAACACAGTGAGCTGCTGAAGCCTTTGTGTTTATCTGACTGCATCAGTCGTGTGTCATGTTGTATGTGTACAGGGAGGTTTTAGGCTCCAGTTGGTGAGTTTGTTAATTTGTTTTGTTTATTAGGATCCCTAAATTCTGCAGCTATTCTTCCTGGGGTCTGCAACAACCATTACTGTTGGACATAAGGTTTATTGGTTTGTTTTTCAAATAGGGTCTATTAGTCAGACATTACATCATATGTGGAAGAACCATCAGATTAAGGTTAATGGGCATATTTATAATAACCATAAACAAAAACAAAGACAGACAAAAACAACCAAGAAACATGAAACTGGGACTGATCCAAACAGACTCAAACACACACTACTCACATTCTGTGCTTGTTTGATAAAATCTAAGATATCCTCTTTTAGGGCTTGATGGATTTTTGCAGGTCCTTTATCATCCCATAAACAAACAGCATGGACATCTCTGGAGGGAGGACAAAGAAAAAAATTAGGAAAGAATGAAAATGATATCACAAGTTATTTTTTTCAGTAACGAATGAGAACATGTTTAAAACTGTTTATCTGAGGTTTGCAACACTTCACAGAACAACACATTTGACATTCATGACGGTAAGTTTGCAGCTATCTACGCAGACAATTGCCACTGAAAACTACAGGGCTATGAGAAGTCTGGGTACTTTCCAACATCATTTTTTAAAAAGCTCATGTTGCTAGGGAACAGTTCAACATCTTCTCTGATATTTCTTTTTTTGCACCAAAAACGTAGATCGTGCAAAGTCCTGGAAGCTTTAAAAAAGATTACTGTCACATGTTGTAAAGGTTTAAAGAGAGAGTGGCAGGAAAGAAGCCACATGTCGGAATCAAACTGGGCCCCCCTCTTGGAGGACTGTAGCCTCCGTACATGGGGTGTGCACACTAACCACTAGGCTACAGACACCCCACTGTTCAGTTTTATAGAGAATAAAGTCCTAAGATCAAAGCATACACAGGAAGAAATGTAGTCTCAATCTCATTGAAAACAGCAACACTGCCAACTGATGCCTGATCATAGTTGAATAGGATTCATGCTGCCTCACTTTTCTTAACTATGCACCTCAAAGTCTGAACCACTCTTCTCATACTTGTTGACATGTTGCTTGAAATGTGACCACTTCTGTTTTTTCAGACCTCTTGGAGAAGTTAATATACCAAATTGTATATTTTTTCTTTCTTAGGTTCTTCTTTCTCACTTCCCCTCTTCCTCAAGGCCAAAAACTCAAATCACAAACTTCTCCTATTGACCACTTTTACTCTTCTAGCTACTCTTTGTTATTTAAAGTTACTCACACAAGTCTGGTGCATTTTTATTTACACAGGAAACCCCAAAATCCCAAAACACACATTTCTTGAAGGGTTTTTAAGCTCTACATCTGTACCTTATTATTACCCTACCCGTATACCCTTGATGTGGATAAGAACCCCCTCCAAAGACTAAGGAATATTTTGATCCTCCTCACTCAATCTAAACTCAAAAGAGCCCCACGCAATCACAGCTTTGAGCTAAATAAAAAGATACCAAGATTGTAATTTGGCAGTCTTATCTGAACACTTCTTTAAATAATAATGATAAATTACACCACTTTCATTAATGACTCACACTAAAGAAGATTTCTGTGAAGTAGATTTCTATTAGAAAAGACAAATTGTAAATAAAGTTGTGGCATTTAAAGTATGGAAACAAGACACTTCTCCATCTAGGTTTATGAGTGGAGCAAATCCAACAGGCTTATCTTCACATATATGACATTGCGTGGGGATAAAGTAAAGTTGAGCACCTGTTAGTCATAAGTAAACCCATCAGCTGAAATGCTCTAAAATAGTATGCAAGCTGTGTGTGTTTTGTCATTCAACGGTCAGAGTAATGCAACTGTTTTAAGAATCTGAAGCAGCAGAAGTACCAGACCAGTTTTTAAAATGAGACAGAGGAAGACAGGACATGGAGCAGAGGGTATCTCTTACGAGAACAAGTCGAACCACTGTTGCTTGGTGACGGCCTCCTGTCTCAGCAGCTTGAGAACGATGGGCCGCATCAGATCCCACTTGTCCTCAAACTGCAGGGACCCTTTGTTCTGGACGAGAGATATGGGACACATGGAGGGAAAGAAGGAACAGGAAGGATATAAAAAAGCAATGGGAAGTGATGTTTAGGGTAAAGAAATAGAGAAATACATCAAAAGAAATACAAAGAAAAAGACAAACTTAGGGCTTGGATATAACAGTTAGAATCTCATATAAGCTTCATAGCTTGTTTTGCATTTCTAATTAAAAACAATTGCTTAGGAATGTTTTTTGTTGTTTTAAAATTGTGCTTTGCATGATTGTTTTTGCTGATTTATCCAGATCCACGTTTCTGCTTCACTTTGATAACTTCAACTTTATTTGTCCCCGAAGGGCGATTGGTTTTGCGGCAAGACACCACCATGCTGCATGGCTGCAATGCACAAATCTCTTCATAATTTATACATAACTTCTTAACTTTTACTTTTAAGTATTTGACTATTTATTTAAAGTCTGAAGTTTATTAATAGAGGGGAAGTTGTTTTTGACAAATCTCAAAATCCTTATCATACAACCATAAACTTTAAACTCCAAACGAATGCTAGTCTTTAAATTATGTGATGAGGAATTTATACAATCAATCGTTTGGTTCAATGTAAGCAGGCTAAGAATAGCTTTAACCTCGTGTGAAGAGGGAATATGCTTCTTAAAGGAGCAGCAGAAGATAGCCCCATATTAAAATGTAACATCGCTGATTTTATCATGGGATCTTGTTGTGCAAGTTTTAAGAAAGGTGCTTAGATAGATAGATAGATAGATAGATAGATAGATAGATAGATAGATAGATAGATAGATACTTTATAGATCAAGGGGGATGAATATTTTAGGAAACCCCTAATGTCATTATAATAATGCATCATGTCCCCTGTAATTACTAATTATACCTGTACCAAGAAAATCTAAGTTAACCTGTACAGGGATATGACTATAAACCTGTACACAATTTAAATGAAGGATTATTTTTGATCACAAATTAGAGGTGACCTCTGGTATACTGCTGCACATCAGCATGTGGCAGCGTGCAGCAGTGTCTGTATGCAGGTAAGACAAATGTCAAGAGTCTGTGCATACTTTAAGGTGCCAATATTTGATTTATTATACAAAACATCTGTGCAGCTTTAAGTGTGTGTGGGGTTCACTGTTCGCTCCACCCTGACATAACAGAGGTGTTACATGGATTATGGTTGTGAAAACCACTTTAATCAGCAGCTGCTTTAACAAAAAAACAAAATGAGTGAACTAGTACACAGTGGATTCATCTTTTGCAGGTCATTGTTCTCTTCCCACCTTCACTGGGCTCCTGAACGTCTCTGACATTAACCTGCAGGTGGGCGGACAGCCTGTCAATGCTACCTGTCGGTGCAGGCTGTGCAGCTACCTGACCAGTGACTTGAATCATACATCTTAAAGACTTTATATGAGACCTGTGCAGTTCACTTTGCAGACAACAAGCTTTCCTTTGCATGCAGGAAAGGAGATGTATTCTGCAGGTTAATGTTGAGGGCAGCTGTTTGATTAGCTAGCTAGCCACCGTTAATGCCACTGAAATATTTGCACATTAGCAACAACAAGGCAGACATAAGTGTAATGTTTTAAAGGGTGTCCTGTGTGGGAGCGTTAGTGTGTCCGCAGCTGCACACTGTTGTTTTCAGGGTCTTCAGAGGACACGGTTTCATGTCTGCTGTGTTTTATTTATCTGATTTGGTTAAAAGCTTTGGGAGAAGACAAGCTGTGGTTTCGTTTAATAAGATGTTTTGTGTTCAAGTCAGTCGTAATAAATCGTTTCAGAAATAGACTCCCGAGAAAAAACACCGGATAACGACACCGCTGGTAACAGTGACTTCAGACATATCTTTGTATTATTCCCATATTTACGTCATATTTGTTGTTATTAAATGCACTAAACAGTAAGGATACACACACACTCGCTTGCAGTAAAAGTGTGTGACTGTAAATGTCTTGAAAATCTGCACACAAATATGGGAATATGATATATTCAAGAGCTTCTTACCTTTAACAAATTAGACGTCGCCATGTTTCTTCAACTTATCACCTCGCAGAATCTCGCGAGAACAAGCGGCTCGCTCAGGATTAGGTCATAGTAGCTTTACACTGAATATATATTTTATTGTTTCTGACACTAAATAATCTTCATAATTGATGAGGCCACCTCTATCAACGACAATAAATAATTCATTAGAAATACATAATGTGGAATTAATAAGAAAAATAAATAAATATATGCCTAAAGTAAATCTGTAAACACTAAAGGACACTCAGTTTAGGTGGTTTTCTTTCACTGGAAAAGTTAAACATTTGATTTGTAGCTATTCCCACTGCACTTCAGTCTATGAATTATATTGATGTTGTTGCAACAAGTTGAACTCATGTGTCTGCACTTTGGATTTTTGTGACACTACCTTGATCTAGTAGCCTATATTATGTATTTGTGTCTGCTTTTACACCTGATGGCAGTTTTGTGTCATTGAGATGAGTAATGCTATCTACACAGACAATAATCTGTGTTTTAATTAATTTACTTATTTCCTACTACTTCCTTTCCTGAAAAAACAAAAACAATGATGAAGCACTTTTCCTCCAAAATGAGATTTTATCTAATCAACAGATAACTAACGAGAGTGAACACAAGAAGAAGAACAGTGATGACTCCTTTAAATGTGTCTTTCATTGTCAGTTCTTATCTCTCTTAAGTGCTGCAGGCTGTTAAACACATTATTCACACTCACACTGATAAGTCAAAGAGTAATCTTTGTCCTCTGACTCAGTTAATCATTCAGCTCTTGAAATGTAAAAGTGAAGAAGTTAAAAGCTTGCGACAGTTTAAATTCAGAGGATTGTTCCATCGGCCGTGTGAAGACATGGATACTAAAGAGTCAGAAGAGACTTTAGGGAACACGAGTTATGAGAACCAAAGCAGCAGATTCATGATGAGGATCAGGAAATTCAATGCCAAGGAAGTTTTCACCTGGTAAGTTATCAGATGAAATAACAGGAGCTGTGAGGAAGAAATTAGCCGTCAACTTAGAAAATCTGTCTGTACAGTCGGCTGTTACTTTACTGATGTAGGAATAATAACTTTTATTAGTTTAAAATCCACCTTATAGTTTCAGAATTTAAAATGAGGGCATCAGTAATTCATTATATAATTAGCCTGTACAGTACTCTCTTCTGAATCAGTCCATTTATTCTGCTGCTTTGTTGCTTGAAGTTAATTTTGATGCTGACACTTTAGTACTTTTCCAAACGATGGGTCTTTAAATAAGAGTATTTTTGGGATTGATACTATCATTTCAGATAAGATAAGGATTTAAGTGATACGTCCTCAGCAGTATAAACATTCAAAAGTTTAGGTCAGGCAAGCTTATTATAGGTAAGCTATGTTAAGAGAGAATTTCTCGTCTTTGCACGGGATAAATGACCTCCAATTTAGTAAATAACAACAAATAAATAAATTCCTTGCATGTTATTGGTTGATCATGAATTATTTGTAGTTCACAGATCATTCATACTAGCCACGTGGTTTTAGGGGAAAAAGGGCCTGCTGTTCAGAAGTGTTGTATGGTCGAGCCCATATGTAAAATAAATATAAGTTAGATTTTTGAACAAAAAGATAAAGAGCATAACAAAAAAGGCTTTGACAAGATTTTACATTTAAAAAATGATTTATAAAAAAAACTTTTTACAAATTTTCTCATTGTAAAACGTTTACAAATAGTTTTTGTTTTGGTCTTTGTGCTATGCAAACTTTCCCAGCTCCTTGTTGTTGTACCAATACGAGTGTTATCAATCTTCTCATCTTACTCTGGAGAAAAAAAAGTGGATAAACAAATAAAATGCCAGAACTTCCTTTGTAAGACATTTTGCCCCCTTTGATTCGCTATCAAGAATATTGAAAAACTTTAAAGATTTGCTTCCCTCCTCCCCCTCAGGCACTTGGCCAAGACGTTGGCCATGGGTCAGGGCCTGGCTGTTCTCATCTGTGGGACGGCGGTCACCTCTCAGTACCTGGCCACACACTTCCATGTGAACACACCGATGCTGCAGAGCCTCCTGAACTACATTTTGCTGTGTGCCACCTACACCACCATGCTGATCTGCAGAACAGGTGAACATCTATCTCTTAACACCTGAGATAATGCACTGGAGAAATACTTCATGATGTATTTCTAGCTGTCAGGATTGTATCATTTGAATTGCAAATTTGAAATCTTATGCTTAAATTCTATAAAATAATGTAACAGTGTGATGTACAGAGAGAGCCGTGCTGGGTTTTACTTTTACAAAAAAGTTCAGAAAATGTGAGATGCCTTCACATGAGCAGGTTCCATGTTTGTTTCATTCCACGTCTTACGATCAGTCCAGCAGCAAACGCAGGCTCATTTACATTTATTAATTTGGGACACTTATATACACATAGCTACAAACACATATTATGAATTAAGTGTTCAACACTCGCAGGCCTTTGTTCTTCACATGAGTTCCTTTAATTGTACTAAAAACAGATCATTGTTAATACTTTGACTCATGTAGTATACTGACAAAATGTAACTATAATATAATATAATTAACTATTAAGTCAAGAAAACCATTATTTTAGATATGCCATGACAAGAAAGTTACTTTTTTGTAAATGGGGAAATGAATTTGGAGCTCTCCCAGTAATCACATGATCATACAGAGATGATGGATGAAAGCAGTGATTAACTTTCATCAAACTGTCCTCGGGCTTTGTGTTTGAACAAACAGATGTGTGACTGAAGTTCAGGGGTGTTCCCTTTAAAACGCAGGGGATGGCAATATCTTACAGATTCTGAAGCGGCGATGGTGGAAGTACCTCCTGCTGGGCCTGGTGGACGTTGAAGCCAACTACGCTGTGGTTAAAGCGTACCAGTACACCACCCTCACCAGTGTTCAGGTGGGTGCAGGCTGTGAATGTGTGGATGTCATAGAGTCAAGTTAATTTCAAGGTGTTAAGTCAAGTTTTATTCACTGAAGCAATAAAATATCATTACATTTAAAGCTTCTTAAAATGTTTCAAATCAGGACAGATTTTTTTCACCCTTTGTTATTACTTTGAACTAAAAAAAGTTAAACTATTTATTAGTTTCATCGTGAAATAAAATGTGTGTATTTCTAATTATTTCTATTACATTTTTGTTAAATAATATCTTATTTCTGTTTGCAGCTGCTGGACTGCTTTGTGGTCCCAGTCCTGATGATTCTGTCCCGCTTGTTTCTGAAGACACGCTACAGGCCGGTCCACTATATAGCCGTCTTTATCTGTCTCCTCGGGGTGGGGGCCATGGTGGGAGCTGACCTGCTGTCTGGACGAGACCAGGGCTCCAGTAAGAACTCACATTTTCTCCAGGCTGTCATTTGTTAGGCCCGTCTTTCAGTGTTCAGTGTCTGAATTTATGAAGCTAAAGGGAGAAATGTGAACATTTTACGTATCACTAATACATATAAGATGTCATAAATCTTTTATGGCTGTAAAGGAAAGTGTGCAAAGTCTGATAAATGTCCTGAAGTGATCCCTAGAGTCAGACGGGGTTAGGGATTAGGAAGGCTTAGGTTTGAAAATAAAATATCTCTGGTTGTGTTAAATGAAAAGAACAAGTCATCAACAAGTTTGATCAATTTAGACCCATGCATCAAAAATCAGCAATGAGCCCCAATTTAATTTCAATTAACCAAAAGTTATGTTCCATCCTATGCACTTTAATGTGTGTGAAAAAATAAATAAATAGAGGAAAATGTATTTCAAGACCAAACCATGTGGATAAACTGTGATAATATAAAAATGTTTGATCACAGCTTTGACACTCTCCTCTCCTCTTCTCCTCCTCTCCTCTCTCCTCCCCTCCTCTCCTCTCCTCTCCCTCCTCTCCTCTCCTCTCCTCTCCTCTTCTCCTCTCCTCTTCTCCTCCTCTCCTCTTCTCCTCCCCTCCTCTCCTCTCCCCTCCTCTCCTCTCCTCTCCTCTCCTCTCCTCTTCTCCTCCCCTCCTCTCCTCTGCTCTCCTCTCCTCACCCCTCCTCTCCTCTCCTCTCCTCTGCTCTCCTCTCCTCTCCTCTCCTCTCCTCAGCCTCAAACATCTTGTTAGGAGACGGCTTGGTGCTGCTCAGTGCTGCTCTGTACGGTGTGTCTAACGTGTGTCAGGAGTACACAGTGAAGAACCTGAGCAGGGTGGAGTTTCTGGGCATGGTCGGCCTGTTCAGCACAGTCATCAGCACCATTCAGATGTAAGCGTGCTTATGTGGATCTCACTATTCTTATGACTCCTTCGACATGACTTTACTTTAACTGTGATTGTTTATTTCTCCTTAGGGTGATCCTGGAACGTAATGAAATTGCTAACATCCAGTGGAGCTGGCAAGTTGGTAAGTTCTCATATACCACATAAACATTTGGCTCAATATGCACACAAAGATTTTGCCTCTCTGGTTCGATTTATAATTTGACAACAAAAGACGATGTTTGTTTTGTAAATAAATATCCAGTGTTGTGTGATGACAGAGATTTGAAGTGCTAAATGTCTTTTTTGTGGCCTCAGTTTTTCTCTACCAACATGAAAAGTTTCTATAAAAAATATATCCTGCAATCACAGGACAAAAAAAGCAACAAACTCAAATAAAACAACCAGTATGTATTGTTGCAGGAAAGGAAATTATTACAACACAATTGCATTCAAATTTCCAGGAATTCCTTTGCCTCTTTTGGTTTCATTCTCATAAGGTTGTAACTAAAGGGTAAAATGGTTAATTGACTTGTACAGTTAAGCGACTTAATAAATCTGCAATCTTTAGATTAACTCAATCCTGTTCTTAACTGACCCTGGTTCTAAAGGTGAACAATGCTTCCTTAATGTTGGTGTGTTGATCTTGTTGTGTCTCTCCTCTCAGGGCTCCTGTTCGCTGCCTTCGGGTTGTGTATGTATGCTCTGTACAGCTTTATGCCGATGGTGATGAAGCTGAGCAGCGCCACCTCCGTCAACCTCTCCATGCTCACTGCTGACCTCTTCAGCCTCTTCTG